TGGCTGTGTGAGGAAAGATTGAAAACCTCCTCCTCGCGACCCGTTTTAATATATTTTGAATTTAGAAGCAAGCCTTCACTAATTACTGTGATTTGCATGGACCCTCACTCGCCCAACAAATTATTTGCGACAAAATATTGTTTTCTCGTACTCGGAGATGATACAAGTTTCTTTTTTTTTCTTTCTTTATTTTTCTTTTTTTTTTTTGTTATTTTACGTTATCATTAACTTTCAAAAAAATTTTATTGTTATTATTATTATTATTATTATTATTATTTCATGAAAATTTTTTTTTTCCGGGATGTTCCGGGATTTTCCGGAATGTTCTGGCATATTCCGGAATGTTCCCCGTTCAGGGGTTTTATCGACGCCCGACATCCTCGGTTGAGCAGGTGTAAGAAATAAGAGCTCCCCTAAAACCGCCTGCGTGGGAGGCTACACTTACTTCGCGTGACTACATTGTGAAGCCCTCTGGTAGTTTGGTCAGTTTTCTTATCTTCAGGGCAAGCTAGGTTCTAGTTTGGTGAGTTTTGACTAAAGCGTTTTACTCGTTTTATGTCTTATTGTTGTGTTTTCAGTGGAGTGAAAGATGTCTTACTCAGTGAACTTTGATATTCATATCAATAGTAGCTTATAGTAGCTCACCATCTAATGACGATTAGCAAATTTACATTCGATTTTGATCGTCAATTTGTAGTCGCTCAGCCGTATTTGTATGCCCCTAAGTCTTCTTGTTAAAACTACGTGCACCATCTTCCGCATCCGTGTCATGTAATTAAGCTAACGTTTACTTGAGTGGTGTAAAGACGCGTTCATACTCCGTCTCTGTGCGTTCATCATTTCATGGTTAATTGCGCAGGAGTGGTTGTTGATTGTTATGTTAAAGCATAACTCTTCTGCATATCGCTTTAACTCGCTTTTCACCATCTGACAGGGGCACACAGCGACTTTTTTCTGTGAAATAACTGTTCGAAGAAGCAAACATTGCCTAGAAATTTCTAAAGCTTGAGAAAAGCTAAAAATTTGTGGATAACCATTCAATTCGTCTAAAATATTCGGAGGTTTTCTAATAGCTTAAGGCTATGGTTTTCGGTGTGTGTTATTCACATTTCAAGGCATCCGAACAGATAACTAGGGCGACTCCAAATTAACCAAGCAGGCTTCTAAAGCATAGGGAAAACCATCCGAGATACTTCCTGGCGTATTTGGAAACATTCGGTCGTTGGGTGCCCCTGATCTGAACGGATAGAACAGGCTCTGTATTGCCACGCAAACAGTGCATCTTTTCTATTTTTAATTATTATATATTTATGATAATTAATTCGTTTTGGGGGATGGGGATACTTATATCACGGTGACTGTGACTCCGTCATACCCAATTTTGTTCCAAACTACTGGGACGAGCGGGGGCATGGAACTTACTATGGCTCAAGGAGCCAATCACAAACTTTGCTATTTCATTCGTGGAGGAAGTTGCTGCTGGTTATTCTACTTACTCGAGTCTATTTATGTTTGTAGCATTTGCTCTTCATTTATTTTTGATTCCTGTTAACTCGCAGTTTACCACTATGACAAGCACAATCCCAAAGAAGCATGTTTTCCTGTGGACAGCTTTTAGATCCTGTTCATCTGCGTTTGAGCGTTCGATTTTGACTTTACCCCGCATGCAGTTGATGTCAGAACCGTTTTCTGCTTCGTTTTACTTTGGACCTCAGAGACAAAGCTGTCGCTATGAATCAAAAGAGGCTGATTCCAAAGCGAGTTACGAAAACGTTGCCAGGGAAATTCTGAATCAAGCTAATGACGATAACATTGATTTGCTTTTTGTCAAGGATATGGCTTGTTACATGAAAGGAAGATTGGGTTTTTTAAAGGAATTTTTTGAAGACACGAAACATTCTTTTCTTATTCGAAATCCAAAGAAGTCGATTCCTTCCCAGTATCGCGCTAGTGAAAATCCAGAAATCCAAGATTCCGGTTGGAATTACTTTGACCCACAAGAAGCTGGATTTCAGGAACTTTTCGAAATGTATTCGTTTGTCAAAGATAACCTTGATGCCAATCCAGTTGTTATAGATGCCGATGACCTTCTCGAATCACCGAAGCAGATCATGAAGGAGTATTGTGATCGAGTTGGTATCAAATATGAAGAGCATATGACTACATGGAAACCTGGCGAAATAATCCAAGCCTGGCAAGATGTTTGGGTAGCATGGCGAAGAGGGGCTTTAAACAGCAGCGGTTTCATCAAATCTGACACTTCCTCAAGTAAACCAGAAATAGAGTATCCATCTGATGTTGTCAAAGCTATGGAAGATAGCCAGGCATTTTATGATAAAATGTTTTCTGTTCGACTTAGGTTAGCATAAAAGTTGAGTCGTACGAAGTATAAGTCTAACGTGATCACCATGGTTAGTGCTTTATTGTATACGCTTCTCCTCGTAATCATGGAAATTTATTCAGTATATTCTATTTATTTCGGTGTTGGGCATTTTAACCTTATTCAGGGATATATGATATATAAATACGTTTGTTTTTAGATCGGTTCGGAAATCAAAAGTTCCACTATATCTCAAATATCTTTTGCTAAGGGACAAAGGATGGTGTTTACAAGCTGTCAGAATGGCTGGACAAACTGGCAAACCTTTGCTGGTCTGTTAAGTCTTTGACTAAAGAGTTTTGTACCGGCCTTTTAGGTGTTGGGGTCCATCAGAAAACAGAAGTTGGACGCACGGATAATTGTATGAAACATCATAAGTGTAGTTTCAGTCTTTCGCAATTACAGGTTTAACTGAGGTTAGGAAACACCTCTTCAAGCTTTTTTAAGAAACATGGAAACAAGTTCGATAGATTTAATATTAAACAAGAGCCATAATGGTATTGGCTCTTGATATAAATAAAAACTGCCTTCCCTAAATCTTGTTGGGGCTGCGCGACCTAACACCTTATTTCTTTGTTCTCAGTTAGGCTATTTTCAGCTAAATTTCACTTACTTTCCTACTTTCAAACTAAAATTTCTTTCGACTGAATCTTAGGAAAATTTGGTTTCTTTCAAACCATCGCTGTACTTTCTTGTATAGGAATTTGGCTATAAGAGATATTTTCAGTTATGCAAATTTTTTCCACACGCAGCTGAATTCAACTGAATTCGGTATCTTTTGTTCTATCGGTTCTACAACCTCCTAAAAGCTATTTTCTGCATAAGAATACTGTTGAACTTTCTTAGAAAGCACTTAACTTAATAGATTAGTATAAATACAACCACTCTGTAAACTTAACTTCGCTTAGTAAATCTTAGTAAATCTTGGAACTCAGACTGAACTATAAGAAGCTCAGGAATAAACCGTTGTTCAACTCAACTTCCTGTGTACCTCGACTCTCTCAAAATCTGTACCCCTACACATGTCTCATTTAATTCTTAATTGTTTTTTTTTTTTCGGTACACTTTGGTTCAGTGTTCTTTAAGAAAATACAATAAAATCAACTCTCTCATAACGGAGAGCTAGGCTAAAGACCGCCCCCTAATGAACCCTGTATTCTCCCGTGGTCAAGTATTGTTGCTGCTAGTTTTATCCATTTCTGGGATCTGGGCCATAAACCTCAAAAAAGTAACTGTTAATATGTTCTTTCTATTCTGTCGTTATCATCTCTGGATGAATAAAAGGGAGAAAAAAATATAAAAGAATAGGGATTCTTAAATACGCGCTGTCCCCAAATTAGTACCTGATCCACACCCAGATTGTAAAGAGTGGAGAGAGGAGGGTTCTTCCGCCCTCTCTCTTCACGCTAGCCTGTTCCAGGCTTCAAGATAGTGGTGAAAAGTCGTTCAGTGAAAAGGTGTAAAAAGATTTGAAATGCGAAAAACGCGCGGGGGCTGGGGAGAGACATTTTTCCCGCTGCCACCACCTCCTTTCCCAAGTCGCGCGCGTCTTATTTTCCTTCTGCTCGTTTTAATACGTCCTCACTAAATAATCTGAGAGCCTGACACAGGCTATCTTCACCCCGACACCCTCACCCTCTCGTCTGAACGCCTGGAACAAGCTACTTGTCCTTTTTCGTAAATATCTCTCTCAGTTTGCTTAAACACATGTCTTTTCGTGCCCGTTTACCAGCGGATTCGTGTAAATATAGCTATTTAGGCCTTTGGTTTGGGCGCCTTATCGCATCGCAGAGTTTGTTTTCGTAACGTGACACTATTGACCTCGGATACAAAAAGAGTTTGATGAGATAAAATCCTTCCTTTCACTCTGGTTTTGATAACCACTTGGTCATTTTCTAAACAACGTTCCCACGAGTTCTTTCTATAGACTGATAGTAATTATTCTAGTGCTTTCCAACATGTAAATAGGACATTCAATGTCATTTTCGATTCTTTCAAGTCCCACTGCCTAACTAATGCCAGTATCAACAGAATGTGCCGCAGCATTACTATCTTTTAGATACCCTAGTTATTGATTTATTTATTGAACAGAAGTAAAAGGACCATCAGAGAGGAGTTAGATCAGTTGCGTCAAAAAGTGATAGTTACGAGGGGAATATAGTTTCCTAATTCTTCAGCAGTTTCTCCATCTTGTCGGCGGTTTCTTATAAATGTTTGAGAAATTCTTTTGCAAACAATTACAAGAGGTGGCTGTGTGAGGAAAGCTTGAAAACCCCCCTCCTCGCGACCCATTTTAATATATTTTGAATTTAGAAGCAAGCCTTCACTAATTACTGTGATTTGCATGGACCCTCACTCGCCCAACAAATTATTTGCGACAAAATATTGTTTTCTCATACTCAGAGATGATACGAGTTTCTTTTTCTTTCTTTCTTTATTTTTCGTTTTTTTTTGTTATTTTACGTTATTATTAACTTTTAAAAAAAATTTATTATTATTATTATTATTATTATTATTATTTCATGAAAATTGTTTTTATTTTTTTCCGGGATGTTCCGGGATTTTCCGGAATGTTCTGGCATGTTCCGGAATGTTCCCCGTTCCGGGTTATATCGACGCCCGACGTCCTCGGTTGAGCAGGTGTAAGAAATACGAGCTCCCCTAAAAACGCCTGCGTGGGAGGCTACACTTACTTCTCGTGACTACATTGTGAAGCCCTCTGGTAGTTTGGTCAGTTTTCTTCAGGGCAAGCTAGGTTCTAGTTTGGTGAGTTTTGACTAAAGCGTTCTACTCGTTTTAGACCGTTTTATGTCTTGTTGTTGTCTTTTCAGTGGAATGAAAGATGTCTTACTCAGTGAACTTTGATATTCATATCAATAGTAGCTTATAGTAGCTCACCATCTAATTTATATTCGATTTTGATCGTCAATTTGTAGTTGCTCAACCGTATTTGTATGCCCCTAGGTCTTCTGTTAAAACTACGTGCACCATCTTCCGCATCCGTGTCATGTAATTAAGCTAATGTTTACTTGAGTCGTGTAAAGACGCGTTCATACTCCTTCTCTGTGCGTTCATCACTTCATGGTTAACTGCGCAGGGGTGGTTGTTGTTGTTGTTATGTTAAAGCATAACGCTTCTGCATATCACTTTAACTCGCTTTTTACCATCTGATAGGGGCACCCAGCGACTCTTTTCTGCAAAATAACTGTTCGAAGAAGCAAACATTGCCTTGAAATTTGTAAAGCTTGAGAAAAGCTAAAAATTTCTGGATAACCATTCCATTCGTCTAAAATATTCGGAGGTTTTCTAATAGCTTAAGGCTATGATTTTCGGAGTGTGTTATTCACATTTCACGGCATCCGAACAGATAACTAGGGCGACTCCAAATTAACCAAGCAGGCTTCTAAAGCATAGGGAAAACCATCCGAGATACTTCCTGGCGTATTTGAAAACATTCGGTCGTTGGGTGCCCCTGATCTGAACGGATAGCACAGGCTTTGTATTGCCACGCAAACTAAGTGCATCTTTTCTATTTTAAATTATTATATATTTATGATAATTAATTCGTTTTTATTGATTTTTTAATGAAAGTTTAAGGCTCACAAAGATACTTTACAACCGTTGTTACAGTGATATGGTCATCCCCGCGTTTTGGGCATCCCCATTCCAAAACCTTAGTGATATGGGCACCCCCTTCTCATATTACTTCAGCGATTTGGGTTAGTGTTAGGGTTACAGGGGATGCCCATATCACTAGGGTTTTGGGGATGGGGATGCCCATATCACGGTGACTGTCACTCCGTCATACCCAATTTTGTTCCAAACTACTGGGACGAGCGGGGGCATGGAACTTACTATGGCTCAAGGAGCCAATCACAAACTTTGCTATTTCATTGGTGGAGGAAGTTGCTGCTGGTTATTCTACTTACTCGAGTCTATTTATGTTTGTAGCATTTACTCTTCATTTATTTTTGATTCCTGTTAACTCGCAGTTTACCACTATGACAAGCACAATCCCAAAGAAGCATGTTTTCCTGTGGACAGCTTTTAGATCCTGTTCATCTGCGTTTGAGCGTTCGATTTTGACTTTACCCCGCATGCGGTTGATGTCAGAACCGTTTTCTGCTTCGTTTTACTTTGGACCTCAGAGACAAAGCTGTCGCTATGAATCAAAAGAGGCTGATTCCAAAGCGAGTTACGAAAACGTTGCCAGGGAAATTCTGAATCAAGCTAATGACGATAACATTGATTTGCTTTTTGTCAAGGATATGGCTTGTTACATGAAAGGAAGATTGGGTTTTTTAAAGGAATTTTTTGAAGACACGAAACATTCTTTTCTTATTCGAAATCCAAAGAAGTCGATTCCTTCCCAGTATCGCGCTAGTGAAAATCCAGAAATCCAAGATTCCAACTGAAAGCGAGCAAATCAAACCAACCCAAGCAACAGAAAATGATTGAATCCAACGGAACACGATCCGAACGGGTCTTTTACCTTCGGGCGACCTCTCCTTCTTGGCCTATTCCTTCGTGCTTCTTTTCCCATGTTTTCTGTCTCTAAACGAGAATATAATTTGGCTCGGTATTCTGTAAAAGCAAACAGAAAGACAGAACTAAATTACTTTAAAAGCAACCTATGATGGCGAGATATCTTACTTCACCCTACCGAAACTTTCTTTACCCGAGAAATATAACTGATGAACAAGGGGGAAACGCACAGTTTTCTAACTCATCCCTCCACGTCTCCCAAATTGGTTGTCTTTGCGGGTGACTTGATTAAATGTTTTCTCTTTATCAGTATGGCGAGGTAATCATAATTGAATAGGCAGTTACACCCTTTATGAGCTATCCCTTAATTACCTTTCGTTCCTTTACTTTGTGGCTATTTTGTTTTTGGTTGTTACGTATCTTCGACATTTTTTAGGTACGCGTGTGCGGACTGGTGCACACTGGGTTAAAGTTGCGAAAAATTCAGAATCAGAACGTTGGTTTCGTACCTGAAAATCTTTTTCCACCGATAAAACGACTCGCTTCTTTCAAAAGGTGGCCGCAGACACACGCTTTTGATGAGGCAGTCATCTAAAAATAAAGAATTGTAAACAGGGTAATGTCTCAAATAAATAACATCGAACAGAGCTGTTTTGATTTATTGCAATAAAGCCTTAAGTAAGGATGAAAATGTATTAATTAAAAAAAAAAAAAAAAATAGCGTAAATTTATAGTGATAACCCAGTCTTCTAAAGTAATAATTTGTAGCGAAAAATCCATTTTAACTTGCCCTCCGGGCCGAAAAATATTATATTGAGTTGTCGATACCTTAATTAACCAGCTGGAGAAGTAAAACAAAATTGCTGAGTTAGTAAAATGAACTGAATTTATGATTAATCGGACAGCACATTTTCTGTTTTGCAAACTATTTTGACGACACACAAATATAAACTCGCTTTACTAAAAACATTATTTCTTAGAAACAGTGGAAGACAGAGCCGACACATTCCGTCTCCCGGACAGTCGCAGGTCGCGATGCATGCATGACTCAGGGCTTTCCAAATAAACACGAAACTCTATCTCTGCAGTTCTGTAACAGAGCCACTTGCCTGGTGATTTTAAAAGGCTAGATTAAAAAGAAGAAACTTCCGAAATTAGACAGACTTTCTTGTACTTCAGAGGAAAATGATTTTTCCTGGGTACTATACTGTGTATGCGGTCCAAAACAGATTCCTACTCACACCGATAGTTGATTTGCAAATTGTGCAGAAGTAAAATTCAGTTCAAACCATAGACAAAAAACAAGAAAGAACGTATTTGTTATCAATAGTTACACTCACCAAGGTATTACACGCAAGACACTGTTGAAGTACCATTTTTGAGCCGATATTTTCCAACCCTTAACAACAACGCAAAGGGCTGAAATAGATCCGTTTGTTTTGATTACATGAACATGAATAATGCAACGAAGTCCGTATTTAAAAGGCTCAGTTTTCGACGTCACAATGCCACGAGAATCACTTTCATTGCAGCCTGACTAACTCACGTTGTAGACAGACCTCTATTTCTGAAAGTTATAAGTCACCCTTTTTCGGGGTGAGTTAATGTAACATAAAGCCTGATAAGGCCATCATATGAGATGGTGGGTCATAGAGCTTTAAAACCCATATAAGGCATTACCAATGGGTCAGAACCCCTCGAGTATGTAATACACGACAGCTTTTATTTCACCTTCATTTTGCAGGGCTGAACCGGCTCTAAACAAACCACCATATACGGTTTACACTAAGTGAAGGGCTGCCTTTCGCTTTTAATGAACATTTAAGTTATTTATGGTGGCCGGTCGTACTAGATGATTTTACATTTCAAGTAAGTAAGCTCAAATAACTGCAGTTAGTCAACTTTAGTTCTGATATTGATTTAATACGCGGTCACAAATACAGCTACTGAGCGCAGATGCATATGGAAAGCGCAAAATATAAACGAGAAAGCACTATCTAGTGACAAGCGTTTTTAGAAAGGCCTACAACTCGGCTTAATACGGGTTTTACTACAACTGAGGTACTTTATTCTGTGTTCAGTTTAAAAGAGGTATGCTTCACTGGTCTCTTTGTAGGTTGCGTGACGACACAAAGAGTCTGCTATACTTTCTTAGTGTAGCTAAATGTCGTGGGTCGTCATGGGTAGTGGGTAGAGCGTGGGTCGTTGGTGTAGGTGTGGGTCGTGGGCAAAAAAAATCGTTTTCCAATAAAAAATTAAATTAAAAAATTAAATAGCAAAAAGTTCTTAAAAATTTTGCAGACTAGGCTCTGTGAACTTAAGAAGAGCTTAGGAGCTCCTGTCTTTGGATTTTAGCTGACAATACTCACATTCGTAGTAGTTTCTATACTGTTTACAGTCAGCCTGATATTTCAGACGAATCCGATCCCCTCTTTTTTTCCCGCCTGGTTGAGGATGGCGATCGCCGTTGTCACAGTGATCATGAATTTGGGCATCCCCTGTGAGCTGGATCGCTGTTCCCCCCTATATTTCGAACCCAAGCCTCACGTGAAGGTTTGCTTATGCGGCTTGTTATTTTTGTAAACACTATTTTTCATCTAAATTTTACTGATTATTACAAAGCAACAAACGCGTTAGCAAAGCATTTATACGCGAATTACCACCAACTTCGCTCTCACCAGTTTTGTCGTCAGAGGATACCCAAATCGCTTTGAGAGCGGCGATCGCCATCTTCAGCTTGGCGGAAGAAAATAGGGGCTGTGATCTAGCTTGAATTTCAGCCATGTCCTCGAGTCGCAAACTTCACTTACGACTCGGGAGACGGCTAACTTGATTCAGGGCAATTGATAACAGTTAGAAGCTACTGCTGCACTACCACTGCCACTGCAACTATACGCGGCGAATGTGAATCTCAGTATCCAATAAAGTCCAAAGCGACGAGCCCCTAAGCTCTTCTTACGGTCGCAAAGCCGTTAATGGATAACCGTTAAACCGCATGGCAAACAATTACAAGAGGTGGCTGTGTGAGGAAAGATTGAAAACCTCCTCCTCGCGACCCGTTTTAATATATTTTGAATTTAGAAGCAAGCCTTCACTAATTACTGTGATTTGCATGGACCCTCACTCGCCCAACAAATTATTTGCGACAAAATATTGTTTTCTCGTACTCGGAGATGATACAAGTTTCTTTTTCTTTCTTTCTTTATTTTTCGTTTATTTTTTGTTATTTTACGTTATCATTAACTTTTAAAAAAATTTTATTGTTATTATTATTATTATTATTATTATTACTTCATGAAAATTTTTTTTTTTTTCCGGGATGTTCCGGGATTTTCCGGAATGTTCTGGCATATCCCGTTCAGAGGTTTTATCGACGCCCGACATCCTCGGTTGAGCAGGTGTAAGAAATACGAGCTCCCCTAAAAACGCCTGTGTGGGAGGCTACACTTACTTCGCGTGACTACATTGTGAAGCCCTCTGGTAGTTAGGTCAATTTTCTTATCTTCAGGGCAAGCTAGGTTCTAGTTTGGTGAGTTTTGACTAAAGCGTTTTACTCGTTCTATGTCTTATTGTTGTGTTTTCAGTGGAGTGAAAGATGTCTTACTCAGTGAACTTTGATATTCATATCAATAGTAGCTTATAGTAGCTCACCATCTAATGACGATTAGCAAATTTACATTCGATTTTGATCGTCAATTTGTAGTTGCTCAGCCCCGACTCAGCCGTATTTGTATGCCCCTAAGTCTTCTTGTTAAAACTACGTGCACCATCTTCCGCATCCGTGTCATGTAATTAAGCTAACGTTTACTTGAGTCGTGTAAAGACGCGTTCATACTCCTTCTCTGTGCGTTCATCATTTCATGGTTAACTGCGCAGGAGTGGTTGTTGATTGTTATGTTAAAGCATAACTCCTCTGCATATCGCTTTAACTCGCTTTTCACCATCTGACAGGGGCACCCAGCGACTTTTTTCTGTGAAATAACTGTTCGAAGAAGCAAACATTGCCTAGAAATTTCTAAAGCTTGAGAAAAGCTAAAAATTTGTGGATAACCATTCAATTCGTCTAAAATATTCGGAGGTTTTCTAATAGCTTAAGGCTATGATTTTCGGTGTGTGTTAATCACATTTCAAGGCATCCGAACAGATAACTAGGGCGACTCGAAATTAACCAAGCAGGCTTCTAAAGCATAGGGAAAACCATCCGAGATACTTCCTGGCGTATTTGGAAACATTCGGTCGTTGGGTGCCCCTGATCTGAACGGATAGAACAGGCTTTGTATTGCCACGCAAACAGTGCATCTTTTCTATTTTTAAATTATTTTATATTTATGATAATTAATTCGTTTTTATTTATTTTTTAATGAAAGTTTAAGGCTCACAAAGATACTTTACAACCGTTGTTACAGTGATATGGGCATCCCCGCGTTTTAGGCATCCCCATTCCAAAACCTTAGTGATATGGGCATCCCCTTCTCATATTTCTTCAGCGATTTGGGTTAGTGTTAGGGTTACAGGGGATGCCCATATCACTAGGGTTTTGGGGATGGGGATGCATATATCACAGTGACTGTGACTCCGTCATGCCCAATTTTGTTCCAAACTACTGGGACGAGCGGGGGCATGGAACTTACTATGGCTCAAGGAGCCAATCACAAACTTTGCTATTTCATTCGTGGAGGAAGTTGCTGCTGGTTACTCTGCTTACTCGAGTCTATTTATGTTTGTAGCATTTGCTCTTCATTTATTTCTGATTCCTGTTAACTCGCAGTTTACCACTATGACAAGCACAATCCCAAAGAAGCATGTTTTCCTGTGGACAGCCTTTAGATCCTGTTCATCTGCGTTTGAGCGTTCGATTTTGACTTTACCCCGCATGCGGTTGATGTCAGAACCGTTTTCTGCTTCGTTTTACTTTGGACCTCAGAGACAAAGCTGTCGCTATGAATCAAAAGAGGCTGATTCCAAAGCGAGTTACGAAAACGTTGCCAGGGAAATTCTGAATCAAGCTAATGACGATAACATTGATTTGCTTTTTGTCAAGGATATGGCTTGTTACATGAAAGGAAGATTGGGTTTTTTAAAGGAATATTTTCAAGACGCGAAACATTCTTTTCTTATTCGAAATCCAAAGAAGTCGATTCCTTCCCAGTATCGCGCTAGTGAAAATCCAGAAATCCAAGATTCCGGTTGGAATTACTTTGACCCACAAGAAGCTGGATTTCAGGAACTTTTCGAAATGTATTCGTTTGTCAAAGATAACCTTGATGCCAATCCAGTTGTTGTAGATGCCGATGACCTACTCGAATCGCCGAAGCAGATCATGAAGGAGTATTTTGATCGAGTTGGTATCAAATATGAAGAGCATATGACTACATGGAAACCTGGCGAAATAATCCAAGCCTGGCAAGATGTTTGGGTTATAGCATGGCGAAGAGGGGCTTTAAACAGCAGCGGTTTCATCAAATCTGACACTTCGTCAAGTAAACCAGAAATAGAGTATCCATCTGATGTTGTCAAAGCTATGGAAGATAGCCAGGCATTTTATGATAAAATATTTTCTGTTCGACTTAGGTTAGCATAAAAGTTGAGTCGTACGAAGTATAAGTCTAACGTGATCACCATGGTTAGTGCTTTATTGTATACGCTTCTCCTCGTAATCATGGAAATTTATTCAGTTTATTCTATTTATTTCGGTGTTGGGCATTTTAACTTTATTCAGGGATATATGATATATAAATACGTTTGTTTTTAGATCGGTTCGGAAATCAAAAGTTCCACTATATCTCAAATATCTTTTGTTAAGGGACAAAGGATGGTGTTTACAAGTTGTCAGAATGGCTGGACAAACTGGCAAACCTTTGCTGGTCTGTTAAGTCTTTGACTAAAGAGTTTTGTACCGGCCTTTTAGGTGTTGTGGTCAATCAGAAAACAGAAGTTGGACGCACGGATAATTGTACGAAACATCATAAGTGTAGTTTCAGTCTTTCGCAATTACAGGTTTAACTGAGGTTAGGAAACACCTCTTCAAGCTTTTTTAAGGAACATGGAAACAAGTTCGATAGATTTAAACAAGAGCCATAATGGCATTGGCTCTTGATATAAATAATAACTTCCCTAAATCTTGTTGGGGCTGCGCGACCTAACACCTTATTTCTTTGTTCTCAGTTAGGCTATTTTCAGCTAAATTTCACTTACTTTCCTACTTTCAAACTAAAATTTCTTTCGACTGAATCTTAGGAAAATTTGGTTTCTTTCAAACCATCGCTGTACTTTCTTGTATAGGAATTTGGCTATAAGAGATATTTTCAGTTATGCAAATTTTTTCCACACGCAGCTGAATTCAACTAAATTCGGTATCTTTTGCTCTATCAGTTCTACCACCTCCTAAAAGCTATTTTCTGCATAAGAATACTGTTCACCTTTCTTAGAAACCACTTAACTTAATAGATTAGTATAAATACGACCACTTTGTAAACTTAACTTCGCTTAGTAAATCTTAGTAAATCTTGGAACTCAGACTGAACTATAAGAAGCTCAGGAATAAACCGTTGTTCAACTCAACTTCCTGTGTACCTCGACGCTCTCAAAATCTGTACCCGTACACATGTCTCATTTAATTCTTAATTGTTTTTTTTTTTCGGTACACTTTGGTTCAGTGTTCTTTAAGAAAATACAATAAAATCAACTCTCTCATAACGGAGAGCTAGGCTAAAGACCGCCCCCCCTAAATGAACCCTGTATTCTCCCGGCAACTGTGTGGTGCACATTTATTTCTTGACGTGGTCAAGTATTGTTGCTGCTAGTTTTATCCATTTCTGGGATCTGGGCCATAAATCTCAAAAAAGTAACTGTTAATATGTTCTTTCTATTCTGTCGTTATCATCTCTGGATGAATAAAAGGGAGAAAAAAATATAAAAGAATAAGGATTCTTAAATACGTGCTGTCCCCAAATTAGTACCTGATCCACACCCAGATTGTAAAGAGTGCAGAGAGGAGGGTTCTTCCGTCCTCTCTCTTCACCCTAGCCTTTTCCAGGCTTCAAGATAGTGGTGAAAAGTCGTTCAGTGAAAAGGTGTAAAAAGATTTGAAATGCGAAAAACGCGCGGGGGCTGGGGAGAGACATTTTTCCCGCTGCCACCACCCCCTTTCCCAAGTCGCGCGCGTCTTATTTTCCTTCTGCTCGTTTTAATACGTCCTCACTAAATAATCTGAGAGCCTGGCACAGGCTATCTTCACCCCGACACCCTCACCCTCTCGTCTGAACGCCTGGAACAAGCTACTTGTCCTTTTTCGTAAATATCTCTCTCAGTTTGCTTAAACACATGTCTTTTCGTGCCCGTTTACCAGCGGATTCGTGTAAATATAGCTATTTAGGCCTTTGGTTTGGGCGCCTTATCGCATCGCAGAGTTTGTTTTCGTAACGTGACACTATTGACAGTTCTTGCGTGACAAAAGCACGTGACCTCGGATACAAAAAGAGTTTGATGAGATAAAATCCTTCCTTTCACTCTGGTTTTGATAACCACTTGGTCATTTTCTAAACAACGTTCCCACGAGTTCTTTCTATAGACTGATAGTAATTATTCTAGTGCTTTCCAACATGTAAATAGGACATTCAATGTCATTTTCGATTCTTTCAAGTCCCACTGCCTAACTAATGCCAGTATCAACAGAATGTGCCGCAGCATTACTATCTTTTAGATACCCTAGTTATTGATTTATTTATTGAACAGAAGTAAAAGGACCATCAGAGAGGAGTTAGATCAGTTGCGTCAAAAAGTGATAGTTACGAGGGGAATATAGTTTCCTAATTCTTCAGCAGTTTCTCCATCTTGTCGGCGGTTTCTTATAAATGTTTGAGAAATTCTTTTGCAAACAATTACAAGAGGTGGCTGTGTGAGGAAAGCTTGAAAACCCCCCTCCTCGCGACCCATTTTAATATATTTTGAATTTAGAAGCAAGCCTTCACTAATTACTGTGATTTGCATGGACCCTCACTCGCCCAACAAATTATTTGCGACAAAATACTGTTTTCTCATACTCAGAGATGATACGAGTTCCTTTTTCTTTCTTTCTTTATTTTTCGTTTCTTTTTGTTATTTTACGTTATCATTAACTTTTAAAAAAAATTTATTATTATTATTATTATTATTATTATTATTTCATGAAAATTATTTTTATTTTTTTCCGGGATGTTCCGGGATTTTCCGGAATGTTCTGGCATGTTCCGGAATGTTCCCTGTTCCGGGTTATATCGACGCCCGACGTCCTCGGTTGAGCAGGTGTAAGAAATACGAGCTCCCCTAAAAACGCCTGCGTGGGAGGCTACACTTACTTCTCGTGACTACATTGTGAAGCCCTCTGGTAGTTTGGTCAGTTTTCTTCAGGGCAAGCTAGGTTCTAGTTTGGTGAGTTTTGACTAAAGCGTTCTACTCGTTTTAGACCGTTTTATGTCTTGTTGTTGTCTTTTCAGTGGAACGAAAGATGTCTTACTCAGGGAACTTTGATATTCATATCAATAGTAGCTTATAGTAGCTCACCATCTAATTTACATTCGATTTTGATCGTCAATTTGTAGTTGCTCAGCCGTATTTGTATGCCCCTAGGTCTTCTGTTAAAACTACGTGCACCATCTTCCGCATCCGTGTCATGTAATTAAGCTAATGTTTACTTGAGTCGTGTAAAGACGCGTTCATACTCCTTCTCTGTGCGTTCATCACTTCATGGTTAACTGCGCAGGGGTGGTTGTTGTTGTTGTTATGTTAAAGCATAACGCTTCTGCATATCGCTTTAACTCGCTTTTTACCATCTGACAGGGGCACCCAGCGACTTTTTTCTGCAAAATAACTGTTCGAAGAAGCAAACATTGCCTTGAAATTTGTAAAGCTTGAGAAAAGCTAAAAATTTCTGGATAACCATTCAATTCGTCTAAAATATTCGGAGGTTTTCTAATAGCTTAAGGCTATGATTTTCGGAGTGTGTTATTCACATTTCACGGCATCCGAACAGATAACTAGGGCGACTCGAAATTAACCAAGCAGGCTTCTAAAGCATAGGGAGAACCATCCGAGATACTTCCTGGCGTATTTGAAAACATTCGGTCGTTGGGTGCCCCTGATCTGAACGGATAGCACAGGCTTTGTATTGCCACGCAAACTGAGTGCATCTTTTCTATTTTAAATTATTATATATTTATGATAATTAATTCGTTTTTATTTATTTTTTAATGAAAGTTTAAGGCTCACAAAGATACTTTACAACCGTTGTTACAGTGATATGGGCATCCCCGCGTTTTGGGCATCCCCATTCCAAAACCTTAGTGATATGGGCACCCCCTTCTCATATTACTTCAGTGATTTGGGTTAGTGTTAGGGTTCAGTTACAGGGGATGCCCATATCACTAGGGTTTTGGGGATGGGGATGCCCATATCACGGTGACTGTCACTCCGTCATACCGAATTTTGTTCCCAACTACTGGGACGAGCGGAGACATGGAACTTACTATGGCTCAAGGAGCCAATCACAAACTTTGCTATTTCATTGGTGGAGGAAGTTGCTGCTGATTATTCTGCTTATTCGAGTCTATTTATGTTTGTAGCATTTGCTCTTCATTTATTTCTGATTCCTGTTAACTCGTAGTTTACCACCATGACAAGCACAATCCCAAAGAAGCATGTTTTCCTGTGGACAGCTTTTAGATCCTGTTCATCTGCGTTTGAGCGTTCGATTTTGACTTTACCCCGCATGCGGTTGATGTCAGAACCGTTTTCTGCTTCGTTTTACTTTGGACCTCAGAGACAAAGCTGTCGCTATGAATCAAAAGAGGCTGATTCCAAAGCGAGTTACGAAAACGTTGCCAGGGAAATTCTGAACCAAGCTAATGACGATAACATTGATTTGCTTTTTGTCAAGGATATGGCTTGTTACATGAAAGGAAGATTGGGTTTTTTAAAGGAATTTTTTCAAGACGCGAAACATTCTTTTCTTATTCGAAATCCAAAGAAGTCGATTCCTTCCCAGTATCGCGCTAGTGAAAATCCAGAAATCCAAGATTCCGGTTGGAATTACTTTGACCCACAAGAAGCTGGATTTCAGGAACTTTTCGAAATGTATTCGTTTGTCAAAGATAACCTTGATGCCAATCCAGTTGTTGTAGATGCCGATGACCTACTCGAATCGCCGAAGCAGATCATGAAGGAGTATTGTGATCGAGTTGGTATCAAATATGAAGAGCATATGACTACATGGAAACCTGGCGAAATAATCCAAGCCTGGCAAGATGGTTGGGTTATAGCATGGCGAAGAGGGGCTTTAAACAGCAGCGGTTTCATCAAATCTGACACTTCGTCAAGTAAACCAGAAATAGAGTATCCATCTGATGTTGTCAAAGCTATGGAAGATAGCCAGGCATTTTATGATAAAATGTTTTCTGTTCGACTTAGGTTAGCATAAAAGTTGAGTCGTACGAAGTATAAGTCTAACGTGATCACCATGGTTAGTGCGTTATTGTATACGCTTCTCCTCGTAATCATGGAAATTTATTCAGTTTATTCTATTTATTTCGGTGTTGGGCATTTTAACTTTATTCAGGGATATATAATATATAAATACATTTGTTTTTAGATCGGTTCGGAAATCAAAAGTTCCACTATATCTCAAATATCTTTTGTTAAGGGACAAAGGATGGTGTTTACAAGCTGTCAGAATGGCTGGACAAACTGGCAAACCTTTGCTGGTCTGTTAAGTCTTTGACTAAAGAGTTTTGTACCGGCCTTTTAGGTGTTGGGGTCAATCAGAAAACAGAAGTTGGACGCACGGATAATTGTACGAAACATCATAAGTGTAGTTTCAGTCTTTCGCAATTACAGGTTTAACTGAGGTTAGGAAACACCTCTTCAAGCTTATTTAAGAAACATGGAAACAAGTTCGATAGATTTAAACAAGAGCCATAATAGCATTGGCTCTTGATATAAATAATAACTTCCCTAAATCTTGTTGGGGCTGCGCGACCTAACACCTTATTTCTTTGTTCTCAGTTAGGCTATTTTCAGCTAAATTTCACTTACTTTCCTACTTTCAAACTAAAATTTCTTTCGACTGAATCTTAGGAAAATTTGGTTTCTTTCAAACCATCGCTGTACTTTCTTGTATAGGAATTTGGCTATAAGAGATATTTTCAGTTATGCAAATTTTTTCCACACGCAGCTGAATTCAACTAAATTCGGTATCTTTTGTTCTATCGGTTCTACAACCTCCTAAAAGCTATTTTCTGCATAAGAATACTGTTGACCTTTCTTAGAAAGCACTTAACTTAATAGATTAGTATAAATACAACCACTTTGTAAACTTAACTTCGCTTAGTAAATCTTAGTAAATCTTGGAACTCAGACTGAACTATAAGAAGCTCAGGAATAAACCGTTGTTCAACTCAACTTCCTATGTACCTCGACTCTCTCAAAATCTGTACCCGTACACATGTCTCATTTAATTCTTAATTGTTTTTTTTTTTTTCGGTACACTTTGGTTCAGTGTTCTTTAAGAAAATACAATAAAATCAACTCTCTCATAACGGAGAGCTAGGCTAAAGACCGCCCCCCCTAAATGAACCCTGTATTCTCCCGGCAACTGTGTGGTGCACATTTATTTCTTGACGTGGTCAAGTCAGTTGTTGCTGCTAGTTTTATCCATTTCTGGGATCTGGGCCATAAACCTCAAAAAAGTAACTGTTAATATGTTCTTTCTATTCTGTCGTTATCATCTCTGGATGAATAAAAGGGAGAAAAAAATATAAAAGAAAAAGGATTCTTAAATACGTACTGTCCCCAAATTAGTACCTGATCCACACCCAGATTGTAAAGAGTGGAGAGAGGAGGTTTCTTCCGCCCTCTCTGTTCCAGGCTTCAAGATAGTGGTGAAAAGTCGTTCAGTGAAAGGGTGTAAAAAGATTTGAAATGCGAAAAACGCGCGGGGGCTGGGGAGAGACATTTTTCCCGCTGCCACCACCCCCTTTCCCAAGTCGCGCGCGTCTTATTTTCCTTCTGCTCGTTTTAATACCTCCCCACTAAATAATCTGAGAGCATGGCACAGGCTATCTTCACCCCGACACCCTCACCCTCTCGTCTGAACGCCTGGAACAAGCTACTTGTCCTTTTTCGTAAATATCTCTCTCAGTTTGCTTAAACACATGTCTTTTCGTGCCCGTTTACCAGCGGATTCGTGTAAATATAGCTATTTAGGCCTTTGGTTTGGGCGCCTTATCGCATCGCAGAGTTTGTTTTCGTAACGTGACACTATTGACAGTTCTTGCGTGACAAAAGCACGTGACCTCGGATACAAAAAGAGTTTGATGAGATAAAATCCTTCCTTTCACTCTGGAGCGAGGACACGACACCTACAGCCTGACTTTCGATATGGTGCTAAGACAGTGTGTATCTTGCAACTCAACGGTAACTATTAACTGAAGCTAATAATTTTCGAATTATATTAGCATTTTTCGGGGTCGCGCGATGAATGGTCGTAAATGTCTTGACCATCAGTCAGTAATCGTAGAAGCTAGGAGCTGAACATTTATCTGATGCATGACTCAGTTCAGAAGCAACCTACTCTTACATGACTAGCGCAAATTTATTGCTTTTTGCTGCGGAGCGACCGCAGGGAGCGAGCAGCAACATAATCAGGATTTAAGGGAAATATATATAAGGGACGACGAATTCTCGAATTCATCACTTTTTACCACAATGCATTCCATTTAACCACACTTTTTACCACAATGCATTGCATTTAACCAGAGTGCATTGCGCCACGAACAACTCAAATATAAACACGGGGAAGTTCCAGGGTCGTAACATGGTATATCCAGGACCCATTGATCCCTATTTTCTTGCCGTTATTTTGGTCCCTCAGCCCTATTTTCTCCAAAAGTTTGATCCCTGAGCCCTGATAAAAAAATTGATCCCATCCATGTTTTTACACAAAATTTTAACTTAGACTACTTTGTTTATCTCCAAATATAGAATATAGAACATGCTCAAATGGGCTGATGAGAAAAACATTAACTTTAATTTTTAGTGCAAGTTTTAGGTTCTATCAGAGCTTTCTATTCTGCTATCCCTGTTGACGTTGTAGTCCTATGTGAATTTCCTCTTTCACTCTGTGTGTGTTACAGTGAGGATCACCATCGATTACCAATAGCAAAATACCTGCTTTACGTGAAGTAGAAAAATTAAATGATGCAAGCCACAGGTTATAGAGTTAACAGCTTTTCTGTGTCAACCCATTAATGGCTTTTCCTGGCTTAATAACCATTGTACATTGTCAGAGGACATATCTGGTTGTAGGTCTTCTAGACCTACTCCTTCCAACTTCAAATCTAATTGGCTTTGAAAAGTTGTCCGCCTGAGCTTGCCCACTTTCCTCTTCGTCACCACCTGACGCAGGTGAATCATCTGATTCAACGACCCCTGGAAAAATGCAACTAGGCGTTGCTCTTCAAGGCAGCTCAAACAGAAGTTGTTTCCATCTTTCATTATTTGATTTTCCCGATGATAGACTTAGGTGAATTTCTATCGTCACGGTGCCCGGTCTGGTATACAAGGGGATCTTCTTCTGACCGTTCCAGCCACCTCAAACCCATGCGATCTTCCAGGAATGCGTCACCCGGCGTTATGGTGGAGATCTTTTAACAGAACTGCAAGGAAGAAAGGAATGATATACCTCTTGTAATTGTGCTTGAGACGAACTAAGTCGCCTTTTGAATAGATAATCCCATATTCCTCGGCTGCGTCTTGAGCTGTAGTTTGTCCTTCACTCCCTTGAACCTCTTTCAGCAGATCGACTTCTCCATATGCCGACACATTCCTTCTGAACATACTCAGAGCAAGTGGAAGTGTACCAGCTCTTTCTTTGGTCTTCCCTCTCGTTGGTTGCTGTCGTACACCCCGTCCAAATTCTTTCGCAAAGCTCTACAATGCCTTCCTTTGTTGCCCCTTTCCTTCCGCGCTCGTTTCCTCGTCCATATCTTCCTTAAAGTTTAGTCTTGCCGTGCGACTTTCGAAGCCAGTCCGGTGCATTTGGACCCAGCTTTCTCGGTGTGAGGACCGGTACAAAAGATAAACAAGGATTGGTAGAGCCTCTCTATTGATTCTAAAAGGCAGCTGGGCCGCCGCAATGCGTGGTCGTTCAGAGCGGGTGTTCTCACTCCACTAAAAAATTAAGGCTCCAAATCTAAGGTGGTGATACCTTTCGGGGACAACCATTACTTAAACCGAGGCCGAATAGCCCAAAGGGCCGAAAAAGTCTGTAAATTTGTGCAAAACAAAATAGCCACTGCACGAATGAGGTCTGAAAAAATCTTGCATGAAAAAAATAACCCATCCCCGGCTCAAAAATCAAATAGTGGGCCCCTTAGGCCCTTCATGCTGAGTGCTATAATATATTAAATTCCTGCAGACTCTGCTACTTGTACCTAGTATTCAACATTCCTTTCACCAATTCAACCGTTTATTTTATTTAAAAAAAAAACTAAAGAAAATAAACTATAAAGGCTTTGTTACTTTTATTTCATCGAGGTAAGTCTTTGGTGTTCCACTTATTTTCACTAATTCTACACTGTAATTTCAGACTATTTATCATACAAGCATTTATCAGTTATACAGTGTCCTTTACTTTCCCGCCCCGATACTAGTACTGGTAGGTGAACCGATCTCGGTTTCTCATCAGAGTTCGAGATAACCCTAAAACTCCATGCAATTAGAGCAGATTTATTAAATTGCGAGAAAGCATTTATTTTGCAATAAAGCGCGCGAATTCATTGTACTTTTGTATTCTACTTTTGACGTCCATTCTAATTATTTAACACCTTTTAAGAGTTAAGTTACTGGTCAAAAAATACGAACCTCGATTTAAAGTCGCCTTGTGACTTGCTTGAGGCGATGAGGCAATCGGTGAATCGGGACCTATATAGTAAATTCCGCTTTCAATGACTCGGTTTGTCTATTGTCCTGGCGGTATTGTTATATTTGATCGGCCGAAAAACTCTATGCTTGGACCCTTGCCAGGAGTAAATCAGTCAAGGAAGTACTTACGTACCCTTCTTTGTCACGGGATTTCTTTTTGTCCTTTTTCTTCTTCCCCATTTCTCGCCAAAAAAGATATGTATAAATCGCTTTCTCTGCCTTCTGGCGTTGACAGCGCGCTGAGGAGTTGCGTTACAAAGCGAGAAAAGTGATTTGAGATTCACATTACGGTGCCCACAACAATTAATAAATTAGGAATATGATGCTATGTTTTCGTCAAACAACCAGGACTTCGTATGACAGGAACTGCCGCCAACCGGAAGCAAGAATAGGTAATGTACTTTGGCCAGACAAACCTTATTATGCGGAAAATATTGTGATAAGAGATTTTTAGACCGTGTAATAAATCTGATCCCTTATTCAGGCTCAAAAGCCTTGTGATCCCTGATACCATTCTTCTGAGCCCTGAGCCCTTTCCTCTGAGCCCTGATCCCAGTCATATTTTGGGCTTTGAGCCCTGAGCCCATATACCATGTTACGACCCTGGAAGTTCGCATCGTTCGCTGCCCAGACTCAGAGTTTTCTTCGTAGCAAAATTTTCTACAGCACGGTTACAGGTCTTGCCAAATTTAAGACACGCAGGAGTCTTTCAGATGAGTACGATGGTTAACTTGGGGATTGGATTTCAATTCAAGAACCTTTGACTCGTCCCGGTATTAAACCTGACGAGAACATGAGCATTTGCTCTTCGACTCCGCAACACGGGGGATATACAAATTCCAGCTTGCTAGAAGGTGATGTGAAAGTGAGAAAATGTCATGCCAAGCTACTCTTAAGAACTTGTATGAGCCGAAAATGGATGTGATTTTGACCATTCGCTTCAAAATAACCGTAGGGGAAATCGAGATAACAAAACATATGTTTTGTGTCCTACGTTGCAGACGAGGACGTGTATCGGCGTTTTGAAAAGCATAATTATGTTCTTTCATTCATTCATTGCCATGGAATATGCGTTTGCATTGTTTTTTCACTGTTAATAGCTCGATTAATGCGGCTGGCGATCATCTTGCCGACGGAGGTTTCATAGAAAAGGGATTAAATTAAAGACTTTTTCCGAGATCTCGTTACCAGTCTCTGTGGTGTAGTGGTTAGGTGTAGTCGCGTCAAGCCGATGGTGCCGGGTTCGAGTCCCACCAAATTCCTTTTTTCCTTCTTTCTTTTTTTCTTTCCGTTTTTTGTGTTGTTGTTTTCTATAAAAATATAGCTAAATAACTGTTACTTAATAAAGTGCAATAAAGAGCAAGAAAAGTATCGTGTTTCCAGAGAAAAGATAGTACACCGTATATTAAATATATGGATAAACAATCTGAATTTCTATGATTTCCTACAATTTACTGTGGGAAAACCAGAGTTGATAACCACTTGGTCATTTTCTAAACAACGTTCCCACGAGTTCTTTCTATAGACTGATAGTAATTATTCTAGTGCTTTCCAACATGTAAATAGGACATTCAATGTCATTTTCGATTCTTTTAATATAAGTCCCACTGCCTAACTAATGCCAGTATCAACAGAATGTGCCGCAGCATTACTATCTTTTAGATACCCTAGTTATTGATTTATTTATTGAACAGAAGTAAAAGGACCATCAGAGAGGAGTTAGATCAGTTTCGTCAAAAAGTGATAGTTACGAGGGGAATATAGTTTCCTAATTCTTCAGCAGTTTCTCTATCTTGTCGGCGGTTTCTTATAAATGTTTGAGAAATTTCTTTGCAAACAATTACAAGAGGTGGCTGTGTGAGGAAAGCTTGAAAACCCCCCTCCTCGCGACCCATTTTAATATATTTTGAATTTAGAAGCAAGCCTTCACTAATTACTGTGATTTGCATGGACCCTCACTCGCCCAACAAATTATTTGCGACAAAATACTGTTTTCTCATACTCAGAGATGATACGAGTTCCTTTTTCTTTCTTTATTTATTTTTCGTTCTTTTTTTTTGTTATTTTACGTTATTATTGACTTTTAAAAAAATTTTATTATTATTATTATTATTATTTCATGAAAATTATTTTTATTTTTTTCCGGGATGTTCCGGGATTTTCCGGAATGTTCTGGCATGTTCCGGAATGTTCCCCGTTCCGGGTTATATCGACGCCCGGCGTCCTCGGTTGAGCAGGTGTAAGAAATACGAGCTCCCCTAAAAACGCCTGCGTGGGAGGCTACACTTACTTCTCGTGACTACATTGTGAAGCTCTCTGGTAGTTTGGTCAGTTTTCTTCAGGGCAAGCTTGGTTAAAGCTAGACTAAAGCGTTCTACTCGTTTTAGACCGTTTTATGTCTTGTTGTTGTCTTTTCAGTGGAATGAAAGATGTCTTACTCAGTGAACTTTGATATTCATATCAATAGTAGCTTATAGTAGCTCACCATCTAATTTACATTCGATTTTGATCGTCAATTTGTAGTTGCTCAGCCGTATTTGTATGCCCCTAGGTCTTCTGTTAAAACTACGTGCACCATCTTCCGCATCCGTGTCATGTAATTAAGCTAATGTTTACTTGAGTCGTGTAAAGACGCGTTCATACTCCTTCTCTGTGCGTTCATCACTTCATGGTTAACTGCGCAGGGGTGGTTGTTGTTGTTGTTGTTATGTTAAAGCATAACGCTTTAACTCGCTTTTCACCATCTGACAGGGGCACCCAGCGACTTTTTTCTGTGAAATAACTGTTCGAAGAAGCAAACATTGCCTTGAAATTTGTAAAGCTTGAGAAAAGCTAAAAATTTGTGGATAACCATTCCATTCGTCTAAAATATTCGGAGGTTTTCTAATAGCTTAAGGCTATGATTTTCGGAGTGTGTTATTCACATTTCAAGGCATCCGAACAGATAACTAGGGCGACTCCAAATTAACCAAGCAGGCTTCTAAAGCATAGGGAAAACCATCCGAGATACTTCCTGGCGTATTTGAAAACATTCGGTCGTTGGGTGCCCCTGATCTGAACGGATAGAACAGGCTTTGTATTGCCACGCAAACAGTGCATCTTTTCTATTTTAAATTATTATATATTTATGATAATTAATTCGTTTTTATTTATTTTTTAATGAAAGTTTAAGGCTCACAAAGATACTTTACAACCGTTGTTACAGTGATATGGGCATCCCCGCGTTTTGGGCATCCCCATTCCAAAACCTTAGTGATATGGGCATCCCCTTCTCATATTACTTCAGCGATTTGGGTTAGTGTTAGGGTTACAGGGGATGCCCATATCACTAGGGTTTTGGGGATGGGGATGTTTATATCACGGTGACTGTGACTCCGTCATGCCCAATTTTGTTCCAAACTACTGGGACGAGCGGGGGCATGGAAATTACTATGGCTCAAGGAGCCAATCACAAACTTTGCTATTTCATTGGTGGAGGAAGTTGCTGCTTATTATTCTGCTTACTCGAGTCTATTTATGTTTGTAGCATTTGCTCTTCATTTATTTCTGATTCCTGTTAACTCGCAGTTTACCACTATGACAAGCACAATCCCAAAGAAGCATGTTTTCCTGTGGACAGCTTTTAGATCCTGTTCATCTGCGTTTGAGCGTTCGATTTTGACTTTACCCCGCATGCGGTTGATGTCAGAACCGTTTTCTGCTTCGTTTTACTTTGGACCTCAGAGACAAAGCTGTCGCTATGAATCAAAAGAGGCTGATTCCAAAGCGAGTTACGAAAACGTTGCCAGGGAAATTCTGAACCAAGCTAATGACGATAACATTGATTTGCTTTTTGTCAAGGATATGGCTTGTTACATGAAAGGAAGATTGGGTTTTTAAAGGAATTTTTCAAGACGCGAAACATTCTTTTCTTATTCGAAATCCAAAGAAGTCGATTCCTTCCCAGTATCGCGCTAGTGAAAATCCAGAAATCCAAGATTCCGGTTGGAATTACTTTGACCCACAAGAAGCTGGATTTCAGGAACTTTTCGAAATGTATTCGTTTGTCAAAGATAACCTTGATGCCAATCCAGTTGTTGTAGATGCCGATGACCTACTCGAATCGCCGAAGCAGATCATGAAGGAGTATTGTGATCGAGTTGGTATCAAATATGAAGAGCATATGACTACATGGAAACCTGGCGAAATAATCCAAGCCTGGCAAGATAAAGCATGGGTTATGGAATGGCGAAGAGGGGCTTTAAACAGCAGCGGTTTCATCAAATCCGAAACTTCCTCAAGTAAACCAGTAATAGAATATCCATCTGATGTTGTCAAAGCTATGGAAGATAGCCAGGCATTTTATGATAAAATGTTTTCTGTTCGACTTAGGTTAGCATAAAAGTTGAGTCGTACGAGGCAGTCTAACGTGATCACCATGGTTAGTCCATGTACTAGGGTACATTTTTGCTCAGTCTGCTTTATTGCATACGCTTCTCTTCGTAATCATGCATAGGCGTACGGGCAATTTTTTGCCAAGGGGGGCGGTAAACTATTTGCCCAAAAAATTCTCGCAAGTTACCCAAATTTTTACGAAACGGTAACGTAGGCCGTACTGGCATATGAAGGTGGCAGTTTTTCAGAGTCAATACCTCCGAATTTTGAGCATAACTACGTCGCCATAGACAAACATTTGGAAAAATTGCTACCATAGTTTTATTAGATATAGATGAAAATTTATCATAGGGTTTTAATGACATCGGAGTTGTCATAGCAGCGAAATGATGCCATTGTCTATTTTACTTGCAGCAATATTCACGGCAAAATCTTCACGGCAACCTTTTTCTCCAATAGTCGCGTCGATGTTCGTGAAGTTAAAACGGAATCTATAAAAGAGTTATCGGGATATTTTGGGATGAGGTTTTAGAAATATGCTAAAAAAATCTTGATGTTTGGCCGTTATCTGTAGAAAACGAATCTCTTTTGACATGTAATTTCACCTCATAGTAGCTTCAATCCTTTTAAAAACGTGTGTAAAATATCATGGAGATAGCTCCGGCCGATCGCTAGAGAGAAGGATTCCATTTCATCAGTATGTGTCGAGGCGCTCTTGTCAGCGGTTTTGTAAACATTTCGGTCTACTTTAATAAATTATTGCTTGATAGATATTAAAAAAATTTAATATTCTTCTCGTAATTCGAGCTGAGTACTAGTCAGCCACTTCTTCATTTTTCACACCCACTGTTGCTGATGCTCTCTGCCATACACTATTCTACGGGCGGAGATGATTCTAGAAAGATATGCAGAAGCTTATTCTAATCAATTCACGACTGCTAAGAGCCCATTTCAGTCAGTGCAGTGCAGTACAGTGCTCAACAATAAAAAACTATAAATATGTAAATCAACAAGTGATACCCTTCCCTATAACCAGAAACTCATCACGTGCTAAGCAACCACTGTGAGTGTCTCGAGAGAATGTAACTGGATTATTTCGCTGACTTCAGGATTTTTTTCAGATTAAAATCGAAAATATTTGTCTCTTTAAACTAATAAAAAAACACGGAAACGTCTTTAAAAAATAGCTTTGCCCAAATTTTCTGTTGCTGCCCAAAAAATCTGAGTTGCCCAAAATTTGGGGGGGCTGCAGCCCCCCTCGCCCCCCTGGCCCGTACGCCTATGTAATCATGGATATTTATTCAGTTTATTCTACTTATTTCGGTGTTGGGCATTTTAACTTTATTCAGGGATATATAATATGTAAATAAGTTTGTTTTTAGATCGGTTCGGAAATCAAAAGTTTCACTATATCTCAAATATATTTTGTTAAGGGACAAAGGATGGTGTTTACAAGCTGTTAGAATAGCTGTACAAACTTTAGATTCTACTGGCAAACCTTTGCTGGTCAATTAAGTCTTTGACTAAAGATTTTTGCACTGACGTCTTTGGTGTTTAGCCTCCCAAGCAGGCGTCTTTAGGGGAGCTCGGAATGAAAAAGGAGGTCCCCTAAAAACGCCTGCGTGGGAGGCTATTTGGGGTTGGGATCAATTAGAAAATAGAACTGAGTTGGACGCACGTACCGTTGATTGTAGGAAACATCATGGGTGTGGTTTCAGTCTTTCGTAACTACTGGTTTAACTAAGGTTAGGAAACACCTCTTCAAGCTTATTTAAGGAACATAGAAACAAGTTAGGTAGATAGAGCAAATTTGAAGCAAATCCATTTTTTCGTCCAGTGTAACAACTTCCCTAAATCTTGTTGGGGCCACGCGATCTAACACCTTAGTTCTTTGTTCTCAGTTAGGCTATTTTCAGCCAAATTTCAATTACTTTCCTTCTTTCAAACGAAAATTTCTTTCGACTGAATCTTAGGAAAATTTGGTTTCTTTCAAACCATCGTTATACCTTCTTGTATAGGAATTTGGCTATAGAGATATTTTCAGTTATGCAATTTTTTTCCACACGCAGCTGAATTGAACTAAATTCGGTATCTTTTGTTCTATCGGTTCTACCACCTCCTAAAAGCTATTTTCTGCATAAGAATACTGTTGACATTTCTTAGAAAGCACTTAACTTAATAGATTAGTATAAATACAACCACTTTGTAAACTTAACTTCGCTTAGTAAATCTTAGTAAATCTTGGAACTCAGAAGAACTAAGAAGCTCAGGAATAAACCGTTGTTCAACTCAACTTACCTGTGTACCTCGACTCTCTCAAAATCTGTACCCGTACACATGTCTCATTTAATTCTTAATTGTTTTTTTTTTTCGGTACACTTTGGTTCAGTGTTCTAAAAGAAAATACAATAAAATCAACTCTCTCATAACGGAGAGCTAGGCAAAAGACCGCCGCCCCCTAATGAACCCTGTATTCTCCCGGCAACTGTGTGGTGCACATTTATTTCTTGACGTGGTCAAGTATTGTTGCTGCTAGTTTTATCCATTTCTGGCATCTGGGCCATAAACCTCAAAAAAGTAACTGTTAATATGTTCTTTCTATTCTGTCGTTATCATCTCTGGATGAATAAAAGGGAGAAAAAAATATAAAAGAATAAGGATTCTTAAATACGTGCTGTCCCCAAATTAGTACCTGATCCACACCCAGATTGTAAAGAGTGGAGAGAGAAGGGTTCTTCCGCCCTCTCTCTTCACCCCGACACCCTCACCCTCTCATCTGAACTCCTGGAAGAAGCTACAGTCGACTCCCGATAACTCGAACCTTTTAGGGAAATCGAAAAAAGGTTCGAGTTATCGGGAGTTCGAGTTACCGGGAGTTCGAAGAAAATAATTGGGAGTAAGGTAAAAACAGTTTTTACTGCACGGTGAATATTTTAATCACATTTAATTGTAGAAATGTCAAGTGAAAATTAAAAGATACTTTTACGAAATTATAAATCAGAACGTAACGTAACAAAACGTAGCCTAAACAGAGCATGCGTTTTACTGTTTTGAGAAGAAAAGCTGCTTCACTTTAGCCTGTGACAATCAACATTAGCCTCCACTAGTAAACTATACTCCTACAACACGTCAATAGGAAAATCCAAAATTCAATGTTTCGGACGCCCGTAGACGGCTTTTTTCCCGTCTTTTTAAAGGCTCAAAACATGGTTCGAGCTATAGAAAATGACCTAAGGGGAAACGAAAATTGGTTCGAGTTAGCGGGAGTTCGAGTTATCGAGGGTTCGAGTTACTGAGGGTAAAATTACAGTGAATGTATGACGGAAATCCAGAGGAAATCGATTTTGGTTCGAGTTAGCGCGGGTTCGAGTTATCGGGAGTCGACTGTACTTGTCCTTTTCGTACATATCTCTCGCAGTTTGCCTAAACACATGTCTTTTCGTACCCATTTACCAACGGATTCGTGTAAATATGGCTATTTAGTCCTCTGGTTCGGGCCCTTTATCGCATCGCAGAGTTTGTTTTTGTAGCGTTACACTGTTGACAGTTCTTGCATGACAAAAACACGTGTCCTCAGATACAAAAACGGTTTGATGAGATAAAATATTTCCTTTCACTCTGGAGCGAGGACACGACATCTACAAGCTGACTTTCGATATGGTGCTAAGACAGTGTGTATCTTGCAACTCAACGGTAACTATTCACTGAAACTAATAATTATAATAGCATTTTTCGGGGTCGCGCGATGAATGGTCGTGGATGTCTTGACCATGAGTCAGTAATCGTAGAAGTTAGGAGCTGAACATGTATCTGATGTAACTTCAGAAGCAACAAACTCTTATATGACTAGCGCAAATTTAATGCTTTTTATTGATTTATCTAATGAAAAGAAGTAAGAGGACCATCACAGAGGAGTTAGATTAGTTGCGTCAAAGAGTGATAGTTACCAGGAGAATATAGTTTCCTAATTCTTCAGCAGTTTCTCCATCTTGTCGGCGGTTTCTTATAAATGTTTGAGAAATTCCTTTGAAATTTGGGACAAATATAACCATGCACATATAAGATAATCGAGAAATCTGAGAGATGCTGACTGTTTGTGTTTGGCGTTCTGCGTTCTATAGTCGGTTACGGTTGAGTGGCCCTCGGGTAATTGTTCGGTATTTACTGCAGTCTAATTTGATTGTCAATTTTAAATTGTCGTTACATGTTCAATTTTTTTCGTTTCCAAATTCTCTACTAATTCGGCTTGACAACGATGTCTTTTATCTAGAAAACACATAGGAGCAAGCTATTCACAGCCGTGAAGTCATGACTGTTAAAAGAAATACAGCACGTGGCGAGTCACGCGGCTAAAAATTCCCCAGCTGATTCACGCGCTCTACTCGAGAAAATGTAGCGAAGGGTATAAGTTACTGATCGTTACTAGTAGTCGCTCTGAGAACACTTTTTGATCTCGGGCAAGGCTTAAGGAAGAAACGAAAAAAATTCAGCCAGTTCTGCGTTGGGCATTTTTTGAACTGCTGCTAGAGCCTCCGCTTTCGAAAGTGGGTATCCTTTTCAAAGAGAGTAGAGCGACAGGGACCAGCCCGACATGTGCGTTTTTGCGAAGTGGTCTGCTTACGAGGTGTCCGTTAAGAGGAAATGGTTGACAGTATTGCAACTGATTTCTGGACACTGGTCTTGTGATAGCCTGGGACTAGGCTCCGCAGTGAGGGAAAAAGGCAAAAAACCGCCGCCCCTTTTCCCTCCCCAGACTACCTCCCGGATTTTTTTTTCGCCAACCCCGACTATTTTTCCTTTTCCCCCCAATGCAAGGCCTGGTCCCAGGCTAGTCTTGTGATAACATTTTTGGAACCCCAAGCCCCTCTCTGGACACTTTCGGACTGGGCGACTATTACAGTGCTAGCATTTTCGTCTCTTTGCTCTTTCGCCCGAGTCTCGCCTTTGGAGACAGCATGCCGCCTCTCTAAAAAGTCTTTCTATCAAGCGAACATACTGTTGTTCAGACATTTTCTATGACTGGCTTTACGCCTGACACCTCCCTCAGTAAGATCGACACTCGGTGCCGGTCCCAACAGGGAGTTAATTCAAATGTATTTACTTCATTTCCCTTTTGTTAGATTTTAGGAACTTTGCCGTTATGCGAATGTGGCCGCGTTTTTGAAGACATTCGGCAAGTAGGGGGGAAAAGATTTTCAAGTAAGTATCAAGCGCCCCACCACTTGTTCTATGACCACTTCTTCTTTTAAGGGCGCAGCGCGTGGCCGAGCGGTTGGAGGGCTGGAGTTGTAATCCGGAGGTCCTGTATGTAACCGCTAGTTGGATTTGTCCACGTAACTCACGGTAGTCCCCCGAGTTTAACTCTTAGGTCACGCTTGTAAATAGCCAAGTGGTTTGCCTCCGACCAGTTGGGATTCTTAACCTTGCTATAGTTAGGGTTAGGGTTAGAATAAATACTACCAGTAGCCAGTAATTGTGTTACCACTATAAACTCAATTTTTGTCTTTCCTCATCTTAACTTCGCGTGACTGAGTGGTAGGCAAGGAAGCGTACAATCTAAAGTGTATTTACTGATTTTGATGCCAACTCGCTATTTTTGTCCAAATTTCCGCCAACAAAGTAGGCAATATCAGCACACCAGTGCACTGACCACTCTTTTTTTTATGCCCGTCACCCAGTTGGGGAGGAGTATCTGGTGCAGGCCAAAAGAAGTTCTTGGCAAGTATTTTTTACAGAGATCTGTTTCGCTGTAAATTTTTAGAATATCGTGCAGACCTGTACACGAAGCTGGAAACTAAACGATTGAAGGGCAATGAAAGGGAGAAGAAAGTGCTAGGTGGTGACTCGGATTCTGCTGATGAACACCGGAAGCAGGTAACGCAACATGTTTATGTCACGGTTGTGCTCGGAAACTACCTTACTTAGCATTGGCGATTTTCCTACATTGCAAATGATTTTGTGTATTCTTACAGATCGTATTTCAACCTAAACGGATCCCTCCTAGTGTATCATTACGTACCAAAACTCGAAGAAGTAAAAGAAAAAGAAAAACACATATAAAGTCTTCGCTGGAGGATCACAATGTAAGGACACTTTCTCTGTTCCAGTCCCCTGAAGAGGAAGCCGCACGTCTTTCACGAGCTCTTCAAGAAATAAACAGGAGGATCATGGGACAGTCTATGGTGTGGTTGAATTCTTTGTAGATATGTGAATGATACATGTCTTTGCTGGTTGAACGATGCTTAAAAATGCCTCTCGAAATGTTATCCCTGAAGGACATGCATATGTAGGGTGCCCTCAGGTTAAATCTTCCGGCGCAGATGACAGCTGTATTTTCAGAGGAAACGAATCACAGTTTTTCCGTGGATTTGTCGTTTACTGTACCTGAGTTTTAATAAGAAGTGGTGTTTGTCAGAGAAACGATACTTTGAAATTACTTGGACGAGACATAATAAAAACACAGTATAAAAAGTGTATGCTACTTTTTAAATTCCTCTATCTTGTTTGTTGCTTTCATGTGTTGTTCGATCTCTAGTTGGAAACCAAACGTACGCTTAAACAGTGGCCATTGGTATATCGTAAATGACCTAAATAACGCGCTCTTCCAAATAAACGCCTCGTATCTAATAAGCACGGCCTCTACGCTGTTAAAATTGTATTGGACACCCATCTTTAATAAACGCCCCTTTGAGTTTCTTGCCTGATTAACAAGACAAGGCTTTGAGTATTTCATCCGTTATTCAATACCAAGTTCAAGGTAAGGATAAACTAACGATGAGAACACAATAACCCTGAGCGAGGGTTCTCACATCGATGGTGGGATTTGAAAGAGTGATACGGAACTCTAGACAGACGGCCTATCATCAATATTGATGTCATTGATTGAGTGGCTATTTTTTAACTCTCTTGATATTTTCGCCGAAAGCATATTATTTTTGTCCGGGTAATAAGCTCCTGTTTTTGTTGAGCTTTTTACAGTCAGTATGAGAATAAACTCATCTCTTTTTTAAACGCCTCCGCTAGAACCCCCAAATCAAATAGACGCCCCGGGCGTTTATTAGGTCATTCACGGTAACTAGGACAGCGGAGGTTTAAAGCTAATAAACGTGTACCAAGTGACCAAGTTTCTCTTTTACTTGTCGCTTACTGTTTATTATTTCTACACATAAATTTGAAGCTTCAAGCAATTTTTTATCCATAAAAATTGTTTTGAACCATTTTTCTCTGCTCATTTTCTATAGAGATGTTCTAGTCGTCGTTGTTTGACTTTACCTGTCACGCATATGCAGGAGACGTCAGATTGACGTAAGATGACCTTGACACTCGCGCGTAGCTGACACGTTTATCAAACTTGTTCAAAATAGTCGTTTCTCTGCCTTGTTTTTGACTTTTCCTTTGCAAGGAGACAAATATGGCGACGTTCGGTGATTAATAACTCTGTCATGCAAAAGCTACAATGTATCGCTTGTAATCTAACGGTAAGTAAGTTCTTTTTACGTCATTGGTGTAACGAGAAAATCTTTAAAGTGATGACCTGTAAGAGTATTGAACTAAATAAGCTTAAGTTTGGTTAGTTCCATTCGCGTTTGATTACGCCAAGTGAAGAAATGTTCCCTCGATCTAGTGGCTTAATTTTAATTCAGTTTAAGTCACAATAAAACCAGATTACGAGCTGACCGGTTTTCGTCCTCATCCGTAGATCTTATCAGATTTGGATGTGAATAAGGGCCCCGCTAAAATGTTTTTCTCGAAGATTGTTAACTTCTGTTTTATCAAAATGCTTCTCTAAAAGAGTGTGATCGATGATCTACTATTTGATTGCTGATCAAGTAAAATTTACTCAGAATTGTACCAACATTTGTGTCCCTTGCTGTTCCCCACTTTTCCAGGAAAATTAAAAGGCCTTTGCTCGTAGCAACGAGCAAACGTTGCAAACGCGGGCATTGGAGTTACTTCGACTTGATGCAAGCTGTGTGTGATCAAACTGTTGACTTGTTGATTCTCATTAAACTTTCCCTAAGCAAGTTCAAACCTGATTTAAGCAGGGCGGGAAAGAGTTAGTTGTTTTATACACTCTAAGAACGAAAACAAAACGAAAACATTAACATCTTTAGCACGTATAATTGAGAATTTTGACTAATGCTGGGTTTTACCCGGCTGAGAGAAATTAGCTGCATGAACAAATGGTGAATTTTGGGTGGCTAGGAAACGAAGACCTAGGACCTAACACCCAAAAGCGAACCCCCCTCAAGATCACTTACAAATAGTAGAAACGGCTGTATCGACCTGAGATGTGTAAGTTCAGTACAAAGCTCCCCAAATAAAGAAAACGAAGACCCCCTCATTCTGTCTTGCTAGAAGTCGTTTCGAGCCGTTTTCAAGTGGTTTTGAGGTGGGGTTAATTCGCTCTCTACATTTGGGGAAGTTTTGTAGAAAACGAAGACCCTGGTCAAATTTATTCATAATTGAAAATCTTTTTGTTTCTTACATAACTCTGTGTCTAGAAGCCGTTTCAAGCCGTATCGAACCGTTTTCAAGTGATTTTGAGGGGGTTCTTCGTTTTCCTTTTTTGGGGGGTGGTGGGGGAGGGTGTTATAAAAAAAACGCAGCCCCTAGTCAAATTTATTGATAATTGAAGATCGCGTTGTTTTTTTACAAATCTCAGGTCGATATAGCCGTTTCTAGCTATTTATAGGTAATTTTGAGAGGGGTCTTCATTTTTGGCTCTTAGGTCTTAGGTCTTCGTTTTCTACCCACCCGTGAATGTTGACGATGGATGAAATTTCGCCTTCCGTTTAATCCCTCGAGGATCACTAGCAGTGCTAAAACAAAGTATTTCTTTTTTCTTGTGTTTACAACAGATACCTGATTCATACTCGGCAGATGGATGTTGTTCCTGTGGTCACGTGTTCACAGAGAAAAAGCTGATTGGTGGAAAGAGATTTTCGGGTAAGTGTAATATGCATCTTTCCACCGAAGGGAAGGTGATTAGTGCGAATATGGTACATATCTAACTCGATGCACCTACCCTGATGGGGATAGCTGTTTCCGCATTTACCAAATCAGTTAGAAAAAAATGGAGAAGTACGTTTCTCCTTCCCGGGCAACAGCCGGCAACTGAATCTTTTGATAAAAACCGTTCTAATTTCGCCCTCACAGAGCCAAATCGTAGGTTCAGTTAACCTCACCCCCAGGGAAGTTAAAAAGGACCAAATTGCTCTTTTAACCATGAAGTAGCTTTTTAATGCTCTTGTAGTCTTGTCCAGAGAAGTGTCTGGGGCAACATTAGCTGTGAAATCTTTATCTGTTTTTTGGTTTATTTTCTTAGCAGCCACACCTTACCACGTCATACCTTGTAACTTCCGTTTATTATTTTACAGTAGTATATATTCTGTAAGTTCGTGGTTTTTCCTAATAAACCTGATGACGACTGGCATTGGCCAGTCGAAATATTGTATACCTCAGCCTTTTCACGTTGTTTGATCAGTCTTTGCAGTAGTCTTGTTGACTTTAATTCTATTGTTAGATGAAAATCTTTATTTCAAAATTATCATCGGCTACAAAAACGGAAAAATATGAAGTAAACATCGAAGAGTTTACTCACTACCGGAATCGGGTATTTAGTGTTCAAATACTTTAATGGAAAAATCCGTTTCCCGTGTGAAGAAATTTTTAAAGATCGGCTTCAAATTAGATTTCAAAATCTAATTTGAAGCCAATCAGAACAGTACTATATCAAACGCATTGTTTCTGAGTCAATGTACATTTAAACTGACAAAAAATGCATCACGCCTTCTTCTCGCGACAGACATAGAGAGATTATAGGGAAAAGGTATGATCTCAGGCTAGCTTGATATTTTGTAGTACAGCTAAAAATTAACGTCTTCTTCCAAAACTGTCGCGAAACGAGTAATCAGTGACTCAGTAATTCTAATTTTTTTGGCAAGCTTTCAGTTTCTGGATAGTATCAGTTGAAGTTTACCGTAGTAGTACTTTTTCACAGAATACCGGGCAGAGCTTTACTCTCGTTTGGAAACCAAGAGACAGAAAGTTTTACTTAAGGGAAACACGTCCGTCAACAATGAAGTCCAAGGAAAATGCAGTTTTGAGGTGACGTAATGATTTGTTTATTGTGGATGGGGCTGTGTCAGAAACAGGGACTTATGGACAAACCCAACTATGTATTTGGCATAATGAAAACATCGGTCGCTAAAAAGTTTTTGTCTTGTCTAGAATTACTTAATACGTGAGATTATATGTTTTTAAGTTGTCTTTCCCCACGGAAAAAAAACGAGGGAAAGGATTGTAACTTGGAATTAAGGCTAATTTTCAAAGTTTAAGTTGTGGTATAATGTTTAAGACAAATCGCTGAAAAGGGTATTACTAACCTTCTACGTATTTTAATAGAACTAAAACTAGGACTGATTTGTGTTGTTTAGTGACATGTTTAATTCTCCCTTTTTAGAGGGGCGGGGGTAGGCCACTCAAGCATATAAGCTATCGTCCCCTGATTTTCAAGCGGTTCAGGTGATGAAAGATTTTAACCGAGAAAATAGAAGAGGGTATTAATTTTGTTAAACGAAGTCAAACAGCAGTCGAGTGAGACGACGTTGCTAAAGGAAAAGATAATTGTAGACTTGTGCTAATATCCTCCAACGGTTTTGCAACGGTACTTCGAAAGGGATCGTCTGTCAAGATTTTGTTGGTCTTGTATCGCATAACTTGTTTGTTATTTATTATCTATTATCCCACAGCGTCCCGGAAGTTTAAAGTTTCAACTACCAAGAATACCGAACACGGAAAGCATCGTCAAAAGAAGCCCCGGGCAAAGATCGAAAGAGGCCGCTGAGGGAAGATCCAAACCAGTCACCCGAAGATCACCCAACCCGCAACCGCAGGCTATAAAACCCCAGCTAGCTCAAGCTAAAGTCTTACAAAGTCTTCTTCGCAGATTTCCCAGCGCTCTGGCTGAAATAAACAAACGTCTTATCTCACAGAATCTGTTATGGTTCACTATTAACGATCGCACGAACACTCAGCGACTGGAAATTCCTAAACCAAATGTTTGGAGACAGTTTTCGGAAACTATTTAATTTACTTCGGTTACAGAGTGGTCAAAAAAAGAAAAAAAACAAACAAATCTTAAATCTTTAACCGTCATTTGCTGAGTAATTAAATCGTCATTGAAAAACAGTACTTTTCCGGCATAATTATAAACTTGCAGAGTAGTCATTCCGATATAATTATGAACTCATCTGGCTATTGACAGTTCTAAATCACCGGCCATTTTTCAATGTTTTTTCATACTTACAAAACACTCTCTATTTTGTAATCACGGAAACATTTACAAGCAGAAAAAACAAAAACGCATTTTAAAGCCCTTTACATGTATATTATTTGCAAGTTAGAAAGTACCTTGCCTTGTGATGTAACAGAGCCGTTTCTCTAACCTTTTATTTGGAATGTGCATGATATTATATAAGTAAATAAAACTTTTCAGCTTTGTGTGAGTATCGTCTGGAATATCCAAAAATAAGGGAAAATAACTTTGGCCTTTGGCTTGCCTGACCCGGTGTATCACAGACTCCGGCCTCATTTGTTTAGTTGTGTGGCAATTCTCATGATAGATACTGGTCCTTTTTGACACTGTTTATGAGCTATGAGGACATTTGTGCTAGCTATTCCTATTAGGAAAGCGATTTAAGGAAGTTTTGTGTGCCCACGTTAAACTCGTCGTTTTTGTTTTCGCCTTAAAACGGTCTCATTTTTCAGGTTTGGGCCTTAAATAGGGCATCAGCCGAGTTTCGTTTAACCCGTCCTTAACCCCCAAGCGGGGGTGGGCTTTTGTTCTTCTCCGACATCGAACGTGAGGGTACCCTCTGCCTTCATGCTCAAAATAAAAACGCGTAAGAGCCCTGAGCAACGGCGCCAAATCGTCTCAAGAAAATGTCTCTCGCTAATCGTTTTCTCAGTAGTGTTTGGTAACATATGGGAAACATCTATCTCGATGAACTCGTCGAGCTAACTCAGTTCATTGAAAGTGAGAACGCATTTGACAGGGTACCTGAAAATGATGGCGATACATGTGAATAAATAAACGTGAAATATAACTTGAAAATGTGCAAAGAGTGTCAATCCCTGCAAAATGAATACTTGATAGTAACGTCAAGCAAACGCATAATGGACATAATACAAAAGATTATTTTATTATTTTTATTTTTTTGGTGTTTTTTTACATCTTCATTGTCATGAACTCTTTCTAGTTATCGTAAACTCAGCTTTGTAGCTCTCAACATTGTCTTGAAGCTTTGCTTGACCAGGAAACCACAGTCTAGAAAAAGTTCACCGGCGAAAAATGTCTACGCATGCTCCGCCATGTTGAATTTACTCTATGTCACCTGGTCGCCTATCGACCAATCAGACATTTTTCGCCAATGGGGATTTAGCTCAAAGTTACAACACATTCGTACTTTCCGCGGACTACTCCTGGCTTGATCCGGAAGAAACGCTTCACGTAAAAGCAACAACAGCTATGGCTGTGAATGCCAGAGCCTAATAGTAGACTATTTAATCTAAACCAGATTTGGGCGCTTTTAATGTGGTGCCGCTGTGTTAGACCGGTCAGTTACGACTTTCAAGCGATTTTTTAAGTCTACAAACGTTCCTTATTTTACTGAAGGGCTCGCCGCGATTCTCCACGTTTCATGGCTGGGCTTACGGGTTATGTGCTTGTCCGTGGCATCTTTACGTTAAACGGGCAAAGAGAAAGCATTTTCATACTTTTTGTACGCCATCTTTAGTATCCTTTGAATATCTACAACAATTTTTAACCTTGTTTACTGTGATTTCCTTTAATTTATACCCTGCAAATTTCTACGGGCTCCCTTTGATTAGCCAATTTAAATTACGTCTCAACTCGGAGGTGGGGAGAATCGCAGGCGCATCGAAACATCTACGGCTTGAGTCTGACATGGAGCACAACTTTAAGGCCAGATTCGCACGGTACTGGTCAAATATTTGATCGGTAGAAAATTTGTCTGTTCGTTCACACGTAACCACTCTAACAGTTCCGCCAAACATTTAGACGCCTAACCGTTAAAAAATTTAAACGGGAAAATCGAGCTCAAAAATTTAGGACAAAACTTTTGTGAATACCATAAAGGTCTAGCTGATTTTTGTACGACAAAGGCATAAATACGTGGTCAATTTTTTTCAGCCGGTCCAACATTCGTCCTGTGCCGTGTGAAAGTAGCCTGAAACTGATAAAAAATGTAAATTAAGTACTGAAACACCTCCATAGCACTGTAATAAGTACTGAAACACCTCCACGGTACTCCATCACTGTGATTGTCAAAAGTATGCTGTTGAGAAACATGGTGACTGATGATGACCATGCCGTGATTGTACCGGTTCTTGAACGCAGGGAACAGATGTAATTAAATAGAATGAATTAATAGTTATTGTCAGTAAGTACAGCAGAATATAACTAGTAATTCCTGCAAATGTACGCAGTTCTCACTCCTGTTCCAGTCTGGTGTTGGCGGCCGGATGTACTTAGCTTAACTGCTTAATTTCCACACTAGATTCTGGAAGTGAATCTTTTTGTTAATTTCCTCAAGAGCTTTGGAAAACCTGCGCATTTCTTCAGTTGAGACCGTTCTCCTGTCTTCCAAGCTTGAGTACTTCATGTATGGTGTCTTGGTAGGTTTCTTTTTTGTTGGATACAGCCCCTCCACCCGCCGCTGAAACAGTCGGCTTTTCTTTGACACCTTGGCTGGCGCTGCTATGGAAGCAGCTGGCTTGTCGACGACCTTTTTATAATTCGAAAATCAACTTAATTAGTGGAAGCATTCAGTCAGTCAGACCTTGATTTTTAACCATTAAGTAAGTAAGACAATCACATAGCAAGAAGTTAGAAAAAAAGTGAATTGAACAAACTTTAGAACTCAGGCACAATCAATCACCGCAACATCTACCAGCCAAAAGGTTAAAATTACTTACTTGCTTGTTGTTTCAGGAATTTAACAAGTGCAATTTGCTTTATGTTATATTTTCTAAGACAAAGCATTCATAAATATTTTCTAAAAGCACACAAATATGAATACTATATTGAATTTGACGATCAGCCTGCTCCAGTTGCAGACAAGTATCCCATTCATCGGCATTGCAGTCAGTCAGTTCGTATGTGTGCCATTTTCTTAGTCCAAAGCTGATTCAGTCTATCAGTCCACCGGATAGCCTCCCAGCCCTCCTGCTCAGAGGTATATGTCCCATCAACGATCATTGCGTCATCGAGCTAAGAGAACCTCTCAGTGGGAGGCTATCTTGGCGGGCTGCTATGATATGAAAGTATGCATCAGGCCATCCTTGCGTCATTTGTCAGTTCGTGGGTTAGTTAGATATCAATCCGCCCATTCATCGGTCAATCCAAGAGGGTGGGGGGCTACTCAACGAAGTTTTATACGGGGAGGCTCGTTAGATATCTGAGTTAGATATCATTTTTCCCTTGCAGATACTTTAGCTTGTTCGACCTCCCTGTCATTTTTCTTAGTTTACTGACCTTTTCGCCCACTTCCTTGCTTTTATAATTGTCGGCATTGTTGTTTTGGTCTACTGCTTGATCTCCGTTACATGGCGTATTTTCTTTTGACAACTTCTCCATGCGTTTGTTTTCTAATCTCCAGTACAACTCTGCTCGATATTCTAGAAACCAAAAAAATCGTAAAACTGACTTAATACACGTGGTGCAAAATATATTTAAAGTTGAAGCACAAGAGAAATGTCTAAAGAGCGTTTTCACATGACGTCACGGCGGCCATATTGGTGTTCCAAAACAGTGAAACGGCGGCCATGTTAGTTTACCAAGACAATCCTATGGGCGTTAAACTCATTTCTGATTTAAATTAGCATAGATGATGGTCACGTGAGAGAAAACGCTCCGTACCCTGTGATATCGAGTCTGACCTGAAAATCTTTTTCCTGCGATTTGCTTCACATCCTCAAACACGTGACCACATTCGCATGTTTTGCTTGACTTAGGAACCTAATAAGATGATAAAAAGACGTCAGAAATGAATACAGCCACATGAGAAAGAGGCCAATATTCAAATAAGCTTGGTCAGAAAAAAAGATTGATGATATGACCAGAAGTATTTTTTCAATGCGGGCAACCAGTCTTTACCTTGTTCGCTGGCAGTGCTTTCGAGACTGGCCATGTTACAAACAAGTAGACACATTGAAAATACCGGCCCTACTAAAATTTTACATTACTCAACCTTAAGTAATGAAACGATGATTTAAAGAAATAAACAACAGACAATATTCATGAAGGAAGTATATGGCATACTTTTAGATTAAGGCAGGTTTTTTGGAAAATGAAGAAAAGCTCCCCGAAGCTTGTGGCTAGTTTGGAGTCGCTAGAAAGAGGGATTTGATTAGTATGTATCGAGGTGCTCTTGTTAGCGGCTTGGTAACATTTTGGTCTACTTTAACAAATAAGCGAAGAATTTTAAACCGCTCGATCGATATTTTTAAAAATTTGACATTCTCGAGATTAACCGTTGTTTTATATGACCTTTGAGTTTCAAGATTATTTATTTATTGTAAGAGAGTAAAATAAAGGTTACAATTCGCTACTTTTTGTCAGAAATTTCGTGTTTACAAGTGAGAGCCTATCATTATTAAGGGGTATTGTCTCCAAGTTTCATATTTTCGTGGATAACGATAGCTACCATTTCTACACATTTCAAATGGATTGTTAGCTACCGTTGTTCACGTGAAAATGAAACTTAGAGACAACACCCCTGAATAATGAAAGGCTCTCACTTGTTAACACGAAATTTCAAACTAAAAATTACCCACTTGTTGTCCATATTTTAATGCCTTATAATGATCATAAAACGACGGTTTGCGACCTCGAGAATCTCAAATTTTGAAAAAATCTATCGAGCGGTTTAAAAATAATTTGCTCATTTGTTAAAGCAGACTAAAATGTGTACGAAACCGCTAACAAGTGCTCCTCGATACATACTAATGAAATCCTTCCTTCTAGCAATGGGCTAGAGCTATCTCTACGATCTTTCTCATACGTTTTTAAAAGGATTGAATCTACTATGAGGTGAGATTGCATTTCAAAAGCGCTTCGTTTCCTACAGATAACGGCTGAACATCAAGACTGTCCAGTTTTTACCGCAGTATTTCTAACCATAAAAACTTCACCCCTAAATATCTCGATAAAGCTGTTATAGATTTCGCTTAAACGTCACGAAAATCGAGGCAGCTATTGGAGAAAAAATCTCCCTTCAACGAGTTTAGAAGAACACTGGGTTCCCATTGCCGAGAACTACGGCTGCAAGTAAAATAGGTAATGGCGTCATTACGTTGCTATGAGAACTCCAATGTCATTGCAAGCCGGCCTGATCATAAGAAATTTTCATCTTTATCTAATACAGCTGCGATGGTAATTTTTTCAAACCTTTGTTAATGGCGTCGAAGTTTATGCTCAAACTTGGGAGGCATTGATCCTTAAAAACGCTGTCGAGCCGCCTTAAGTGACGCAGAGTCGTTAAAAGTTCGAAACAATCTTCCACAACGGATCGATAGTTGTCGACATTATCCATGTCTCTTGTTAAAAGTTGGGAAGTTGGGAAAATATGACGGCAAGATCACATCGTAGGCATCGCCTATTGTTTTGCAGTTTATTCAGTGCTAGCTTTAACGTTTTTACTTACGTTTTGGCATTGCCACAGTTCCGCAAAGGCAGCTGTGCTAATTAACTCATTTTTTTTCTCTTTCTTTTTGTCGTTAAACGTGATCTTCTACACAAACAATTTAGGGTGATGGAGTTTGTCTTTGCAGCCTTGGAGTGTTGAAAGGAAGCTTATAGAAGCCGTTGGCAAGCCTTTCAGGCATTAAAAGATCAAAATACCGTATTTATTCGAATAGGCATCCAACTCGAATTAGCGCCCACCTCGAATAAGCACCCATCCTAAAGGCAGAAAAAGTTAATAAGCGCACAGCCTCGAATAAGCGCCCACCCCTCCTCCTTTCAATCAAACTCAAATAAGCGCTCGCCCCCACCTCACCCACTTGAGTGAATAAATTCTAATAAGAGACTTCCGCGAGGACAAAGTTTTCTTCAGAGTATTTTACAGAAACCTTGCTTTGTTACTTCTTCGCGTTTTGTTATTAGCATTTATTGTTTTGTTGCAAAATAAACATACTTCACTTGCTGAAAATGGTAAAAATTTACTAAGCGCCCAGCCTCGAATAAGCGCCCTCTCTCAAGAGTCCACCTTTAATAAGCGCCCAGGGCGGTTAATCGAATAAATACGGTAACTACCGTGAGCCTAAATTCGAGAATTACGTTTTCACATCAGTGACGGTTTCTTAACATTGGCAGTCAGCGCAGTAGACAAAAATAACCAAGTCTCGTTAACAAGTCGGGGCTGGAAAAGGTTTCGATAAGAAAAGAAGAATAATAGGATGTTCATAATTCTATCATTCCTGCTCGGAAATTTTAGTTATTCCATGCAAGAGAATTCTCTCTTGTTCCATGTTATAAAATCTTGTTATTCCGGACAAAGGAAATCGTTATTCCATTATTCTCCAAAAAAGGGCGTTATTCACTTATTCAGGAGACAAAACTTCTGTTACTCTTGTTCTATTTTTTTCCGTCAGTCGCCGATAAGGCCCTTTCCTCACTGTCTGTCGCGTTATCCAGTTATCAGCATTCTTCGGTGCATGAAGAACGAAATAAGTGAAGTGAACAATGATCTCTCTGAATTGAAACTCTTCAGGGGCCCTTATGACAGCTGGGGAGGGCTGTAGTTCGCTCTTTAATTTAGTTAACTTCCAGTTTAAGGAGAGCGCTCCGGAGTGCTTGCTAGTAGGCTTTCTATAGACACATGGCATGCTCCGATTCGCCCAGAGGTACTCGCAAGGAATATCAAGGTTCTGTTCAGCTGTATTAAAAGGCTACGGTTTTTTTTTAAAGCATGGTGGACTTGAATAAAGTTAAAATGTGCATGTAGTCCTTTCTTCAGCGCCAAAACCGAAGGTATGTGGCTAAGGTGAATAGTTATCGTAGAGTAATTACCTTTTAGAACCTTTTGCTCTTAAAAGGAAAGTTACGCTCTGACTTTATCCGGCCGGGGCGTACTGTGGATCCAACTTTGGGTGAAATCTTGATAATCTTCACTTTCTGCCTGGATCTCTATATTAAATTAATCCTATAACGCATCCACAAGTTAACCGCATTCTTGTTAATTCGCCTTGTTTTGGTTGCAAAATAAAAATTTGGAGCTCATTTTCAGCAATCGGGCCTGCATCCGCACAGCACCAGGTGACACGAACAAGTTTCTAGAATCTTGAAGCTTTATGTTTGCAGTCGAGTCAGGGCCAGAATGATTGCCGCGTAAGGCTCTTTGAAATACTAGCTAAAACACAGATAGGTTATTTTCGACTCTGGACTTTACCTTTAAGGGGATTAAGCTCATATTAGACAAAAGTTTCGGCCTCTGCTGATAAAAGTTTCGTATTCATACAGATTACCACTGATCATTTACGCTCTCCGGACGTGACTACAATCCTCGGCAATCGTTGATTCTTGGCCAAGAGGACAAGAGCGATTCGTGATTTTTAAAATGGGCCTCTTTCCTGTTCAATTCAAGAAACAGTCTTTGGTTAAAAATACCGGAATTGTACCAAGTCTATGTTGTTTACGCACGACAGCTGTTTGCTTTGCCAGACCATGCGTTTTCTTATCGGTTCTAAAGTTTCGGGGCGTTTAGTCTCGAAGATGCATAAATTACTGTTACCCAATGTTCATTAGTCTGTATTCTGGTAGAATCAATATCTCTAGCGTGCGAAAATTTGTCGCTTTGTCGAGTACGTATATTTGAGAAGCGTACATTTTGTGGTTAAGCTCCAGAGATTCAGTGAAGCGGAAGACTCTCAGATTCAAGACTACCGAGTTTGAGAAAACATCATTTCGACGCGATGTGAATTAATTTCGCTCCTTTATACCAGACAACAACTAAAGCACATGTATTAAACACAAGCGACATAGAGAAATTCACCAGCCAATAATAACATGATTCAGACATGGTCTACTCACCACGGCATTACAAGCTAAGCACTGTTGAACAGACATGATTTAAACGTGTTAAACTCGTTTGAATTCAACTCAAGCAACCAACTAACGTGGCGGTGTAGCGGAGTACAGCAAAACGTGGTTTCAGGCGTACAAGCTGGCCTTGTTTTGACCCGAATCAAACCTGCCTTCTGTGCCAAACGGGTAGTAACACAACTATGACGTCACAAAATTAAAAACAACTGACGAAACAACGCATGGATTTAACACAAAATCTCTCGTGAAAACTTGTTAATGGAAATTTCAATGTAGATAGTCGTAACCCGCAAAAGTAACAAATAACTCCCAGCATCTAAAGAAGAAAACAGAGAATAAGTATATATTTCGACGATGATTCCCTTAAAATGCAGGAGGTTAGTTTAAGCTTGGCGCTCCCCGGCCGAGGTCTTTTACACGAATGGATATCAGTGCAGCCTTACAAGCTTAGCATCACGCGGACTGTGATTCAAGAGCTTCTAGTTGCTCAGAAAGTTTATGATATAAGTGAACAGGAGAAAATAAATCAAACAAAGGAAGCAGTACGTGACCACCTTCTCTCGAACTGTCAAACAGATTTGTGAAAACTGAGTGACGCTGAATTTTTTATCAGTTTTACATTATGTTGTGCATCTTTTACGAGGAAGAATTGAATTTTGCTTGCCGAGGAAATCGTTACTTAGAATATAAGCATGGCATGCGAACTGTGAGGCAAACCGATGAAATTCAATTTTGTCTCCATGCTCAGTAGTCCATTCAATATTTTCGCCGTCATTCTCCCGCAAAGTTCATCGTAGCTTGCCATAAAGCCGGGAATTCCAGTGAGTGTTATGCTTGGAATTTTACCTCCATCAGTTCGTTTCAAGAATTGTTTATAATTGTTTGCATGCCATAGTTGGTCAGTTAAAATATTCAGTGTAAACTTTAAGTTTACTCACACGTGAGGGTTAAGCCCTTATTCCTAAAAAAGTGGAAGTTTCCAAGCCAAGATAGACGACATCCGAAGCGGAAAAATATCATGATCCTTATCATCCACGATTTCCTCGAGAATGAGAAACACGATGAACAGAAAAAGTTCACAACCTTGATGTAACGAGCCTTATATAACGAGCGATTTAGTAATAGTAAAACATATGAAAAGAACCTTGAATATATGGAGACCTCGTTATAGCGAACAGATTTTGCCAGTTCCTTGGCCGTTCATTATATCGCTCTTTCCACTCGTACTGTGAACTGAGTCGACTATAAGCCGGCAAGAGTCAAGTTAGAACCACCGTGTACAATGACATTGCACTGAAAGATAGACTTACGATCGACTTGACCACAGGGCGACTAGTTTAAGTCACTCTTTTCCGAGTCCTAGTCCTTGACACAGGATTTCTTCCATCCCAGATCGAGTTAGCACCCGCAACCTGTGCAACACAATGAAGTGATAACAGCTCCCACACAAGAAGGTATTGCTTACTAATTTAATCCGGTTAAGCAGCCCATTATTTGGACGCTGCGAATACACCTCAAACCACTCAGCTGTAAAGGAATGACTCTTTATTCATTGACAGTGGAACCTCGATAGAGTAATTTTACTTAACCCGTGACTGATCGGTGATTAATGTAGGTAGTAGAATACTACACACTATTACGCACTAATTCCATTGTCTTCTTTTGTTTACTAGTAGCTATTTAACAGTGTAATAGTTGTTAGTATTTTTTTCACGGGTCAAGTAAAATCACTCTACAACCAACCTCTATGTAACGAAGTCCTCGATATAACGAACGATTGCCTTTACGCCCCAGTGATAATAAAATACAGTCAACTCTCGCTAAGTCGGACACCTCTGGGGCCGGTACTAAGTGTCCGTCTTAGGAGAGATGTCCGTCTTATTATATAGAGAGTCAAATAAAGGGGATAAAGAAAGGCAGGGACCAACTCTAGGTGTCCGCTTTACAGAGATGTAGGTCTTATAGAGGTGTCCGTTAAGAGAGAGTTGAGTGTAGTATGAAAATGAAACTTGATATAACGAAACCTCATTATGGCGAACACATTTTTCCAGTCCCTTGGAGTTCCACTGTAGAAAAGTCACTTCTCACAAACAGCAATCAAACGTTTTTAGTAAAAAACTTGTAATGGCTAATAATGATTCAAGCCATCAATGGTAATTGCCATTGTAAACGGCACGAGCTTAAAACAGTGGTCATACTTGGATTACTTAATGTTCCGCAATGGCTCAAAAATTCAAAGTAAAATTACATTGTGCGCCATGATAAACTTTGCCTTTGCCTGAAAGAAACTACCCACCAATAACTTCTTCCGAGTCAGTACAGTAAAATGAATTAATTCAAAGGATTTTCAGTCAATTGCTAAAAGAAAAACCATTCCCCGGGGGAGTGGCTATGATGGAACTACGTCATCAAACTTTATGATTTGATCCTTCGACTTACACATCTACTTTAGTTTACCCGAACCCAGTATAACGGTTAGTTTTTTTAAAATATTTTTAGCTTTTCTACTTGTTTTAGAGTCTTCTTTTATTGACTCATTTTTGTTTTAAAAAGCACAACTGACATTTACAGCAATTTTAAATTTATGGTAATGTCATGTACCATTTTTTATTGTGTATCACGTAGTCACAGATCTTTGGTTTATAGGAAATATATGATGCGCATTTCAAACAAACGTTTAATTTTTGTTGCAATCTACCTACGTCAGCTTTTGCGGTTTCTTTAAAATAACTGCTAAATTCCTTAGACAAAACGTATAGGACCGCTTGCGGTGAGGTCATGCGGTCTTAAGTTGTTTTGTATTTTTAGATTTGGCCAATGCTGAAACGTTGCTGTCAGTCGGCCATTTTTACTCTCGCAATACAAATTAATTTAATATCACTGAGGTCTAAACGTTTTCACCATAATTATAACTGTCAACGCCAGAGCCGCTGAGCAGAGTGTAGGACAACCCATAAAACAACAAGGTTTCACTGCATTGTCAAACTACAAATCAATCGAATCATTAGGGCCAAGAGAAAAAAGACTGAAAAACGTGGACAGGGAAGACACGACACGCGTAACTTGCTGAGATAGATTTAGGTTGTGTTCCTTTTAGCCAAACTTTTTTCGGATTTAGACAATCCAGATTGTTTGGATTTTCGTGCTAGCAGGAACAAAAATTCCGAGAAATAAGATTGATCCATACAGTAGCTACCTGCTGCTCATCTTCTTCTCAATTTCAACACATCGTTTTTAATTTCTTTCCGCCAAATTAAGCGTCTTCTCGTGGAGAAATTTAAAGAAAAGTAGCTCTTAACTAGTGGTGGTTCATACTTGGACTGGTCAACTTCAAAATTATCTGGAATTTGATTCAAGAAAATTCAGAAGACATTTACGAATTTTCAAATGCTGAGACGGCTCTGAACACACGCACACATTGGACACTAGTTTTACGCTGAGAAAATCCAAGCGTTTTCGCTTCGATTCCTTTACGGATTTATAATTACAGCGGAACTTGGTTTAATGTTAATACTACAATCCTTTAGCGGCATAGAACAACGAAGGAGTGTAAATTACATTCACGACCCGAACTAACCTCGACCTGCTGTGTTTATCGATGATTGATCACGTTCTTGTGATCGAAAGCAGTTTCGTTTAATGGAACAAAAATCTGAAACCAGATTGAGGTACCAATCTGAACGACGAACCAAGCGCGGAGGTGGATCAGTTCAGATTGCAATCTTAGATTGGTTTAGTCCTTAATGGAACAAAAAATCAAATTTCTGATCGCAAAATCCGGATTTAGATTGTTCAAAATGAACGCAACCTTAATAATCTTTCACTCAAGCCTGCTTGAAATCCGGCTTTTCTGAACTATTCTATTTTCAACATTCTTCTAATCATTTCTACTTCTAAAGTCTTTTTAAAATTCATTATACTCATTACATAGTGTAGAAAAATTACCCAAAACCTTCAAAGCATTGAACATCAAAGCACTTTGACTGGTTTTGCTCTCCCGCATCCGCTCCTAACTCAACTAATGATATTACTGGTGTTCCGCACTAGATCGTCAGTCGTTTGAATTTTTTATGGCATGAAGCGCTAATGATCTGAGCTCGACTCTGTCTTCTGTGCCAGAGGGGAACACAGACTCAATGTTCTTTGCTAGCAGAGGTGAATCTCACGGCGAGAGAAAAATGAGACAAGTCCTTTTTCCCCCAATAACGTTTAATTACAATCTTTGAATGAAGACAGTGTATAATTGGACACATGAATTTGAAATAATCAAGAGAGGATAAATAGAGAGAATAATCGTTTCCTTTCATTTGAAGAATTATTATTTTACACTACAATGCATTGCATTTTGAGTGTGGCGGCTACAATAGGTAGAGCGTCAGGTTTTACAACCAATCTGATGTACATAGAAATAAGTAAAAGCTATTGAGAGAAGCCTAAGTTGGCTTATCTTATACCGAATGCAGAAAAATCTTTAACTAATTTAAACTGAATGGCTAAATAGAACTTTAACCCTTTTTGACTTTGCGTTTCAGTCCAGTAAAAGGGATAAGGTCTTGACACACTGACAGAGTGGAGACTATGTAATGGAAACCAAAGCTAGAAATGAAGTGGCCATGACGCAAAAAAAGCCCCAAGTCAATCAATTCACTAAGTAATGGGTTTTTTTTAGTAACATCGTTGAGTCAATAGAATGAACGCTCACTAATGCATTAAATCGAACTACCAGCTGTAGGTCGGGTATGAGAGAGCAATATACTTGAACATTGTTTATGTACTTATAGAATGAATAAAACGAAGAATTGTGGCTCCTTGGATGATTAGCTGCAATCACTTTCGGTCACTAAGAGAGACAATGAAAATCAGTGAAAAGCATTGCAGTAACAGCCAGTAAAAACTGGATATCTTTTTTTATTTTTGAAGACCGTTTATTACTTTGTGTAATTCTGGTTTTCACCCTGTCTAAATAAAGTCTTGTTGTTGCTGTTGTTATAGTTTCAGCTCATCCCGTCGTCCACAACCCCTGCTGCAAGTACAATATAAATTCCACTTCCGGGACAATGCCGACTGATTGAAGATAGACTGAAGGTCTAAATATTAAGTCTGTTTATTTTAGTATTGCTGAAACTACAACAAAAAAAATCGACGACAAAATTAGTTGAAGTAGTTGAGACTCTTTCTCAACACTATTTACTACTTCAAAAGGGGGAAAACAAGCTCTCTCTTCCCCAAAGGCCACCTCCACTGAACGATCCTGTGCCGCTATAGGAAACACCAAACAACCAAACTTTGGATGAGGGGGAGGGGTACGGGGTACAAGTAGTTTCCAAAATATACCTTATTTGACGACAGTGTTTTGAAGTTCTTAAGGCACTGTTAGTCAGAATTGCTTCGAACTTGACTTTTCTCCTGTATTTGGCTGAGTTATTTCGACGAAGATTAAGCCGTAATGAACCTTTTTCTCCCTTATTTTCCTGTTACCCTCCTGAGTGTAGACATCAGCGTGACGTAATCAGTGATGCCCGTATTGGTTGCCGTACATGTAGATAGGAACCGAGCGCACACGCTTTGAAGAAATCTTTAATTGGAACTAGATATGATTGTCCAATTTTGCTCTGCTTTGTTGAATTTGATATCAAATTCACTCATAAGTTTGGTGGAGTCGCAAGAGAAAATAAAAAAATAGGAATACGACTCGCGAAAATTGCTGAATTTCGACTACCCCGGCAAGGCTACCTTTAATTTTATAGTCATAGACTGCATTGAAGTATTTGAAAAGAGACTTTTATTGGGGAATTAAACTCCGTGGTTGGGCGAGAGGTGCTCTGCCACTAACCGAGATAGTTTAATCAAGTCACCTTATCGTTCAGGAACATGTCGTTTTATTGTTGGTTTTGACTCATTCAGTTCAGAGACAGAACTCTGAGCTTTTATTGAAAGGCTTACTGTCATATACGAGTTACAGCCAATAACATTTGGACAACTCGCTTTCCTTTGCGTAAGATTATCAAACAGAGGAACTTCCAAATACGATGATCTTCGCACCTTTACAACCTAAAGCTCATTTCATTGTCTCTTAAGTTCTTGTTTCAACAACAGGTGGAAACACCTAGTTGATTCGCTTTACGATCGCAAAGCTTAACGACATTTTTTTATATCTTCAGTAAATTATACCTTCTAGCTGAAAAACCTCTCGTAACAATTTGTGACAGATTTCCCTGTCAGTGCTACTCTCTTCCGCGTCAAAACCTTCCTTGTTTTGAACGGTACTAACAAAGTTTCGCTTCCGTTTGCTTTCTTTTATGTTCTATTATTACCGAAGTTCAAAAACTTCCCCACAGGTAAATCTTCGACAGTCCCATATAAACTGATACATTTGTTCGCTATCAGCGGTTTAACAGGTGATATTTTTTTAAACGCTATTTTTAGACGTATTAGTGCGTCACAATATGCCCTGTAACTATTATGGTGCAATAAACGCTTATTTTAGAGGTGACGTCAAGCATGCCTAATTAAGCATTCCGTGATGTTTTATAATGCAGAGATATGACGTGTAGTCAGCAGTAGATGAGCGACGATTGAGTAAAACGCTAAGCTTGTGAACCTCAGAATGCTTCAACAGTGTCTTGCCTGTAATGCTTTGGTAAGTTTCATTGCCTGAACATAAATGTCATGGTAAATTATTTAATTTTCGTTCTTTAGTTAAGTACGGAAGTCGATCAAGTGAAGGCCCAGCTTACCAGCCGAGGTTATCTGAGCCAAAACATCATGTTCTAAATGAGGACATACTTAAAACATTTGCCGATAGTCTCGCTCGCTTAGCCTAGTCTTTTCAAATTTTGTGGCTTCAAACATGCTAAAAACGACTAAAAACCTCAAGAAAACTTGTTTACTTTCAACCATATTAATTTGTCAGTTGTATTTCTCGGAATTTTAAGCATCCATGTAAACTAGAAACATTGCTCCTGGGTGACGGACCTTATAAAGTAGAATATCAGTTTCTTAAAGGAAATTGGAAGTCGATGACTTAAAGTGAGTACCCCAAACTATGCCACTGCGGATGCACATAGGGGTGATCAGAAGGAAGACTTCATAAACATAATTATACCCAAAACCACAGAACTGACCGAGCACCTAGAAACAAATGTTGGGTGCGATTTCAATTTGTGGTAGAATTAAGTCATACTTTTTAGAACCTGTTCATAAACGTAAGTTTATATTCGGCTAAAGTTATGACATTAACAGAGGGGTGGCGAAACTTCACGTAAAAAACTAACTGAATATTTTCGACATATAAGTCTTGATTATTCTCCCACCGTGTGTCACGAGAAAAGTATCGTTAATTCCAATAAAAGTACAATTTTAAAGCTTGAAAATGTTCTTTTTTGATCAAAGGAGTAAGTTTCACGAAGATTTAGTACCGTGCGTGAACATCCCACAGAAGTGTTATATATTTTAGAATAATTTTACTGATGTTACTAAAAGTAAGCTTTTGTGGGTGAAAATACTGTTACAGGACGTGTACGTATGAATAAAAGACGGCTTTGAAGGTAGTGGACTGAAAGTAAACATACACTCGGGAGGGTGTTCTTATGCTTACCTCGAGAAAGAATTAAGTCTTTGTAGTGATGTCACTGAACTGGTTGTAACTGGCGGCTGATTTGTGCATCAGCGAGCACACGTACCCTTCAGGATTGGATTCTAGTGTAGTTTATACGACATTAGTTTAAAGAATTCTCGCCTTCCCGGCTTCAACATATAAACAATATCATAATTTCATTACAGATCACCGGGTCATCAAGATCTTGTGTTTGTGGTCATGTGCTCGAAGATGCCACCCGTTTTATTGAAGGAAAACGATTTTCAGGTAACAGTAAAAAAAAAATTTTTTTTATAGTGTTAAAGCGGAACTCCAGCTTAGAAATTAAAAGTTAAGCTTGAGGTCATGGCTGAGCTCGAGGGTTCAGTTTCTGTCGATTCTTTAAAGAAAGTCAGTCAGTGATGAATTCTATCAAAAAAAAATATTGGGGAAAACTCCTTGGATCACCTCTCCGAAAGTACTTATTGACATCTCAGTCAGTATGTCACATATGGAAAATTTATGTGGGACGTTCAAAATCTTCGTGTTGTCTCGAGGCTTTTGTACTCACTGAAACTTAATAGACAATTACCATTTCGTGGATTTAGCGGGGTGGGTGAACCGAGGGGCGCTCCCCCTTCTTCTATTCTTTGTGTCTGAAATTCTGCACAATTTCTAAATAATTCTGAGCTCTAAAAGCCTGTTTTCCAAATAATATAACTGGTACAAAAAACAGCCTCGCCCCTCTTTCAGAATTTTCTGGATCCGCCTTGATTCATGGTCGGCGTCTAAGGTACACTAGAATGAATAAAAAAGGAGCTGTTGCAAAACGGTAACAAACTACAGCGTAACTGAACTTAACTATAAATCAGTACATTAGAAAAGTATCCATGCTTGGCCACTAATGCTTGAGTTACATACTAGGTATGATTTAAAAGAAATCTCAATATACACTTTCGGAGAAGATTTGGGTGCTTAAACATTACCTCTTATTTCCATAACTGACCGCAGCAACTGGTAGCGACCGACTATATTCCTCTCGTGGACGAGAAATGTAACCGCTCTTGTTTATCTGTGACCTGAAAACCGCATTTTGTTGTTCTTTGAACTTACTAGAATATCGTGCCATGCTCTACTCCCGTCTGGAAAATAGGAGAATGAAAAACAAAGAAGCGAAAGAGAACACAAAAGAAAGGCCGAGAAAGCAACTGCAGCCTCTCAGAGAACTCAAGGTACGTGTTAGACCCATGTTGGTCGATAGTAGTTTTTTTAAAACTAGGCGATACTCTTTGTTGTTCGTTTTAGCATTAATACACTCAGTGGCTTAACTATGAATCTCTCTTGTTACGTTTTAAGTATAAAGACTTAATGACGGATCACTAAGCAGTTCATCTTGAACTGGACGAACTGAATAAATGACGGAGTCGGCAAATCAGATATCAATAAATAAGCCATTTCCCATTTACTCAGTCAGATTATATTTTCACAGAATCAAATGCCGGCTGTTTTAACAGAGCATCCTACCTTCAAACCCACAAGAAAACGGCGATCAAAAGTATCAAGAGCTACAAACAAAACGCCGAAAAAAAGAAAAGAATTATCTCAGGTCTTAAAACAGCCTCGTCAGCAGTCTAGTGCTGTGCCACAAGAACTCTTGACAAGATTTCCAAGTGCCCTTCAAAGAATTAACCAAAAGATAATGGCACAGAATATGGTTTGGTTAGCCTTGCAATTGGAGTGAGGTAAAGATTATCATGGGGTCCATAAAGTGGAAGTGCATGTTCCCACAAGGTGGATAATCTCACGGAGAAACCAGTCACGATGTTCTTTAGTTGTGACTCATGGTCAGAGGTCGTTGATAAGATTGCCAGTTCGCGGCCAGCGTTCTATGGTCCTACTTGTTTGAGCAAGGGCTTAAACAGGGAGTGCATGGCTTTGCTGGTCATTGACTTGTGTTAAGTTACTCGTACTTTGACGAAAGAGTATCGGGTATTTTGGGTATGATACGTTTGTGTTATGGGAATGAGACAAAAACCGAGCAAGATGTAATGAAAGTCTCGGCATTCTTGACTGAGCAGCATATCTCTTGGGTTTGTCAAGTGGAAATTGTACATCATAACCGAAAAAAGTACCTTCTTGCGCAAAAAACTCTAAGGATATTAGCAAAAGTACAACAGCCATTGCAAGGCGTTTAAGTCGTTTTCTGATCACCACTTAGTCTGCATTACTGGCAAAAAGTTAAGCAGATTGTAACAGTTGAGAAGCTGTTTTAAAAGTATTGATCATACATCATTCGTTTCGCGGGGTTACACCCAAAGTAGCTTAAACTAACGAAATTAACGAAGTAGTCTGCGCAATCTTTTAGGATTGAACGTTAAAAATGACTGATCGCGAGATTTCGAAATGAGGCGATAACATCAAACGTCACTTTATAAATGGTATTAGCCATTATTGTTTAACTTCACCGGCCCTTAAAGTTTTACTTTCGCTTGCTTTTTTGTGCTTAAGACATCAATACATAACAGTCTGAAGTGTCACGTTCTCGGAGCCTTAGTCAATGCCACTAGGTCGTGCCTACAATTGCCTTATCAAAGTACGTCTGAAAATCACAGTGCAAAGTCCCGGATAGTGATCTCTTGAAAGTGAATAACAATAAAATGAATAAATAAATAAAAAGCTAAAAATTGTACTTGTTTGATATTGTTTTGTCCAGCAGTGTGCGTGAACATGCGCAACAAGACAGCCCTGCGACCCATCAGTCTGTTTTATGCACAAAATATAAACTTTTAGAGGATTCGACCCAAAGGTCACCTTTTTATGAAAAGTCCTGGGTGTATTATGAAATTTACTGAACTGATCAGACATACACAAAAGATAAGTTAAAAAAAGCCTTGAAAATGTAGGAAAGTCTTAAAAATAATGCTTAAGATTCGTGCTTTCGGCTATCCAGAGCAACAGCAACTGTAAAAGCGCTATACTCACCTTTAGAACATCCTGAGGGTAATGTAAGTTACTATAAATATCGTTTAATTAATCCCTTGAGAAAACTACCAAACAAAACCAGCAGAACCGAACAGTTGAAAAAAGAGAAGACATACGTCAGACCGCGATCGATCGATCGTAAGTTCCTTTTTCTAGACTGTGAACTACAACAACAGCAGAATTGGTTTATTCATAAATTTTTCATAAATTAAGGCTGCCTGATTATTTTTCTGACTTTTTCCGAAAAAAGATCCGCTAGTTTTCATGATACATAGGATCCAAGTGACATGGCCTCTCTTTGCTGTACTTAACAGTAATGGGCCAGGCAAGCAACTTAATTTCCGGCTTTAAGAAGCCCCTGATGAAAAAATTTCCCCTGTATAACAAAACCTTTATAAAACGGATGACATCGTTCGCCCCAGTTATAGAATAAAATGTTTCGAACAAGACCCCAAAATTACGTTCCCCCGTTATTATAACGAACTGTTTTCCCAGTCTCTTATAACTCTTCGTTATATTGGGCTTCCGGCCTTAAACATGCTTAAAGCGAATCAGAAACAACTAGAGACGTGCGTCCGTTGCAGTGCGTGTCAGTTGTTACAATTTAAGTACGTTTCAACAAACTTCTAGACGTTTCTACGGCCTGAAACAATGCATGCTTTTCATGTTTTTCGCAATCTCTCTCTTAATGTATGCACGCATTAAATGTAATAAGTTGTTTATTTTAAAATGACGTCACACAATTTACCGCTCCTGCAATATCACACGTATATATCAGTTATAAAAGCACAGCAAATCAAACCAGTCAGCAGTTTAACGTTGCCAGCTGAAGAAGGATTGACAAATAGACTTATCAGAAATAACAGACGTTATAGGCTTCAGTCATATACTGCGCTGAGTCGTTATGGTGTTGCAACAATGTGTTGCATGTAATGTCTTGGTAAGTGCTGATGTGTGTGACGAATACACTTGAACAGATCACATAATTTTCATTTCCGTGTTGTTTTGCGCTCGGTGTGACTGCCAAGCTTTTTCATCATTTTTTTTGCCAAAGATTGAGAGAATGTGTAGGTTAGGCAAAGTTCAATCGGTTGTAAATGTGTAGCTTTTCTTGATATTTCCGCGTGACAGAACTGAACTCACGACAATCTTTTTTCTGGATGTGGCTGTTCTTCGTTCATGCGTAAATAAATAACAATTCATGCAATTGACAACTGCTGGTATCTCAGATTTTCTTCATTTGATTTGGGGCCGGATTTTATTCAAAAGGAAAAACAGGTGAACGGCAAGATTTTATTTATTAATATGAGGGGGGATTTTTGTGGGGCGACTGCTGGAGAAGAAAGTCCATGTCCAAAGATCTGTTATTTGCACGGCACTATTCTGGTGCTTTTATTTTTTTAAATTTAAGTTGGGGAATTCTTCGGTCAGGATAACATAAAGACTTATTCCACAGACGCGAAATAATAGACTGCATGCCTCCATAATGAGGGAGTTAAATAAGCTTAAATATTCCATGTTTTTCCTTGAATTATCCGCCGAATAAGGAAGGAAAAAATACGCCCATAAAAAAAGCCAAAAACTCGTTTATAACTGATCCTAAACACGTAAGGCCTACATCGATAGCTTTGTCTTCGGCTTCCTCCTCAGTTTAAAACGATTTAATTTTAAGATTGTTACCGTTTTTGTTTGTAGACACCATGGCCAAATATTCTATCGAAAGCCAACTTTAGCAAGCTAAATTAAATAATTCAAGTCGCGCGTCATGTCCTTTTTCTTTAGCTCTTGTCGTTTTAACTGAGGAGAAGGAAAACACTGAAAATGTTTTGTGCCTGCAAGCAATAAGCTGCTTACAGATCAATCGATCAAAAACAATTAAATCACATCCAAACGCTGGAGCAGCATAATAAAGAATTCAGTAAGCAAATGTCATTCCCTACTTAACTGACAATACAGGATTTGTGAGCTTAAGCCGTCTCGAATGCATTAAAGAGTTTAATCTTGTGAAGAATGTATACGATGAGTAACGGCGACCCGCTTGCTCGATCCACAAGATGCCGTTTAGATACATGTAGTGGGAAATTTGAGCGTCCATCTTTAAACTTCAGCCCTCGTGTCCTCAGTATCATAAGGTCACCTAAAATTCACTTCCACACCAACTAAACTGGGCTGCTCCAGCATCATCCCACGACCATCTGAAACGAGCACGGACGACATTGCCAGTGACCAGTGTAGCCTATGTTATTTGCAGATCACTGATTCAACGCGGACATGCGTATGCGGCCACGTGCTCGAAGATGTCAGCCGCAACATCGATGGAAAACGATTCTCAGGTAAAAACAAACAAAAGCTTAAACAAAAAAACGCAAACGGAGAACTCTGGAGAAATTTGAGGCTTTGTAACTGTAGAGAACGGGTTGTTTAAACAGTGGTGCTGAGAAGTTGATTGTCAACTATGAAATTCATAACTGCTAGGCCCGACTTTCAAATCCTTCTATCCTTGGTTTGTCAACTATGGTTTGTTTGAAAGAAAGTTTTTGAGATCTATAGTTGCCATTTTAATTGCTTTGTCTGCCATCCAAGTGTGAGAGGTTATGTCAGCAGGTTCTGTCATATTGCATGAGAGGGCATTATAATATTCAAATTATTTGTCGCACGTTTCTCATTGACTTATCTTTCGATAAGAACAAAAAGTAGTTCGTGCGAAAAAACACAATATAATACGATGTTTCTATCGTAGAATATCGAGCGGAATTGTATTCTCGTCTGGAAACAAGAAAGAGAAAAATGGAATCAAGTGAAAACGCGAAACAGTCACTTACATACCCCGAAAACTTAAAGGTACATGCTATTTTTTTACACTTAATTATCCTTTCTGAACACGTGATACAAAAAAGAAAAGAGGAACTAGAAAATTTTACTTGACAGAGGAGAGTCTTGGCATTTTTATTCTTTTAAATTTTAATTTCAGTTTTGCTTATCAAGTGTGGTACCAAGGACTGGTCAAAAATGAACACTTAGTTCGTTGATCAGCCACGTGAAAGGATGCACGCTCCGTGATCTTCCCGCGCGCGATAACGCTGCCTGCGTGGCTTATCTCTGATCTAAGTCGAGGCCATGCAGGAGCTATTTACACGTAGCCTCGTTTTGGTAAAGAAGAATGCAAATCAAAAATGGCGTAATGGTGTGGTTTAATTGGTAAAACTCTATGCAAGAATTTTCTTAAGGTCTGGTTACATGGAGCTAGGGGACTCCAGGTTGGTCATGTGACCCTCTTAGGTGGGGTAACCCGCCTGTCCATATAATCTCTCATTATAATTTGAACACGTTTACAGTGATAGGTGGGGTGACCCGCCACATGTTAACTGAACTATCTGGGGTCCCCCCTCCTCCACGTAAACAGGCCCTTAGTCGGTCTTGATCTTTCAGTTTCGCCGACTCCTGTCCGGAATCGAATGAGAATACTAAGCTGTAGCAGAGGCATATAACCCTGAAAGTGTTATATGCTTCTGGCTGTAGAAAACACCTTGTCACTTGTTCGAGAGAGTTTAGTTTTATCAAAATATTCTCTTTGGAAGGGAGGTAAAGAATCCATTGATAACCGGGGTAACGCAAGAAATCCCCTTAATTTTTAACCATCTAGGTTTGAACTATATTTTCAGTAAAGAAATTTTTTCAGAATTGTTTGTGGTACCTGGTCGTGACGTTGTTCACGCTTTCGAGACAAAACGGGACCATAAGATAAAAGAAACCTCTCGGAGTATTCTATACACAGCACGTCTTTATTATTTGTTTATTTCTCCAGGACTCAAATATGACGGGATCATCAATGCCTGCTGAACGTCCGGGCAGAACAACACCAGTAAAAAAGAGAAGTTCTGCGGATAAAAAACCGTCCAAGAAAAAGAAATCAAAAAGAAGAGCAAAGCGAAAGCATACAGGGGTATCCTTAACATTGAAAAGACAACAAGAAAACAGACGTGTAAACGTGGTACCCGTTGAACTGTTGCTAAGATTTCCAAGCGCTCTCCAAGAAATCAACCGAAGAATAATGGGACAGAATAGCATATGGCTTGCCTTACAAATGGACAAGAAGACTCTCTGTTTTCAAGATTAGAAGTAGAATATAAAAGAAAACGTATCCTCCTTTAGAGGACATGCCGATATCAGCAAAGACGCTGCAACGACGACGGCGACGGCAGCGGAAACGTAAATATCAAAAAGTTTAGCGTTTCTCAAAGTTTTTCGCGATTATTTCAACCCCCTTAAAATGTCAAGTGCAAGTAAATTTCCCTGAAATCGAATTCTTGGAGACCGAACCTAACTTTACAAGTACGAAAGAAAAATTTGTCGAGGTGTGTTTACGTCCTCCATAAATCGACCCGTGAGCGAATTTTACGTTGTAGCGGCAAAGAAATGAACAAAAGTGTGCTTTGGCTAATTAAAACCTATTTCTTTTTTTTTTTTTTTTTTGGACGTTTTCGTTGCCGTTGCCGTCGTTGTTGCTAAGGCCCACTCCACACGTATCCGAATATTTTTGAATTCGCAAATTTTTCTTTGCGGATACAAAAATTATCATGTCCACACGTAGCGTATTCAAATCAAATTTGCCTGTCCACACGTATTTTGGATTCACTCTCGGTTGAATCTATTTCAAAAGGTTCGGACTGACAAAGAACGTCTTGGAATTTCCGGGTTTTCCATACAAACGGTAAGCGCAGTACGTCTGCCCACAGGGATGGAATACGCGGTGGGGGAAAGGCTTCAGATCAAATAACTTCAGTCAACTCAAGACTCCTCTTGGTCCACTTTATTTCAAAGGACACCTTCCTGTTCCTTACCATTATTCAGGCAAAGCCCCAATATCCACATGCAAATTCTCCACACTTATCTCCATACATTTCCTTAGAGCATTAGTCGAGAGAATTTGATAAAAGATCTAAGCACTTTCTCTTTGGCAATCATTTTATTAATTCTTATTACTACTTTTCTTAATAATGTATGGATAAAGTTTGGAGAAGATTGATGTTGGTCACTCGGGGGACTTAAGAGAACTGACGGTATAACTGACAAAACCAAACTATACGTAAATCATTATTAAAAACTATATGCTTTGCTGAACCCAAAAAGGGGCTTCAGCTTTTTAACATACGTATCATTATTATTTAAAGTTTCAAACAATCTCCAAAGATTTAAAAAACATTGTGTGACCACGTCTTGAAGACTTGCTCAACAACTCATTGGAAAACAAAAAAATTATAATCTGTTTGTGAAGAAAAGGTACTTTAAAGTCAAAATGACCGTGGGCTTATGTACTTTGAATATGAAAAAAATTTATGTAAACCGCAACTTACCCGAAAACAGTAAATTACAGGCTGAAATACGAAAAATAAATTGTCTAAACATAGATAAAAATTCTACCACGGCAGCGTTAAATAACCTTTAACAGGCAGCTAAACAAAAGAAGACCTATTTTGAAAAATTTTAGCGAACAAAGAAAAACTCACTTTTCTTACGAGACTCGAATATATAGACAAAAAATGATCCATTTAAAATTTACAAGTAAGTACCAAAACATATACAAATCGACTAAGTCTGAGCAAATAGAAACAAGTTCTTACATTTAATATATTACGGCTGGAAATTTTAGATACTTACGTCTTCTTCTCTTGTGCTAAGTTTTTCGTTCTGCTAAATAAAATTTGCCTTACTTTTGGTTTCAAAGTTTAAGAATTTGTTTTTTGAGAAACATTGCTTAAAATTGGTTATGCTTTATTACCGTTGGCGAATTCCCCTGATATCAGGCAGATCAACATCTGATTCATTAAGTTACATACCGTGCTCCGAGAAAATGAGGTTTTATCTTACAGTATACGAACACCCGTAAACAACCGACATTTGGCTACGCCACTAATGGTTTTCCTGCGAAAAGGCGTCTGAGGAACGACTGCAAAAATTCCGTACTGATGACGTGTCACTACGCAGATGTTGGTAGTGCTTCTGATTTGTTGTACCACGTGGGAAATCTGCTTCAACCAATCAGAAGCATAACCCAGAACTGCATTGTGACACGTCATCAGTATAGAATTTCTGAAAACGTTCCTCAGACGTCATTTCGCGGGGAAACCAAATGTCGAAATGTCGGCTGTTTTCTCAGGCTAACCGGCGACATCCGCCGTTAAAACTGCATCCTTCCCGCACTCTCATGGCACGTATGTTCCGTGTTCATGCTATGTAAACCTCGACACACATTAAGGGCGCGTTTGAAGCGATTAATCGCAGAGGGCTTACCGATTTTCGTGTGATCAGAAAAAGGTTTCTTTACAACGAAATTACGTACCAGTGACATATCGCAAAAATTTACACTGGTTTGATTGTGCAATCCGTCGCAAAGGTAACAGGTTTGTCCCCACAAGCTGTCGCTGCAACAAGTCGTCTCGTGAGTGCCGTGTTAAATATCGCCCCATATAAGGTAATTTGAGATCCTGGATCCTGGATCTTTGATGCCCTAATTTGGAACTGGATTCCAGATTCCTTATGAGTGGAATTTGGATTCCGGATTCCATCGATTGTTAGTGGGATTCGGGATTCCTTGAGCTGAATTCCGGGTTCCAAAGCCCAGGATTCTGGATTTTCCCGGATTCTGGAATCCAAATACCCTTACATGGGGCGATAAATAGATTCTTCATGTTTTCACTAACGGATGCCACTGAGCAATTGGCTTTCTTGGAGTTGTCATCATACAGTTCCAGTGATGTAAACCAATGCTGGTATGAGCGTCCGGACCCACTATGCATTTACCAATCGTTTGCGCACCAAGTCGACTGGCTTCTCCTGCGCTTGAGTCGAGAACACGAACGAGCAAACTGACGTCACTCAAACGGTCGATCGGTACATCAAAGACAAACGCCTCGTTGTAGACCGGAAGTAAGGTGTTGGTCGCGACTGAGGTCTTTGTCTTCTTCAGTTGTCTACCAGCCAACATGAGGGATACTTTGACAAAAGGGTCTGAAAAAATTAAAATCAATCAATCAAGCAGAAGAGGAGAGAAACATGGGAAGAAAGTTGTTTCACTCTGGGAGTCTGGAATAAGGTAAGGTTAGTCTTGCGAGCAAGCTCTCCATATATGGCGAACGAGGCGACCCGCGGAGGGAAAGGAGAGTTCTCCCTTTCTTTCCCCACTCCTCGCACTCGTGTTCCTCTTTCACGTGCGGTTCTCGCGTGACTTCTCGCGACTCCCCCAAATGGAGAGCTTGCTCACAGGCTTACCCCTATACACCGTATTCACAAATGGCGGACACGCGGGAAAAAACTGGTGCCTAGTCATGAAAGCGAGGCGTTGGAGGGTAAACAAAAATTGCAAATGAAGACTTTCAGTGAACTTGCAGAGTGTTTAGCACGGATTCCACCTAAAATAACTTTGTACGGACCTCTTTTTAAATACAATTACGTGGGATGTCTTCTGCTTTTAATGTTTAGTGTTGGTTTGCTGTTTGCAATCAAAAGGGACGTGTATATCTTCAAGGAAACAGGATGATTTTGTAGGTTTCCGAAGCATCAGAAGCTCGACAAGTGGGCGATGGCTGGAGAAAAGCGGCAAACATGTTGGCCCAAACTTCACATTGAAATCCGAGTTCGAAAGCCAGCTCACTGCAATTCGGTAAAACAGAAATATAAACAATGCAAATCTTGGTGGGAGAAACAAAGAAATAAGCGATGGATATATGGCCTACTTGTTAACGCAAGAGACGGGTGCCATTGAACAAAACAGTTCAAATCGAGATGGAAAAAAAGGAAGACAGGAAAGAAGCGGTGACTGAGGTTTCGATGAAGTTATTTTTGGTGTTTATTTGGCAGGACGTTATTCTCTGGTCTTTATCGATGAAGGACATCAATTAGAACTATCGTTTTGGTCTAAATGCAGGAGCGATCGAGTGGAGTACGTTCAAAATTTCAACTTGTTACTCGACAGACTCGGTAAGCCGGCCACATTTCATTTCAGCGAGTAATTTTCCTATTTCTTATCTTTGGCTGTTAAGAGTTTTAACTTCATGTTCCGTAATATTTTAAAAGTGAAGAATACATAAATAAATAAAATGATTGTCTTCTTAAACGGATCCAGACTCACCTTTAATGATTCGAAACAGAAGCTTGCCGTGTTCAGTCCTGACACAAACATTGCCTTAAAAGTTTAACCTAGTAAAATGTGAGCTTTATACCCCTTTTTTACCAAGAGCTCTCCGAGATAATGCCGTAAAGGAGACCAGGAAAATAGCAAGCCATAAGCTTCACACACTAGAGCTTCTAGTTTTGATAAAATTATTTTATTTCGCAATGACAAAGAAATCAAAAGATTTTAAATTTGCACTGAATTTGCTACTCTCTGCCAACGTACCTCTAACAATTCACTCCAAAGCGAAGGAATTAATATCATCCAAAGGAAGTTGTAAATACAGACATACATAGATATGTGTAAGATGACACTGACAAGAATGAATGAGTCTCGTGAATGAATCTTTCACCCGCTCTCGACTTGACCTGTTTTGAGTAATGGCGGAGGTCTCTTCCGTTGACAAGTAGGCCATATGTTCGTCGCTTATTTGTTTTTTTCTTGCCACCAATATCTGTTTTTACTTCTGTTTTACAGAATTGCAGTGAGCTGGCTTTCGTATTCGGTTTCAGCGTGAAGTTTGGGCCAACATGTTTGCCGCTTTTCTCCAGCCATCGCCCACTTGTCGAGCTTCTGAGGCTTCGGCAACCTACCAAATCATCCTGTTTCCTTGAAGATATACGCGTCCCTTTTGATTGCAAACAGCAAATCAGTACTAATCATAAAAAGAAGAAGAAGTCCCACGTCATTGTATTTAAAAAGACGTCCATACAAAGTTATTTTAGGCGGAATCCGTGCTAAACACTCTGCAAGTTCACCGAAAGTCTTCATTTGCAATTTTTGTTTACCCTCCAACGCCTCGCTTTCATGACTAGGCACCAGTTTTTTCCCGCGTGTCCGCCATTTGTGAATACGGTGTATAATATGTTTTTTTTTTTATTTTTTAATGGACACTTTGTGATACCTATCACAGGGACAGTGCTTCTTGTTAGCGTTCGATCCTAAACAACAAATTACAGAGAACATTGAACGCAATTTCCACTCTGAGTGTAGGAGTGAATATTGGCTTTACTTAGAGGAAATAAAGCAATTAAATACAATTTACTTTCAATGCCTTAAACTCAAATCGAAACCAAGTATCTAGGAGTAGTAAACAGTTCGAAACAGTAGTTTCCCATAAAGAAGTGAATCATTTTGACAACTACTAACCTAATTAACTGATGTGTTAAAAAGGAAAAACCCTATCAGATAATTATGCTTTAAAACCTGAAGGAGTGCCTCTTCAAAAAAGGTCAAGCTTTTTAACTTAAAAAACCTGTCTGCTGAGTAGCAAAAATCGCCTTTTATCGTTTAAAATATGATTTAAAGAGTCAAATGGAAATACTATAAAAGTTGACACGACCCAAGAAAATGCATTAAAAATGCATCACATGAAACATAATTCATTTAATAACGTATAAATCGAAAGACAACGACATATTGACGTCTTGCTGACCTTTGAGTAACAATATTGAACATGAAACTTAGATATGTCATAAATGGTTAAGAGCCACTAAAAATTATGCAAATAACTTCTCTATTGATATAACTTAAATTATATTTTACTAATATCTATGACGAAAAAAACATTTTTTTCATTCGGTCAGAGTGCAAGCTACCTTCACAAGAACTTAAACTGTAGTTGCCATTAATTTCAACTCAAATTATTTCAGGGTCCTCACAATGGGGCATGATAAAAATTGACTCCCATGAACGGTAACAATATATCTTTAATGCAGCTCATATTCTGTCAGATTGTGACTTCTCTGTATAGCTTCTTTCAGGTGAAAAATTAAAAGTTAATCACAATTGTTATACTCTTACTGCAGAGACCACAAGGGTCTACAAAGAGAATTTTAAATCTTAAAGCGCTATTAGAAATCAGCGGTGGGAGACGACAGAAACTGCGCGCGAACACTATCAATAATTGTGCAGCAGTGTTTCGAAGTCTAATTTGAATTGGAAATTGAAATCGTCTCATTGTTGTTGAAAATGAAATAACACCTTATACAACGAATGTTTGAATTTACATGACCGGAACTAAAATGAGCAAAAAAATACACTTTCGACGTGGAAAAGCACGGGTAGTAATTGATGGAGATACTTCATGCCAAAAGTGCGAAAATTAAGTTGCGCTGACAATACTGATGGCCGCAGACATAAGCGAGGCACCTGGTGACAACGAACATCAATTTCAATCGTTTCAGTCAATAAATGAAGTTGAAATTCAGGCCCCGATCGTCGGGTACGAAGTCGTAGAGGCGAGGAAACGATTTACGGTGTATCAGATTTTCGTCCAACTAGGAAACGAGCGAAATTGGCATGTATTTCGCAGGTATTCCGACTTCGTCCGCATGGATGAAGAACTGCGTAAACTATTGAGTGACTTCAACGGCGTTCTTCCACCTAAAAGATATTTTGGAGACAACTTTGACGCAAATTTTATTGAACATAGGAGAAAAGGCCTACAAGAGTACATCGACAATGTTTTAATACGACAGGATATTATATCAGTGAAGCCTGTGCTGGAGTTTTTTTGCTTCGACGATCCGCCCGGTCCGTACGACAGTATTGAAGAGAGCAGAGCGTTTATTGAAACGTTAGAGGACACTGTTAGTGAAATGAGAAACAGACAGGACGAGCTGCAGTCGGAAATCAGACTCATAAAATCGCAGCTTCGACAGTCACAAGCACAGAAACAAGCGCTGCTAATCGCGTTACGATCTGAACGTGTGTTAAACGGAAAACCATCGCATGACAATGACGATGTTCAACTGCTGTCCGAGTATTCAAGACTGCCAGAAGTGGCACGACTTGACTTTCATCTCTTGTCCAGGAGTAATTTGAGACTTAATGACGAAACTTCGCGAAAAGGTCGTCACTTTAGATCAAACCGGTTTCCCACTTCAACAGCGGCGAGTCAGTGGGACTTGAGAGTTGAATCGGCCTCGGGTTTGGCAGCGAAACGAACTCCACCTCTGGCGGGAAGGAGGGCGCGTTCCACTTCAGACTTATCACACACAATGAGTTACAGAAAACGAAACAACATGCCACATTTGCCTTCAAAATCCACCAACCGTGGAAGCTTAACTTTATTAGACAAATTTATGACACAAAGCACTGAAGCACTGCAATATATACGAAACAGTGTACGAAGGACGTTAGGACCAGCGAATGACGAATCTCAATCCGCTACAAACACGCAGAATTGAGAAAACTAAAAGATGTTTTAGGATAATTTTCAGATATAAACAATCAGCTTTTGAGATGCAGCCACGTGAAAAGAAGAACAAAGAAATGGAAATTCGTATTTCAGTTTTAAAATTAAAAATTACACCAACAGTGTAATTTTCCAAAGGTTCTAACAGTGCCCATCAATGTAACATTTACGAGTGCTACTTTAAAATTCAAACGAGTTATGTCATAAATATATTTTAAATTCACTTTAAAAATTTAGAGATCACTATCATTCTCTTATATAATTGTATTAAAATCAAATTCTATTAATGACTGATAAAAATGAATTCAGATACACTTTATACAAAAAAACGAGAATTTTCTTCAGGCAATTTGACAAGACCAAATCGAACTTTCTACAAGTTCACTGGGTAAACACAGCCTTGAATGATGTTTGCCTTAAATAAATGCGCAATACTAATGGGCTAATTGGAAGAAAAAATACACTAGAAACGAAAATATTTTCAAGACGTCAAGACTTTCAGCACATTTTGTTTTTAAGTCCAAAAAATGTTAAATACATGTAAATGACAATAAGACCGTTCGATTGAGTCTGACTGTACTCTAACAGAAAACCCGTGCAGCGATTTATAATGATGTCTAGTTAGTAGCAAATCTCAGTAGTCAGTGAGTAAAAAAAGGTTGCCTAAAAAGTCTTTATTATTAATATCTATTCACTAGAAGCTGTTTTACGTGGCAGATATTCAAAACTAAGTGATTGTACGGTTACAAAGAATTAATAGGATGTATAGCAGACGCATTGTCGCCTGAGGATGCTGAATGCTTGACTCATGAATACTGTGACGAAGGTCCCTTTTATTTTTTCACAGAGCTTCACAGCATGGTACTAAATTACATGTATCTTAAAAATTTCTTTCTTGAAGGGACTATGTCACCCTACTCGCTATCTTTTTTTTAAAAAAGCTAATACTTGTCTTCGCATAGATTAAATTCCAAAAATAATGGTCCAGTTTTGTTATTTATGAGACTATAATTAGACATTGACTGTTGCCGCTGGGAACGGATGGCAAGGATGCACATCGACTGAAACTTGAAAAGGCTTGAAAAAGTTGGGCCAACTCTTTCATGTTTTAATATGTCTGCAAAAATCACCAAAACTCTGTAACTCTACAGGAGCAGTACACAAATTATTACAAGTTAAAAAGCAGAGAACGGTGCGCATAACTTTTTTTCGAGTCAGTGAATTCTGTAAATGTTTAAGCTGAATGGGTCTCATCTTTCTGCAGGACATGTTGAAGGAAAACATTTGTTTGTTTATAAATTCAGTAGCTTATATTTCCTTCTCATTATCTATTGTAGAGTATAATAGAAGAACTATAACTAATTAGCAAAGACAAAAGTGACTGGAGTTTTTTTCGATACTTTGTACGGACAGGCCGTCGTACTTTAGAATTGCCTGTGTACAGACGTCCCCCCTCCCTCAGAAAAAATCGGGAGAAAAGAAGTCGTCTCTTCTCCCGATTTTTTCGTTTCTTCTCCCGTTTTTTTTCTGAGGGGGTGGGGTCATCTGTACACAGGCTAACTTTAGCACCGCGGTTTGTCCATCCGAAGTATCGGGAGAACTCCAGTCTCTTTCGAATTTGCTGTTTTGTTATCATAGTTCACTTGTCTTTAATAGTTAAAACAGCAGGAATTGGATGACGTGCAATATAGTAAAAGCTTCATAATATGAAGTGCTTTTAATACTAGAACTGTCAACATCTAGTAGAATCCTTCAATTAGAACTAAAAAATGTTAAACTTGACTTACTCGGTAGAGCACCAGCAAAGGAGGTTTTTGAAAGTCTTGCTTTCAGAACAACAAACGTGAGCCTGTTGGTAGTAGGAAGATAGCACAGGGACACCAATATCTCGCCTACACGTGTCAAGGTCTCCTCCTACAAGATCAAAATACAGTTGACCCTCCATTAAGCAACCAGCAATCAAAGTCCCGAAATAGTCGTAAAAAAGAATGGGAAATTAAACCTCTATTAAGCTTTAGTCAAGAATATGATGAAGAAAAACTCAGGTGACGACCGATTGAGGACCAGAAAATAAATGCCGCTTCCGTCGCGCGTTTGTTTCAAAATAAAGCAGATCTTTCCGCTAAAGGTTATGCTCGTGCTATGCTAATTTATGATGAACCCCTATTGAGCGGCCACTGGCCAGTACCCCGAAGATGGACGCTTAACGGACGTTTAACTGTAATATCACACAATATTTTGAGTTTGATCGTGGACTTTCCGCTCAGAAAAGTATAAAGAGGACGCTTTCACGAGCTTTTAGGGTTCCGCGGTCAAATTCATTGATAAAAATAACTCATACGCATGATCTGCGCCACACAAACAACGGCTTGTAACCAAGCAAAATCCACTCTAAAGAATCCCAGTTTTCAGGCTTTCTTGTGAACTTTGCGTCTTATTAATTGTAACGTAGAGTCAAGGAAAGTAATGCGAGAAAACTAATAGAAAGAGTGTTACATTATGGGAACAGAAGCCTGAAAGCAAGAGGTCTAGCTAAGAGCTGGACGAATAAATTAAAACGGGCTATTAAAGTACGAAAACAAGACTATTAAAAATGTCCTTAAAAGCAACCAACCGTTGAAGCCCGTCCAAAGATACAGAAAAAACTTTCCTGTAAAAAGTTTTGTATTTCAAACTTACAAAAAAAGAACCATGGCTTCCACTTACCGAAGTATAAATGTATTGATTTCTTTCTTTTAATCGAATTTTTTTTTTCATTTTTTACGGCCAGCTGATGTTAGGATTCAATACAATCATAGCATTCCCGGTTGTTTCGATATTTTTAGAAAACAGTGTTTACCTCCATAGATAAATATATCATGCAACTGAGAGAGAAATTTGCTCACCTTTAACAAAAACACATCTCTCTTTATATCCTTACATAACGAAACTCCTGTGAACTCGTTCATCTGGTCATCCTCACCGAAAGAATGAAACACTTCCCCAATAGATTGGTGTCGCGAGAAACCATCATAGCTGAAAAGACAGCATTGCAAGGTCCGCTCCGCAAGCTCGGAATATCCAATATCAAATTCAAATTCTTCGTTATAAACAGGATTGCAATCGGAATAGTGAATCTTCGTTTGGTGTTTTTCCACTCGCTCGGGAAGGAGATACAGCTCAACGTAGTTTGTGCTATGAATGGATGGCAAATCGTGCGCGGCGACTATAGTGACGCGCAGCGACTCTGTATCAGTATCGTAGTTTATGTTGAATTCGAGTTTTCCAAGATTGAAGCTCGGTCCGCTGCTTTCTGACTCAGAAGAAGTTAAGTTGTTATTTTTGAGCACGGAATCCAAGTTGATGTCAGATAATGAGCTGTCGGATCGCATCAGAGGCTGATGTCGACGCTGTTGTCGAGTCGTTTTGAAATCTCGTTCCGATATTCCCGGCGCGCGGGTCTGAGGTACGCTTTTTGGCGGTGCTTTACTGGCCTCATTGCTCTTGGCTCTGAACCACAGAACTTTGTACAGCAGCAAAATAAATATCCCTAGTAGAAGGACAGCACAAGCGATGGCAAAACCAATCGCAACTTTGACCTTGACTTTGTCTGAAAGAATTAAAACAGACTCTTGTTAACTTGCGGGAAGATTGCAAACCAGTTGTGTACAACAAATTAATTAGCCAATTTACCTTGTGTACATTCAGCTATAAGCTTTTGAAGATGAGAGTTTAACGAATCATGGTAGTTGAAGTTTACACCACGTTGATTTGCTTCGACTTCGCCTGGCGATGATCTGGCGACCATCGAAATTCTAGACGCGCATTCCTGTGCAAAATTCGAAGACAGCGACTTCGCAGCCTAAACCAGCCCCTATAAAAGCTGTCAACAAGAAGAGCAGCAACGGTTGGATTAACTAACAAAACCTTCAGAGCGTGAAAAATGACAACTGCAAATAGACGACTCTGTCAAGTGCTCTTTCAGGTGTAAAACGGTCTCTGATAATGTGATCACGACAACTGCATTTAATCTCTGGAACAATACATAAAGCGAACAAAGAATTTAGCGAAAAATATTTATCGCTTGCAAATGCTCCTCAATATACTTCATCTCCAGATCTTTCTACTTAGTTCAGTTTTTGCAAGATATGCAAAGCAATCTCTACAGTGAGGAAAAAAAGCGTTCTCTTCTTTTTAAAATGAAGTTCATGCAACGAAAATTTACTTTTAAAAAGAACATATGATGTAACTTTTGAATAAGTATTGTCAAAAGACAAAAAAAATAATAATAAGAAAACCTGCCTTTAATATAAATGATTTCGCAGAGGCACTATTTACATCACAATATAATGAATCAACCACAAACATACTTAGCGCGTCCAAGACAACAGAACAGAGACGCTGTTATGAGCGTCATCTTTAAGTGCAAGGCGTCATGATAGAGTATCGGGACAGACCTCGTTTTCAAGTTCCTGCGCAACGAGGCTCAGCTGCTGGATTTAAGAGAAGCACTAGTGACAAGAGCCCGCCGCTCTAAGGCGCTTTCGCCTACTCATGCATAACGTGGCTTCGCGTGTAATCAAACAAAAACGCTGTAAATAACACGTAAGCAACTGAACGAACTAGAATATAAATTTATTTGACTCGAACTGACTTGATATCTCAGCGTTTTCATGCGCGTTGCAAACTTTAAATCATGTCGTCTCACTAAGCTTCATCACCTGGCAATGAATTTCCTGAGAATTGGCGATCGTGCTTTGAACTAGAGGAACAGATGGAAGTATTACGAAAATTTTTGGTGGCAAACACGTTCGAGAATAGCTACATTTGATTACTTAGTGTGGACATTCAAAAACGATGCTAAAACACTAATCAAAGCAGTTGCGAAACTTTTGATGCTTTTTGTAACCACGAAAGGCGGTTGTTTGAAACAACACGTTGTGAATAGGACACAAATTGATTGATTGATTTCAGTACTTATTTGTTGCTAGTCGTATACTGATTTATTTAAGCATAAAGGGCCTATCTCTCCTTGTGTCTAGGGGAAAAGGCAATTCCGATCGTCAGTCATTGAAGTAGAAAAAAATGACCAATGCAGCCGCTAATGGCGAGTGACCGTTTAATACATGTTTGCCCGTAAATAGGCTCTTTTTTTTCTTTCACTGGCATGTTTGCTCTTTAACTAGGTGTTCAGTTTGTGGTTTTTGTAAACTCCGATGTGACTGACAAGTTGCAAAGGGCCCATACAAAACGTTCCAATATTGAACTTCACAGGACAAACAAATCGTTTGTATAACTATAAAATGAAGTCATTTCTTCCGTTATGAAGCACTTCTCATACATAAATGAAGTTATCTTTCCATTATGACCGTTACCAAGCGCTTGCATGGTAAGGGCTTTAGTGTTGGCCCGTCCTCATATGGCCTTCACGGTTAAAGAGAATTACACATTCTAGAACATCAAAAACAAATATGCGGCTCAGAAAATCAAAATAACCGCAGGCAGGATTGAAAACAACCGCTTCGAAGGATTATTTTAAGCTAATTACATTGAACCACCGTACCTGACAGAACAAGTTCAAAACAAAGAAAATATCTGAAATCTCTGCGGTTAATGTAGCGAGAAGGATCCACTCATCTTTTGAAGATGACCGCAGTTAAGGGTGTTTTGTGAAAAGTTCATTTCAAAAGGAAAACACTACATGAATTACGTCGCAACTGCCGCTCATTTTCACAAAATTCCTTGTTCCATATTATTACCATAAACCGAACGTCAATATGTAGAGTAGAGTTGCACGTACTGTACTTTTGTCAAGATGTTTGGTGAGACGTTTACTTTTGAAGAAAAAAACCCACAATCACATCTTTAATAACTGCTATCCATTTTTACAACTTCCTTGTTATGAAATTTAAATCAGTATTCACTCTCAAAATGTCGGGAGTTAGTTGCACGTATTGGAATGTCGACGACATTCGCGAGACCTCAAAAGTGCGATATATTCATGAAGCACTCTTTAATTCGTTCTTTAATACGATTGCATTCGATTTTGGGTATAATGAAATGTGTCATTCCCAGGGGTACCAGGATTATCAAGGATCTTTTTTCTTGCAAATAATGAAATATCGAAGAAGCGATATTAACGCTGTGAGATGAGCTTACACTCGTTTAGCCGCCCTTAGACCTTGTGTGCTTGCAGGGTGATTGAACGGCGCCCAAAACGTACTTCTTCGCCTTTTTGGTACAACATTTTAACTGGTGCTTGATTCTTTTAATGCAATAATAAAGCCAAAAAACTGTCAAAACTTGGGTATTTTTCCAGGTGAATATATCCCCCAAACTGTCATGACAAATAATCAGGGATACATTCGTTCGCACGAAATGGAATTCAAATAACCTAATTGGATGTGCATTTTGTAAAAAAAAAGGCCATTTGAAAAGCTTTCGTATTTTTCTTTTTCAATGGAACAGAGAACTCCGCATACTTCGAAGATCTTTACAACATCTTCGACTACTGAAAAGTACGACAAGACATGTAAACAACTTCTATTCGAATTAAACTTGTTTTCGCATCCCTGAGCAAGGGGCAAGTTAACAGGCCGGATCACAGAGCGCGAGAATTCTTGAATAAACAACGAGGTAAATTAGATGCAATCTGATGAATACCTTGTTAATAATAAATTAAGCGTGCCTCCAGCAAATTATAATCGGCAAGGAGTGTTAACTTTCGCAGGAACATCAGTTTTCTCCTATATAGGGACTAAAAAACGTGTCATATTTACTCTTGCTGATCGGCGAAAGTTTGACAAAAGTAATCGTACTTTCTCTTCAGTACAGCACTGCTTTCCAAAATTCGGTAGTTAATCACTAGGATTAACCGTTTTAAGGCTTTTTGTAATTATATGACAAAATCGTTGATTCGTCCAACCGAAAGTTTTCTTTTAAATTTGCTTTTAGTTCGCGTTGTCTGATATATGGCCAAACAACTCACCCTAATGTGCGTGAAATAAATAATTTTCCCGCCTCAATAGCTAAGTTTTCTACTTCAAAACACTTGCAGTGAATTAGCTGATAACTTTCCTCGTGGTGTCTAAAGTTACCCCTGTCGTTCACCTATCCTAACAAAGCAACTAACAAGCTAAGCTTTACGGAACGAAACTGAAAAACGTTAGAGATTAGTTTCGAGAAGTTCAAAGCGGGAAAGGAGCCGGCGCAAACAATATCTTGCCAAATATAGAGCCGGTGATTACCATATCACAGAAGTTTCTCCACAAATTTTACGACGCTATAAAGTCGCGGATCTTAAATCCAACTCACCTGGTCCCTCCACATCTTTAGCTACTTCGTCATTTGTGTAATAGTCAAGCAAAAGTCTATGAACGTTCCGACTCTCTTCGTCGCTTTCGTTCATCGGGCTTTCTCACGCATCAAAATGCAAATCTTCTATCGTTGTGCCATTCATTTGCCTTTAACTCCGTTTTATGGCGCTCTAAATGAAAGCTTGATCAATCGACTGCTACATTTCCTCCAGATATGTTCCACCGGAAGTCAAAAGAACTACGAAACTACGAGAAGTTACGCGAGCAGTCGGTTCACCATTCCCCTTACAAGTAATTCCTCTTTAGTTTGTTTCTTCTCTAACTTCACCACACTTAACCGTGCATGAGTTGACCTGAACAATACACTCTTCGAGGCCTTTCATTACTTCACCCGATATGAATAAACATGTAGATTCACTTGTCTTTGTTATGAGCTGAAAGCGTTGGCATATTAACACAAGAAAGACAGCAACCTGCTTGGTTCAATGAGTTTTTAAAAAAAATGCCAGTCTCGGTCGAAGCAAATAAAGCAGTTGAATAAATCTAGACATGCCAAATCGGCCAATCAATAGTCAACAATACATCAAAAACTAGATAAGGACTTAAACTAGCAAACTGTGAAAAAACGCATCGAACCCCATAAAATTAGGTTAACAGACTTCAAAGAGCTTTCCACCGCAAGAGTTTGAATAAATGTCGAATTGACGTTTGGTCGAAAATTAAAGTAAATGTTTCAACTTTTTCTAACGAGTGACACCCTTTGGCTACTGTATTTGGAACAGTGACCAAGGAAACACAAATCCTCTCAAGCAAGAATGTACATACTCTATTGGCGGCTTTAACATGTGCCCGTGAAAGTATAGTTATCACACGTAACAAAGAACCCAATAACGTGGTTTCTAATGCCCTATACACACTTATGCATTTTTAAAACTTTGCGTTTTCGTTGTCATCGAACACGCATCGATCGATTTGCGTCCACGCTAAAGTTTTGGTGCATTTTCGACTGTCTACACCGAAACGTTCGAAAACGCCCGATAGAATTGCACGTTGTGGCCCAAGGTGGACTCTATCTGCATGCTCAAAACACACGAGCGCCTGCGATATTTTCGATCATCGTTTCATTTTCATACATTTTAGAACGTCCACACCAGTTGAGCGTTTTCTCATGACGTCACGGCGGCCATATTGGTGGTCCAAAACAACAAAAAGGGCGGCCATGAATTTATTGTATTGTTGTTGATTTTAATCATGCACATACCTCGGGAATTTTTAAATTGTATACATCTTTATTTCTCAGGGCCCCTATGGATACAAGCCTCATTGCTGAATGGGCTACCCTGGCTAAATAAAGTTACCGACTGACTTGCTTACTTTACTCCCGGAATAAGAAGTGTTCATGCCATCAGCTAAGTTCACATTTCGTCTGAGGTCTTATAATTTTAAGAAGGGGCCGCAACGCTTAAAATGTCATCTTACGGTGGCTTTTACAACCTCAGTTCTTAAATTAACAACGCTTTCATATTTCATCATTTCATTCAGTACCAACCCGAAACAGTTACCAACCAATCTTCTTTGCATGTTGTTGTATGAAAAACTTTCAAAACCGTTTTTTTTTTTTTTTCGGTTTCTTCAGAGACTATAACTCTGAAAAGCCACAAGACACTGTAAATGGCTCCTTCTTTGCATGTTGAAGACAAAAAACTCTGAAACGTTCATTTAAACGTAAATGAAGATATTGAAATTAGCATGCAAAACTTTCAAACAGTTTTGGTAGTCGAAAAAACCCAAGGCCTTGTTCCCCTGAAAAGCTAGCTAGACTGTATTAAATATATTTACCGTCATCTTCATGTCCAATTTTCTAAAAGCATTTTGGGATGAACAAGGGTAATAAACTGAGGTTTGTTATATGAAAAACCACAAGACACAGGTCATTAAAATGGCGATCATGATGATGTAATGGTTGGTTTTGAAGTATACAAATTTGCAGACAAACCTAAATTTTTTAAGTCCTTCTAAAAACCGGGGGCCCCGTCAATTACTTCATCCCCTGCAGCGCATATTAAATGAACTTTCCTTAACTCCTACTAACCGGGGTTCGTTTCATTGGCAGTCATTTCACTCAGTCATTGTCCAGAATTTTGACTGAACGAAATGAACGAAAATGACAAAAATACGAAGGTTGTCATTAGAAACACCTCGCTAACCTGAACTGTTCATATCAACTGAAACCTTCGTTCACTGTTAAAGCCCTCAGTAACCTTCAGTAAATCCATCCAAACGAGCAGTTCCCAGGATCACAGGTTTGTATCGAACACTATGACTCTGATTTAGTATTTGATAAGCAAACTGAAAACACAAACCGAAAAGTGGCTTCGCTGTACATGTGTATCATAGCTTCCAAAAAGCACGCATGACAGGAGAACACAACTATTTCCGTTTCCTGTCCGTTTTCTTCCGTTCCTTCAGTATTAGTTATTAATAATTTGCCGTTTCTCTCGAACTCAATAATCGGGAAGAGAACGACCAAATCAAATGTCTTGAATGAAGAAATAATTCTCACAGACTGTTTTGAATGAAATTTATGCAACTGCAAATAATTGGGCACTGGAAATACTGGGACTTCAATAACGGGACTCTTAACCCTTTAAACCCTAAGATCAAAATTTGAATTCTCATTTGTTGCCCCTATTCATTTTCTACAGAAGTAGTGAGGAGAAGTTGATAAAATATCAAGCAAATTCATCTTGTGTGATCATGTCCGTAATTCTCATGACCACTCTGTTTTACAAAGCATTGATATTACAAGGAGAAATTTGATGCTGATCACTCTTAGCGCTTAAGGGGTTAACTTTAAACAACTCAGCCATAAAGCGACTGACGTTAAAGCGACTGGACGTTAGAGATTTAGGATGCTAAAAAGGTTGGAAAAAAGTGCAAGACAATGAAAAAATGGGTGTTTTTCAGTTCACTGTTCTTCAAAGAAAGGATCACAAGAGGCCATTGACGTATGCTTAGGTTCGATAGCTACAGAAGGATATATATAACCCATACAGATGCACATTTCTTCCAACAACCTTTCTCTTACTGGAACAAACGGGCTGAAAACTGATACGTTCAGTCATAATAAAAAGTTAGTCCTTTATATCCTAAGAGTGATTGAATTCATTTTCTCCTAACGTTCTCGGTTGTTCATCATCCCTGTCTTCACTACAGCTTACAATTCTCAGCCAATTCATAATGCTACAAATTAGAAGTTCCGCACCAAATAAATTAATCGATACCTGAGTAAAGTAAATTCTTTGTTTTCGTTTTAGAATTGTCTGGCCCCTAAAAGGGGTGCCTGCTATTAACGAGGTCCAGTTAGGATAAAATTCCAACAAGCGACATGGCCTTGAAACAGTGCCGTAAGACAAGATGATAAGCCGACAAAAATGAAATAAAGATGAGTTGAATACCGTCTGGGACGTCATGGCCTCTTCATCAAAACGCGAAACCGACCATATTTGAAATTCTCATGCAAAGCAAAACAGATTATCTATTTTGAAGTGAAGTTTTCACGTCGAATTGCACCATAAGACTATTTTGGGGGACAAATTCTGATCCAGCGTCCTTCACAACTTTGTATAGGCAAGGAAAGAGGTGATATGTACTTTTGTCTTGAATTGAACCCAGCCGCCACGTGAACTCTTGCCTAGCCTCTGAAAGTGTGAAGCTTTTGTGCACGATAACGAAAAACTACAAAAGTAAACCTAAACTACTCTAATTATTCATGTGAATAATTTAAGTTTCAATTAAAAATCCTGTTGTGAACTTAGTGGAGGAGTATAATCATATCAATAGACAAACGCAACAATTAAAGGCGGAAACAACACTGGGTCAATAAGCGGTTCAATTTGCACTGTTTAACGGCGTTAATTGGTGAATTAGAAAGGAATAAGGGCACTAACGCGCTACTCAAACACCCAACAAGACGATGGTATACAGAGGTGGTAACAAGAAACAGAAACTCACAAAGCACTTAATTTGTCGCTTTACCGCAAGAAATGCAGTTGCTAAACTAAAGAGATATTCATCTTCAAATACGGCTAAAAAAGGACCGGCCAAAATACCCTTGTCAAAAGCCAGGTGAATCAAAAGTTTAAAGGTTTGTGCCGAAGCTAATAACAGAACCGAACCATTCTCCCATGGAGAATAATCGTCATTCTTCAATGAGAAAAACTCAAAATATTGAAATTCCTATGGCAAGTATGATCTCTTCGGAGAGTGAAATCGGCGAAGAAAATACGCCGCCACACACAAAACCAAGCCGAAAAAATACAGATCTTCTTGAAATAGTCTCGAAGCCAGATTTAAGCGAGCAAGATCTACTCTGCGACAACTTGTTGCTAGCAGAGGATGAGACAACAACTGAAAACTGTTTAGAGCAGCCCCAAGTTCAAAAAAGTAAATCTTTGGTGCCATTCTCCGAGTCGCACCTCGAAAAAGCTGGAAGGAAAAGCCCGGGCGTTTCCGAAAGACCGTTCAAAATTTCGAAGCTTTTACAAGATCGAATCCTAGTTCTGGAAAATGAGGTGCAGAAACACTTAACTGAAGTAAACGAAGTGATTCAGCAATCAGAAACGGAGCGCACAAGGGAAAGAGCGGTGTCATTCAGTAACACTAACTTGGGAATCATTAAAAGTTTCCAGTCCGGAAAAAGTGGAAGATTGAGCGCTAATGGTGCGGGATTGTCAACTCGCAGGTTGAGTTTACAGAAAGATCAAGAGACTGCAATGAAGCCTCGTCACCCGGGCAATAGACTTCCAAAAATAAGAAGTAAATCACTAACGAATGGTGACACTTCAAGCAATTTTACTGGAAAGAAATTCCGACCACGTCGCAAAATAATAGGAGTAGTTAACAACAGTAACCAGGAGCATAGGGGAATAGTAAATATGGCCTTCATCGACAAGATAGACGACAAACAAGAGGCGGACGAGATAAAGACAGAAACGAAAGTTATTTCTATGCTGGAAATGACTGAAGAGGTTGCCAGGAACCCCCAGAGTGAAAAAGCATCACCTACGCCAGAGCGAAGTATACTTAAAGAAGGTAAAACTAGCGCCTCAAAGCAGAACAAACTTACAAAAACTGTGAACAAAACTATACAACAACTGTGCAAACTTAACAAAGACAAGGAGGCAGAGAACCTTAGCGACCTTTTGGAGTCCAAATTGATGGCAGAAAAAGAGCTGAAAAAGGCGATAAAGAAAGAGCAACAAGAGGAAAAGGAAGAACGGATTAGATTGGAAACGAAGACCTTGGAGAAGAGTAGAAGAGAAGCATTCTTTCTTAGAATGGAAGAACTTGGAAGAATGGAAGATAAAATGAGAGAAACGAGAATGCGAGAACGAGAAAGAAGGAGGGCAGAGGCTCGTGAACGAAGACAAAAGAATATCGCACTTTGGGATGAAAGACAAAAGTTCACTTTATCCGCTAAAATATCGCGGGCATTTAAGTTCTCGTATTTTCCTCTACTCATTCGCGACTCAAGGTCCTCCACTGATGAAGATGACGAAGACGACGAGCAATCAAGCAGCGACGACAGCGGTAGTAGCACTTCAGGCACCAGCGACAGCTTTAGTGGTTCCCGCCAAAGTTCAACAAATAAAGGCCTAGGCGCGTCATCTACGCACAACAGGAAACGGAGCCAAGTCATAGGGTGTGAACATTCCAGAAGGATTCGGAAATAATCAGTGACGCGCTTACTGCCGGCCTGATATAGCTAATTTCTTAGGTGGCGGGATCAGAGTGCAAAACGGTGCTTTTTGGCAGCACAGCTGCCTCGCTCAAAGAGAGCATGGGCGAAGCCGAAAGGGGAAATCAACTTGACAGTGATCCCCATTCTTCTCCCGGCCTTACGCCAATTTTTTTTTTTTCCGCTGTTAGGGTCTGTGAGAACGATCGCGCTTGAGGTACAAACCGTGCAAATAAGTAAATGATAAAATTATTGTTATTGTTATTAGATTACTTTTCAAGTTTGCTCGCAATAATTAAAATTACAGAATTTCGTTTAGATGAAAAAAACTAACTAGAAATACCACCAGAATAATGCATGCACGCGTCAGTTAAGTCTGCAATGAGCTGGGAAGTTGGTTAAAAGCGATTGCTGTTCTAGAAGAAAAAGAAAACTTAGAATAAGCATATTTGCAACGGTTAGAAGATTCAGTCCTATATGGTTGTGGGCTCCTGCTAAATACACAACATATTTGCAGTTTAAGCAAGGACAGACAGTTGTTAATATAAAAGAGTGGTAAAGTTTGTTAAGTCTTTTTCTACCTTTCTCACCTTAGTGTACTAAAAATTGGCTTAACATTAAAAAAAAACTCTGTAAAAAAATGAAGTTCCAAAGATTCTGTTTGCACTCTTGTTTCCTATTTAGGACAACGACGACGGCAATAGCAGCGAAAACGTCATCCAAAAAGAGACGATTCATGCTGTTTCAAACTTCATCGTTCTTATTCCAGCTGTTTTAAGTTGTCAAATGTTGGCTATTTTTTCAGGAGTTGAATTCTTAAGATTGTATCTAAATTCACAAAAATAAAAAAAGAAAATCGTTGTCGTGTTATCACGTCCTCCATAAAACGAAAAATATCAGGAAGTTTCACGTCGTAGTCGTCCAACGACGGCAAAGCAACGTACAAAAAAGCGTGATGTGCAACGTAACTTGCGCGCCGGCTCCTCATGGTGTCGTAGATCAGGTGCATTGTATGACGAGAAGGCACGCGCGTGACGTAAGGCGCGTGCATTACAGCAATATAATAAGACACACTGACCAATCATAATACGCGCATTCCTTTGATCATTTATAATGAGCTATATCTGTAATTACTTCTCTTGTGTCTTTCAAATACCAATGCGCTGTCATATTATACATGAATATACATGTTACCAGAAACTCACAAAAGTGGTTTCTAATGTTACTGAACAGTGTGTTTGGTCTCATTTTTAAAATATTTTCATAGCAACAGCCGATTTGACAGTGTTCTTTAGAAAGTATTTGTTAATTTAAAAAAATATATTATTATGATTTACAACGCGAACCCAGAACTCACTTAAGTACCAAGATTTATGTATCCGAATGGCAAGTCCAGTCCAGTGTATTGTAATTCCTTAAATTCAGGAATCCTGTTGCCATGGAGTTGCAGTGCTGAGTTGTAGTTCAATCAATGCAGCTAAACCAGCTTCCACTTGCGTGCTACTCTGAGGGTAAAGAATTCTGATTGGCTGATATCACTTATCAACCGTATCTCTGCTTTGCGGTAACTGTCTTTTTCAAACAGCCTCTCGTAATTGGTTGGCATTGTCTCTCACAATGTCTGTGAACGCGCTTCACAAAGAAGCGAATCATTAGCCGCAATTTAAATAAGACATGAGAATCTTTGTGAAGATAAGCAAACGTGAAGAAAATGAAGGACAAAGACTTTCCAAACACGACAGTTTTGTACTACGGTTTTAAATGAAACAAATCCACAAAGGTCTGAAAACTTTTTAAAGGCATGTTTCCGAACGCACTTGAAAATTGCGCAGAATAAACATATACTACTGCTGATTATTTTTTTGCCTGTGAAAAGCAACCGACGGAAATTGTCACGACAATTATTTTTGTGGTATTATTAATTGTAAGTGGGATCAAAATAGGACCATTTTTCTTCGTACGAACCAAATGAAAAACAAAAGAACCACAATGTCCTATCCAAAACGACTCTATTTTGACACTACGATACAAATACAACAATTATTGCAAACCACTTATTAGCGATCGATAATTTTCTCTAACTCGTTTTTAAGGACACAACCTGCTATGGTAAACCAACTCGGTGTGCTCTTCTTTCTTTAAGCTAAAAGAAAGGTCCCAATGTCTTTCCCGCAAAATTACGAATTAACAGATATTTTCAAATTACAGATTAAGGAATATTCAAGCCGCCAAGGGACACCTCGACAAAATTCGAGCAAACATGACAGCTTTTATCTTCCAAGTATTGATTCTGCCTTTGGAGATTCAGACAGTCTATCTCCTACCTCAAATAGTCCCAGTCAAGATGATGAATCACCTTCTGTACTTTCGCTGGAAGATTTCGATTATTTTCGAGACAAAGAGAAATTTTCCACCGAGGTCAAGAAGGAAGACGCTTACATTCTAAGTAGCAAAGACATGCAAGATATCGAAAGCAGAGTCGATGAAAAGTTTAGAGAAGATTTCAAAAAGATATGGCAAGATGCCAAGGCGAAAGAATTGCGCATAAAAAAGAAGTTTTCCAAAATTATCGCTCACGCACGCTCGACACTGATAGAATCAAGAATTCATGCAGAGAAAGAAGCGATAAACCGGCTGGAACAGAGAGCAGAAAATAAGCAGACAGAAATTATGAAAAAGAGGTTCGAAAGAAACCGGAAAATCGTGACAGAGAAAGCCGAGAGAGAAAGCAAAGACCATAACTCTGGTGCTGATGAGAAATGGGTGAGGGAACATTTGGAAGAAATGGCTGCCTTGAGAAAAATTCAGTCCGATTTGGATAGAGCGAAGGCACGACGAAGGAACGGGGTAGCTTCAATGAGTTTAAATAAAAAGGGAAAGTTGCGCAAACTAATGCAGACTGAAATACGCAGACTACATCGAATCGATGAAATTAACCATCTTATAAAAGACTTGAACGAGCTCGGCTTAAACGAACAAGCAGCTGCACTAAGTCTAAACTTACAGTCGAAACAACAAGCGGATACCTCACTTCGCGACAAGGTTAGAGAGGAAAGAGGCCGGGCAAGAACGGAGGCATTAAAAAGGAAGGAAGAGGAAGTAGAAAAATTACGGCAAGAGAGAATTTTTGAGATGACAATTCTGGAGAAAGAAAGAAAAGTGAGAGAAGAGAAAGAGAGGTACCAGCGAATGATGGCCGCTCTCGCGCGAAAGGCGCATAACCAAGAGTTAAAACGAGCGTATAATCAAACTATGTTAACTTCACGGATTTCCAGATCACATTCATTCACCTATTTTCCATCTCCATCACGAAAATAGAAAAGTTAAAAAAGGTGGATACGTACTCAGCGTGCAGAGAAAGTAGTGTCCGATAGCCCGGGGCTAGTGGATTTTGCTATCGGGCTAGTGAATTCTGTTTTTAACTTACCCGACGGGCAAGTGATGTTTTTTGAGGAATTCGAATAACAGAAAAACTGTGAAAACAATTCTGTTAGTCAAAAAGTTTTTGAGGCTAGTTGAAATGACGTCTGGGCTAGTAAATGCCGGCTTCAGCTTGCCCGAATGGAAAGCTGTGAAAACGATTTTCTTTGCACCCTGGTACTCAAACATAACTCAGTGAGACAAACGATCGCAAGATATGGTTGTTTATATCCTAGGGAGTCTTTTAAAATAACTATATAAAACAGCTTATAATCCTCATTACGAGTATTGGTAAATTAATAAACACATAGAATAAGGAATATCTTCTTTGCCTATCAGTTACAGTTATCTGAAGACATTATGGATAATTGATTCTATTTTAGTAATCTCATTTTTAGAGTTTGAGTCAATTTTGTAAACTTGCATTTCTACTATATAAAAAATGTATTTGGAGGGATTTCAATAAAATCAAATTTCTCAGTAGAGTTTTGACTGAATTGTAATAAGCACAACTGAAATTAGATAATAGACAAGAAGGATGGAAGAATTTATGATCTAGACAGGCGTCATTTCTTGGTCATAACTGAAAAATTCCTACACAATAGACTGTCAGTTTTCTTTAAACGAGGGAAAAATCCGCGAGCGAGAAAAAACAAACGAGCGGCAAAGCCCATTTTGCCTAATCAAAATGACAAACTCCGCACTCAGAGAGCAAAATGTAAACGTGTCATGCAAGCAAATTTCAATCATTTAAGCATGAAACTCAGATTAACAAAGTAGTAAGACCGATAGCCTGCGATCAGACAGTCCTTCTTCCTTTTTTGCGCGCTCCCCCGGAAATAGAAAAAGGACGACTGATCGCAGGTTACCATGGCTACACGACCGAGTGTTAAGGGCGCTGTACGTGACCTGCCTCTGTGGGTCTCGGGTTTCGAGATCCGTGCGCTCGAGCTTTCGGTGTCCAATTAAAATACGAAAATTATACTTTGATTTCCACAGAGAACTAGGTCAAAAACGTTTTTTGTCTAAAAGTTATGAGATTAGTAGCCATTATGTGATAAAGTAGAAAATGAGGTCACAACAATAAGCGAAAAACAAAAAATTTGTGTGTGGACTGTGTTTGAGTCTCTTGAAAATTCACATTCTTGTTCAAGTTCATGTTCCACGAATTTTGATAAATAAACTGTTTGACATAGCATCATCGCAAAGAATGTCATTATTTCAGCTGTAAAAACAAAGTGGCGGGAGTGTGTGCAGAAGCTCGCAGTGGAAAATAATTACCGTGTGTTTTATTGAAAAGATGGGGAAACAGCTCAACCGTCGGCTTGCCTTGCCACTCCGTTTAAAAAACAAAGCTGCGGGGATCACATTTTTTAATCACTTGCTTTATCGGCGGTAGGTCGTATTATGATTTATTTCGCAAACTCCCATTAAATTCTTCACCCTCATTGGGTATGTAAGAACTCTTTAATGACCTCGTCTTTACATCTGGTGAACGGCTCAAATTCCACTGGAGCTAATTTGGATGAAGTGTTTTGTCCAATGATCGCCAAGGTTAGGGTTCAAATCTTCGTCAAGCCTGAACTTTACATAATCTCTTCATCTGCTCAAGTTATTCACGAAAATGCGAGGAGTGCATTTGTCATTCACTTGCTTCATCCGGAGTTCACATTTGTCGTATAACTTCAGTTATTTGACAAATTAAATAATAGTTTTTGTCTTATACTCTTCGTTTATTATGATACTATTGGGTGAGATACACTTTTGTTGGTATGGAGAAGCGATAGGAGAGTTATTTCTCTCTAAATTTGGTCAGAAGCATTCCATGTCTCATAATTTCATCTTCAATGATCGCTGTTTTTTGTAACGCGTTTGTAAGGTGAGAAAATGACAATTCTATACCATGAATAATTGATTTAACGCATGGAAGACATATAGCAAAAGAACTTGACCGACACAATTTCGCTATAAAATTTTCGCCAGCCCGAAGCGTTTCAACAACTTCCTTATCAATTAAGGTACCTTCCTGTTTTTAGTCTGACTCACGATCACCTTGCCGTTTTTGCACCAAGCGCGGGAAGCGCTGTATTGGTCGTAATCAGTATGATTCAATCAACTTTGATCAATCGATAACGGAAGGAGGACGAAAGAAACTACATGGACGAGATATAAGGCGATAAGCAAGGAAAAAAGAATTAATTACCACCGTTTGAGATGATAGAAAAGATATGGTGTGTCTAATAGCGTCATCACCTAAAACAATAAAAAAACCAGTTTCTTGAACGACCTCAATTAACGAAACAGTTCAGTTCATGGACTGTGCATTCTTGAGGGTTTTTCCCTTTACGTCCTGAAAATGGAAGAAAACAACGTGAGATTTACTACAAGTGATGCAAGTTCCTCAAACAATGTGAATCGCTTGGTTTTACCAAGAATCGAGGAAGACATGAACAGAAGAAAAAGCGTTACTGCATCAGAAACGTTTTCTCTTGTAACAAGCGGCAGTAGTCCATTCAGCCCAGACATCGACAGCGATCTAGAGGAAATGGCGCTTCAAGGAGATCTTGACGAAGGAATCGCTGAATACGATGAACAGCGTGAACAGCTTAATGGCGGAACAGAGGGGGATGCAAAAAAACGATTTATGAGCTGTGAAACAGAAATTCGCCAGAAAGCAAAAGCAGCGTTGACGAAAGAACTCAGAAGAGTACGCAGGCAAGCTGCCGCGAAAAAGAACGAAATAAGAAAAAAGTTCAAAGTTGTGATAGATGATGCACGGTCGCAACTCATCGCATCCCGCATCGAAGCTGACAAAGCATCTATTGATAAACTGGAAGAGAAAGCAGAGATACAGCAGGCCAAGATATTGCAAGAACGCGCACAGAGGATAAAAGAGGGAAAGAAAGAGTACGAGTACGACAGAAGTCGCGTGCATTCCACAGAACTAGGTTTGCTTCGAAAAATTCAAGCTGACTTGGATCGCGCACGCGCGAGGAGGAAGCAGAGTCTTGCGGCCGTGTTGAAGACTGTCAACGGAAAGGCTAAGGTAGCTAATTTGTTGCAGTATGAAGTGAGAAGACTCGAGCGGGCTGAAGAAGTGCAAAAGATAATTGTCGAGCTGTACGAGTTAGAGTTAACACAGGCTGCTAAAAATCTGACGCGCTCCCTCAGGGCAAAGGAAGAGTTCGAGAACAGATTGCGCGCGCAACTAAATGACGAACAGGTAAAAGCTAAGAAAAGAGCCATGTTGCTTGTTGAGGATGAGATCAAAAAAGTACGGAAGCAATACGAGGAGGAACAGAGGAGAAAAGAGCAAGAAAGGTTGGAGCAAGAAAGGCAGACAAAAGAAAGGGAAGAAAAGGAGAGAAGGGAACGAGAAATGGCCAAGATAAAAAAGATGGCGAGGGATTTGGCGATGAGAAAGATGTTTAAGCAGTCCATGCTCAATACAAGCGTTTCCAGGCCGTTCAGTTTTTCATATTTTCCGACTTTGAAGAAATAGGCTTCCGAAATGAACAAAAGATTACTCATAAAAGCGTGAAAGGTTATGGATACTAAATTACTGAGCAGTCAATTATGGGGCTTAGGAATAACATCAAAAAAGACTGCCAATCAACAATATATTATTATAACCCAAGGTGCTTCCCTGAAAATAGCTTTCAGATACCTGGTAAGACTAATACTTCTATGTAATACACGTACAAGTCTAACAAATTTCTATAAAAACCCCCGCTCTCTGAAGAGATCAATTCAGTTAAACCAAATTACATCCACAGTGGGAGTGGTGCATTTTATTCTTCATATACACGAAAATATCACACTGATAGTAAAGTATTTTTATGCTGCAACAAGACCCCTTTCCTCGTCCGCAGTTGGGTGCTGGGAACAAAGAAATTAATTTTAAAGAATCCGAATTATAAGAATAGCAGAGATGACACCGTACGCATATGTCGCTTTTTTCATGTCAGTTTTACCCAAGATGGTACCGTATTATACCACGCGACGCGTGATGAGAAATTGAGAAAACAGCTACAAAAGGGACAATACAAAGCATTAAAAATTGCATTTAAAATATCAATCTAAACCACGTACATTTAGTCATTAATAAAAAGTTACATCAGTTGCGGGAGTAATTGGTAATAAACAATAACAGCAATGTTGCTCTTTTACAGCGAGGCCATATATGTGCCCCAAAATAGTTAATATTTTCTTCACTTACCACAAAGTTAAACAACGTATCTTTACCTGAATAAAGGATACGTGTTTTTTACATTTAATTCCCAATCTTATAATATTACCAGTACTTCATGGTTAGCTATAATTATTTGTGTCTATTTAAAGAATCAGTTGTCATTTGTTGTGTTAATGGTGTGTCATCTATGACACGCAAGTAGTGTTAATAAATTAAGATGTCTGGAGATAAATGTGTGAAGACTATGTGGTTTTAACAAAAAAGCACTAATGTTGTATTTAAACTGCACAAACCAATTCATCAATTAATCATCTTGAAAAATTCTATCAGATTCTGAAGAAATTTGTAACAAATTTTAGTGTTTTATAAAAAAGTGTGCATTAACAATGAAACCAATAAACTCTGAACGGCTTTGCAAGGTCGAATGCTTTCAGTGGGGATTGAGCCTCAGAGGTGAAATTTATGAAGACAACCTAAAGTAATGCTATATTCCAGTAAAGTGCGTGGCTGTAAAAAAATAATTAAGAAATTCTTAACTTAGAAGGTGTTTGTGATGTCTCCCCACAGTGCATTACACTAGTGTTTCTCACAAGATGGCAGAGTCTTCCTTCACTTATCGTGTTTAATGGTCTTTTTTAGTGACACGTAGAATTCATTGCAGCCGTTTGTTATGTCTCCATGCAACGCGCGTCTTTAGGGAGGATCATCGTGTGATGACCAAAAAAAGAAAAAACAGCTGTGTAAGAGACTGTAGTGTAAACTGTATAGTGTAAGTTAATATTACAGCCAAGACATTTTCACACCCCAATCAGCTAGATACCTCAGGGTAATGGGCCTTACCATTGCTTTGAAAAGCTAACGGGCTGTTGAGAAGTGGTCAAGGCATGCAGTGCAGTAATATATAATACTCATGTGAAAAATGAGCAGCCTCTTACAGGTAGTAACCAACAGACAGAACAGAACAGCTCAAAGGACTGTTCGTTACGTCCAGTTATTCTCCCCTTGACCTATTCAGTGCGTCTCAAGTTGTCGTTATTTTTCTTACTTGAAGATGGTGTTTCTAGTTTGTGGTAACTATTTTACTGCTATGTTAGTATGACAGTTAAATAAAGTCATTCATTCATTCTAACCTAGCAAAGTATGCTTAATTTACCCTGAATGAAGGAAACATTAAAAGATGACCCTTCCCTCCAACCCCTGCCTAACTGCCTCACCACTGTCTCTAAGACAATAAGGACACCTGTATGCAAACTACTATCCCCTGTTAGCATGGAAAGGACAAAGTCCCAGTCTTCTGTACAGGTCACATAATCTCACAGAGAAAAAAGTCTTTTGAGCTTTTCTGTGTTATACAGTAAAGGCTAATATTTTAATCCCCAATTTTTCCAAATATCACTTGAATACCACCAAATTTGTATTCACCTTATGATTTTTTTGACAGCACTTTGGGGTAACTTGCCACTCAGAGTGTGTAATTTGCAGGTCACAGGTTGCAGGTCAGAATTCGAAAAAGAGTTAAACATCCTACATGGTTTACATGGCTGACTGGGCTACCTACCCTAAAACAAGACATTACAATGATGCTTTGGTGATGTCATATGTCTTGACAGGGTCTCGCAAAACCAGAAATATCCGATCTCAGTTCTTTAAATCGATTCTTTAGCCCCAGACCTTTTTAGGCAAGAAAGAAGGCTTTTTAAAATATTATTATTTGGAGGGAGTTACAGAAGGTTTCACAGCCCTTTTTGACTGGAGGTATGTATTCAATGACAGGTCATAAGCTCCACACTGCAATATAGTTCAGAATATCTCAAGTGCAATCAGAATTTGTGATCATGTTTTTGTTTTGCCTTGTTGCTTCACAAAAAGTAATGATGAATCTGGTAAAGACCAGATCTTGAAATTTCTGGTGGTTAATGACCTACCTCTTGCATGCCGGCTATCGTTAGTGTGGATCCAACATGGGTTTCATCAAATGTTAGGTCAACTGGGCTTTTTTTGTTTCTTTTTGCAGTAGTAAACTGATCTGAAACTTATTTTGTGTAATGCTCTCTTGAGGTATCTTCTTTTTGTTTTGTCCTTTGGGAGTGTACTTCTTGGAAGTACTATTTAGCACCAAACTTCCAGTGTGATCTTTTGTCACATAACAAATTCTGACATGCAATCTGCAAATTTCACCTTCTGCTTGCCACAATGAAACAATTTTTTTGTTGCCTTTTAAGTCATTGTCTATTCGATTTGGGGACTGAGAAGGTTGTATAGGTGGGGAGAGTTTTTTGGGAGGGGGGAGGGGGTGGGGTGGTTTTTGAGGGAAAGCGTACAACAAAAGAGAAGATCTGAGAAGATTTGAGATTTACAGCTGCTGGGATCTTTGAGATGGGGATAAACTGTAGCCTGTGTTGCAGACACTCTAAACCTTCTGTATAGAGCGTCTGCGAATTAGTGCACAATATTGTGTTTGAATCCCACAGAGTCGCGAGGACATATGTAGGCGTTTTTTATTGGCTAATTTCTTACGCAGTTTGTGATTGGTCCGACTTGAAATATAGCGTTGACAGTCCAAACACGACGGGCAAGCATTACTTCATAAGCTTTCCTGGATCTTCAGGATAATAAGCTTACAATTCGTCTCGTCTTCGGAAGATTTTCGATCAGTTACGTACTAATCACGAATAGCTATTATTTAAAAGGCATAAATAAAATTATTTGTGCTGTTTGTGTTGGTGCTGGCGCGGCGATCCGTATCCTCGTTTCAATATTCATAATCCATGAATGGGGAGTTCTTCTTCAACTTTCGGTATATGAGGAACAACCCAGGACTTTATGGTTTCCATTAATTAATCGTTACCGTATTTTTAAGTTTCTAGCTGACGCTACATATAATAAATAGATCATTCATACCTGTTTTCCACTACTTTGTTCCATTCCATTGCTTTCAATGCGCGACATCTTGTGAACAGATGAAACAAGGAAACGGCCATCTTGTAAAGTGTGCTATGAAGGCGCGGTTACTACAACGGCTGTACCCCACCGTAGTGGGATAGCCTATTCGGGGAGACTCCACCCAAAGGGGGTAGGGATTTCGTCAGCATATGTTGGTATTTAAAAAGGGCCTTTTACTAAAATATTCGAGCCAATGCTCCTTATGGCTGTACTGTATCATTTCAATTCTTTTGATGCTAAACATTGACAAGACTGACTTATTGTTACAAGATATATGAAAAAGGCATCTCAGTTTGTTGATGGAAGTCATAGGGAGGGGGTACCTTTTCTGACAAAAATGGTAAAAGAATGAGGGGGTTAGTCCTCTGGGCAGAGCCTCCCATACAAAGTGTTGTTGAGAAGCCCCCTAGGGTACTGTACAATGTTTCAAATGATCCCCAAATTAGACTGCAAATGATGTCCAGGTACCCTTTCAAGCAAAGTAGGGTATATTTAGGGGTAAGTGTTTGAAATATGGGGTAGAGCATAAAGACATAAAAACTTAGTAGCTTTTTAACCTTTCCTTGGGTAGTGGGTGGGGGAGGGGCTACTCTAAGTGCAAACTGTACCTGCCACCAGCCCCGGGGTGACTCCCATATGAAACTGATGGGGATGCTCGTCGGAAATCTTGAATTTAACCCCTAAAGGAGACCATCTGGGCGTGGCTCAAGCTTTTTGTGACCCCTAAAGGAGACCAATCTGGGCGTGGCTTAAGCAAATTTTGACCCCTAAAAGAGACCGCTTAAAAACACACAAATACGAGATGCAATGAGTTTTAATGATATAAAGACATAATCATTGAATGCTTTTATCTAAAAGTAGTTTTTAAAAGCGTTGTCATAAATCTCAAGTTCTTCGTGGAACCTTAAACGAGACCTTGGCGGCTTAAAATATTGGCGCTTTGCCCAGAACACCCTAAGCAAGACCAAAATCCAAAATTTACACCTCTAAGTGAGACGGCAAGCATCCCCATCTGTTTCATATGGGAGTCCCCCCCCCCCCCGGGCCACCAGCATCCTTTTCAGAGGAATGAAATTCATTATAAAACCTTCCTCTTCTCAAAATCCACACACAAAAAAAACAATAATAATCTAAAAACAAGAAAGGCGTGAGCTGACATGGAATCAAGGTGAATCGAGGGCGAAAAGGAGAACAAAGCAAACTTTGGAACTTACTGTAAACCCTGCAAATTTTTTAAATTTACATTTTATTTTGAATGCACATCATCACAAGATCAAGCCCAGAACATTTCAAAATTTTGTCAAACTTTCTGTCATAATTCAATCCTAACTCAGAAAAACTTTAAAGTGGTTATACAGACCTCTTTTACTTTTGAATAGTGCCTCTCTAAGACTGAAAAAACTATTTTTTAGTAAGTAAAATCACTAATGTAAAATTTGTTTAAATAGCACCCCATCATTGGGTGGTGGCATACTCTACTGTTTCCCTCTCACCCGCAACACTCGCAATACACAGCAAAATTTTCAAAGTTTGTAAACTGTTAACTGAAACACTGTAAAGATTTTCAGTTTAACTGTAACCATTGCGACTATACTATCTTCATATCTTCAAATATTATGACAGATGAGTTGGTATAGTAAAAGTACAGTACATTGAAATGTTAAATTCAAAAAAAAAAAATTTTGACTGAATAAAAAATTAAGGTTGATAACATGTACATGTAGTATTCTTTTAAAAGTTAAAGTAATAATAATAAAATAATGTAAAAAACAACACTTTAAATGAAAATCATACTGACTGTGCTACCTGCAAATATTGACAAATTTTAAAACACAAAAATTATACAACTATCCCCAGAAGGGGAGTAGTTGTTTTAGTGCTTACCAAATCAGTTGGATAAAAATGAAGAAAATAACTCCTTGTAAATTAAAAACATCTCTTAGTAGGAACTTTGTATACATTTATAAAGTACCATTTCGGGGATTTTGTCAAGTAATTTAAACGACTTTTGTTGCAAATTCAGCATGAAAATAATTTTCTAACTACCAGTAAAGAGCGACAAGTCAAAGTTCGTCACTTTCCTAGTATTGCTTTGTACAATTGCTTCATAATTCATCGCTCGAATTCTGTCTTTCGAAAATGTCATGAAACGAGATGCCATCTTGGCTCCAGTCGCAAAACAGTGAATAGCTAAGGATATTCCGAGTTACAGGAGCCTATCAAAACTCATGAAAATTAATTGCTATTCACTGACTTGAGTTGAATAAACTGACCCCCCTCCCCCAACTCCTTACCCAGAATATTTTGAATTTAGGGCCAAGTCGCACTAGAGGACAAAACTGTTTATTTATGTCAAAATCTGTCATCACAATGAAAAACCAAGCTAGTGCGACCGGTTTGTTCACCAAAGGACAAAATTTGGTCACGGACGGACAAACTTCAAAGATGCCGTCGACTTAACCTCCGGAACAGGCCAAATTGAGACAAATTTTGGAAAACAATAGCAAGGGTGTGTTAATTCGGGAATGATTTGACAGGTGATATGTAGCAGAGTGTCTATGCTATAGACTTCATTGTAAAATTAGTCACATTCTCATTTCACAACAACATGAATCCCGGCGTGGGCAACCAATTTTTTCCGTACGAATATCCACAATATCTACCAGGATGGATCTATCCTTTGCCAGGCCCTTACATGTTTAATGATCAAGGAAATCCCAGCCCATCTCCTTCGACCACGAATACTGACTCATTGCCAGAATCCCTCCAGTTCAGCGAAGATAGCTCAATGCCAGCATCAACCCCATCTTGTTCATGCCATGCATCCTCGTCAGCCTAGAACAAGAAGGCTCAGGACAGATGGAGTAAGGAAGAAGAGGAGAAGCTTTTAGTTCAACTGTGGGCTGAAAAGCATGATTTTAGGAAGCCGAAAATCACAAGGCGCTCACAGCATGGTGTTGTGTTTTGTTCACAGATTTTGTTCTTAAGTGTGACTGCAGCTTTCCTGACAAATTTTTTGTCACTGAGAGATTTCAAGTTGGATTTGTCCAGAACAAATCTGAAATTGCCCTCTAGTGTGACTTGGCCCTTGTAATTTTTCTGATTGACATAAGGGACGGACCATTAGAAAAGTTATGGGGAGTGGGGTGGGGAATTTTTGAGCCACCGGAATTTTCTTTTGTTATCAAATTCCTTGCATCAATTTGTTTTAGGCTGTAGCATGGATATTTTTCAGGGTTAATTGGCGTGCATGAATTTTTTTTTATTTCATATTCCCTTGCGCGAATATTTTTTTTGTCCTTCGTCCCCCCCACTCCCCCCCCCCCCCCACCCCTTGCATAAGTTTTCTAATGGTCCGTCCCTAAAGCTACATAACATTCACAAATCTCTCTTCCTATTGAAGAACAAAAATTAACCGCAAATTTAAAGCACCAAATACAGTCAAAGTCCTTAACCATAGAGTGTTCCATTGTTGATAACCTTGTAAAGCGGCTGAGTTCCTCGCAAAAGGTCGCGAACTCCGGGTCTTGAAACGTACACCTCGCGGGCGAATTCGTCCCTAGCAACGTGGATGTTTCGTTTAACAGTATCGAGCAATGCTTTCCTGTGATGCTGTACATCGGCAATATGATCACTTTGATTTGTCACAACACTTATCTGTTGGTTTCTTGTAAACCTCATTCTGTCTCCTTGATCTGTCAGACCCACAAGAGTCTTGTTTCGCGGCCATTGAATTTTCTGAAAGCGTTCCTCCATTCGCCTCGTCTCTTGTGAGTTAGGGTAGCTTTGTTGTGGGTAGTTAAGCTTGTAGCTGGTTTGAACAAACGGCCCTGGAGCTTCATAGCGTTTGTAGTCTTTGATCTTATAATTATGTTCCATTTGATTCATGTTGCAAGCGGTTTAGAGGTACAAAGACTCACAAAAATGTTCCCGACGAAATGCACAGTGACTAATCAACTCCTGCGAGTTGCGTTGACAACTGACAGAGCAGAGTCTGGGTGTGAGAGAAATTTTGGAACGGTGGAATTAGAACTGCTGGAATAAGATTTCGACAAATTTCAGCATTCCCAACTCGCGATGTGTGTTTTTTTTTTTTTTTCAAATTTCCGAGAGAAAAAAATTCGGAATTTTAAACTATTTACTCAGTATTTTTGTGTATTATCTTGCCTGTTTGACCAAGTGAGACTCATGACGGGTAACTTAGCAAGTTCAAACTGATGACGTCATAAGTGCTACAAGGCTGGATTTTGTCTCCAGTCTCTATGTTCAACTGTGTATTTCTTTCAGTTATTTGGGTGCATTTCTTCACAAATAAAAACCGATTCATAAGGTCGGGAGGCGTGATTGTCGTCAAGAGAGGCTTTATCCCCTGGCACAGGGGGCGGGGGGCTTCCTCCTTATGATGGCATATACGGGGCTTCACTCGAAAGCGTAGTTTTTTCAGGATTCACTAAGAAAGGGTAGGAAATTCACTTGTTGAAGTATATGAAAGGGTAAGGAAATCTGTCATTTCAGTCTCAGAAAAAAACAGGATGAAATAACCTAAAAGGGCTGATAGACGGATTTTATTGTTATGAAAAAGAAAGGAAAACTTCACAGTTCACTGATCTATTCATATTAAAAAGACGATCGATGCATTTACAGCAGTTGAGAGGGATGCAGTGTTTTGAACTGGGTATTTGCAAGAGGTGCCATTTGTCAATAGTAGGTATACAAAAGCATAAGGGGGGTGGACCTCGGGGCGGAGCCTGTAAGAGTAAAACTTTGTTAAGTGAACCCCGAGTTTTATTTTTTTTTCTTGGTGTCGTGTGAAACTAGGCCAAAGGAGACCCTGCTTTGTTCAATCACAACTTACCTACATTATCTAATAAACCTATTACAACTTTTACCAAATAGTGTGCAAACATACGTAATCGACATGAGGCGCCGGAAAAACGCAATACGTTTAAAACGTGGCAAAATACGTTCGAGGCGTGAAGCGTGGGGAAGTAAGAAAAAACCTTTATAACTGTATAGCACTGGGAAAGCGCTAATTTTGACCACTTTGAATAAAATTTGAAGCAAGAATCTTGGTGGTCATGAAACAAATATCACACTTAGGTCACGATTATGTCAAGTTCCTTCAATGCATCAAAATCTAAGTGATTTTGGATCACTGTTCCTGATTCGGATCAACCCAAAGGAACTCATCCAAAGACAGCCGGCAGTATTATCCTGAGTTCTAAGATATACCGGTTATAGTCTTCCGTGTCCAGGTTATGTTGCAAGTCCGCCACGGATTCATGTTGAAACTGCTCGGAATAGCTTTACGTACATTTAGCAGAGGGGAGTCTCTCTCAGTCTAGGAAAATCGATGAAAGGGGCCTTCCTTAATCACGAAAATTTCAGGATCCGTTTAAGTTCCTTTACATTGTTTTTGAAATTAAGGGCTACAAAAACGTGACCGAACCAGACGAATGAACTGGAGACTATATGGATTCAAGCATGAATTCATCTGAAGGCTAGACCTGACTTGATTTTCCCTCTGCAATAAAACCCTATGAAAAGGCGTAGTGAATTTGCAACAAGCGATATGAAATCATGCAGTATTAATAGCTTCTTGTTTACGCCATGTACGAACGTAGGTTTGTGGGAGTGAAAAAATGTTGTTGTCCATGGCAGCTGACATTAAATAATGGATGAGGACTTTGTTGAAGCTGTTGAACCAAACAGCTCAAAACAAACTTTAAATAAAGAACTTTTTAATTAGCCCTGTTTTCACATAGCGGTAGCACAATAATAAGCCATGATTATAAACCTTTGATAACAGATTCTAACACGGTAAACGTGACCGCTCTCGATTGTCAAGTTATGTCTTTCTTATCGAACATGTCGAACCGCTTTTATTTTTGCTCGCTTGGATACAGACGTCTGTGGGCTAGCAAACAAACCAATAGGCATGGATACTCGGCAAAACAGATGTTTGTATACACTGCAAAGAGCTTCCACGTCGTTTTCCACCGCAGATAAGTGCCACTGTGCGACTAAATACTAAACCACGCCTTAGATTTCGAGATAAGATATTAAGATATGGACCCAGACACTAAAAAATACTTTTTGTCCATAGCTTGTGCAAATAAAGGTAACTGGACACGATTGAACGTTTGTAACTCTCGAGAAAAAAGATATTTTTGAATACCAATCTTTTTTTGCTTGCGATGAGGAAGGTTGCCATACGCCTATGATGTAGGCATTTGGAAAAACTCTCATACGTGACGCACAGTATCTTTCTACTCCAGCATACAATGTGAAAACAGCGGAATTTGCAGAGGAGGTATAATAATTTTCAACTCTGTTGGGAATTAATTTACCACGCCACATTAGCTGAGAAACGAAACATAATTTTCTCCTTACTCGCTAATTGCTACTCTAGACAAAAACTTATTGTTGTCGTTGTTTACTTAAAGTGTCTGTGGTTAAAAGGAAACGTGCACTTGTAATAACTTTACGTCCGAAAAGAGTGCTTGTCAGCAAAGAAATCACCGTGATTTTAAAAAAACGCCACTGAAACGACACCAGCAGCATGTCCAGGTCATCGATGTCTTCAACACAAGCCCCAAGTAGTGGGCTTTTAACACGTACAGGATCAAGTTATGAGGGAGATATAGAAAGCTTGGCCTTAACTGATTCAGAAATAGAAAACTGCAGCGTTCATTCCGTTTACTACAGCGAGTCATGGCCTTCCCCCGCGTTTCCAATTATTTCAACTGGGAGATCAAGCTCTGCTACTTTAGCCGAAGAATCGTCGTCATTATTTGAATCCGAATATGATACTGAAATATCGAGTTCTGACACGAGCGCTGTAATTTATACCGACAATGATTTTTGTCGAGTACAAAGGACTGTGGGAGACAGACGTGCTGAGTCAGCCTTTGCCACTGAGGGCAACAAAAGGTGTAAATGGGAAACTGATGGTGCTAGCGATTCTAGAATCAATACAGCACATTACTCAGCTCCTTCTTTGTATAATGCTAAACCGATACCCAATGAGGCGTCAAATTTGAGATTTAGTGTTAATGCAGATGATTTCAGTCAAGAGCTGTACCAGTCTAACGCAAGTCAACAAGACTGTAAGCATGAAGATATCTTAACGAAATTCCAGGCCATGGATTTCGAGAATGGGGCACAGGCGAGAAACTCCCTTCATAAAAATCAGGAAAACAATGAATGCTCATGAATTAAAAGCGCTTCATCCTTGTAAGTCAGTTGATGACGGTCATTTCAATGAAGTTGGCTCGGAGGACAAGTTAAATACTCCGGAAACAACTTTACAGGAGTCGGAATTGGCAGAACACGATATCATTGAAAAAAAAAGATTTCTGAGAAAAAATTTCAGTTCAGTTCTTAAAGAAGCAAGGAAGTCCGTGCGAGAAGCTCGCGGGAATTTGAGTACGCATGAGATGAAATTAAGAAGCAAACGAGCTACGAGTAAATATCCTCAAGTAAGAGAACCCAGATTAACAGTAAAGGCTGATTCAAACAAAGAAGGAAGTTTTGAGAATTCCGTTAAGTGGGTGGTAACCAGGCCGTACGTTAACCCAAGAAGTAAAAAGTTCATTAAACAACGCAAAAAGCAAGATGCTATTGAACTCGAAAGGAGGAGAGCAGAGCTATTGATAATGGAATTGAAGGGATTAAATTTACACGAACAAGCTGGAAATGTAAAGAGTGCGTTGGCCTTTAAGGACAAAAAGGAGAAAGACTACGATGATCAACTCGATGCAAAGAGGGAGGATATTAAAAAGAAGAAAAGTATTGAAGCATGTCACTTGAAGGAGGAAATGAAGAGGAAACGCTTAGAAGAGATCAGGAGAAAAGAGGAGGAGAGGAAAGAGAAAGAGGATTTCGAAAGGAAAAAAAGAATCGAAGAAGCAAAGATAAGAAGAGAGAAAAATCGAATGCTATGGGAAAGCTATAACGCGGTTGTCCTTGCAAATTCCGTTAGTAGATCGTTCACTTTTTCTTATTTTCCAAAGCTTCGCCCTCAGCCTTTGGAAAGGCCACAAACGGAGCCTCAAAAGAAAAGTCACTCAGAAAATCACGTTGATAAATGCCATCGGTGAGATCCATCCGACGACTTTGTATCAGCTATGACCAGCTATCGAACTTTTAATACGGGAAACACTCGCGCACATTTAAAATGCGATTTCTCTTTCTGATAGCATGCACATGCCTGTATATACATATGCAGCAGGCTATACACGAACAGATTCGCCATGAAATATGAACAATCAGAAAAAGCTTTAAGCTACAGTAGAACGTGCAACAAAAAACGTGCAACTTGTTTTGCAACATTGCTGCAAAACGAGCTGTATAAGGGATATCCTGAGTATCAGGCCTTCCTAAGGGGCCAGGGGAGATGAGATTTTAGATCTCCCTTTTTCGCTTCCATCTTTCCCCTTTTCCCCAGAAACGACTGATACTCAGGCTATATAAGCGATGTTGAGCGTTTTACCGCCGACGTTCGAAGCTGTCTCACAACAATAAGGTTGCAAGGTTTTTTTCGTGGGTGGTAAAACGAGCAACATCGCTATTCAACTCGTTTTGCAACAATGTTGCAAAACAAGTTGCACGTGTTTGGTTGCCTATTTAACCGTACATTTACACTTAGTATGTCTATCAGAACTAGGCACGCAACGCGTGCACGCGCATAAAGAGGCAATTCTGAGCAACTCGTTCTGATGTTTTCTTTTTGAGTTTACTATTCTGTAAATAGTTTCCTGGAGATAGAAGATTCGTTCGTACAAAAAAAACAAAAACAAAAAAAGCAAGAAAAATATCACACAAGGGACATGACACAAACAATATCCATTGTAAAAACTATTGTAGAAGTAAATGGTTATTGTTTTTATCTCATACATCATCCTTTATTTCCAATTTCCTATTCATTTATTTTTTAACTATTATATTATTACATATTATTTTCTGCCTTGCTTCCATGTTTCATTTTCACACCGTCACCAACTTTTATACTTGATTAAGCACAGTGGCGACTTGGAGTGACTAAGGGCCTTTTTACATGGAGGTGGGGGACCCCAGGTAGGTGAGGTAACATGTGGCGGTTAACCCCACCTATCATGTAAACGTGATCAAATTGAAATGAGAGATTATATGGACAGGCGGGTTACCCCACCTAAGAGGGTTACCTCACCTACCTAGGGTCCCCCACCTCCATGTAAACAGGCCCTTATACGTTACTGTATCCCCGTACCACACCTAGCGGACTAGATCTTTTTTATTAAAGAAAACGTCGGGAAACTAGCAGTACATAATGGAATTTCTAATAATAAGTTGTAACATCTTCATTGGCGTATGATGTGGTTTAATCTTATCCTTGGTTGTTATTTTATCTTCCTGTTTCTCAATAATCCTACATTACCATACCCAAAAGCAAAGGGAAAAAAATTTGCACCACATCTGTGCGCATCTAATAACAAGTTCGTTTAAACATGAATACGAAGGCAATCAAAGTAATCCCCATTTTTTAAACAGTTCATGAAGGAAATACATGTACAAAGTAAACAATGTTCTTAGAGCTTCATATCTGAAACAGACAAGGCATAAGGGATATCACGTTATTTTATGATAATAATTATCATCTCCTATACCTATTAATTATTGGTCACTTTGTTATGAGGTAACCATACCACTGCTGAACCTTGTTCCCAGGTTCTCTCTCCTACCCATCTCTCTCAGATGGGACGGGTAGGAGAGAACCCTGGGAACAAGGTTGACCAGTGCTCTGACTACAATTGTTTGGCCTGTCAAGATCAGTTATGTCTTTGATTTCCATTTGGCAAAAGAAAAATAGAAAACCCTTGAATATTAATTTATAAAATCACAACTGAAATACCACTCCTTGTTACCATCCTAAACTTTTCACTCCTAAAGGTCACCGAAGTAAAAATTTCCAAAAAAGGTATAAATAAGAATAAATAGTATTATGTAAGAGATCTGCCAGAGAAGTTTCAATTGAATGGAGACATCATAGGATTTCATCCAAAGATTTAAAAGCTAATTTAATGGCAAATCATGTTACCATAAAGAGTGAAAGAGTTTATTAATATTTTCAATGATGAACTTTTAGTCTGTTTGAGCCTGTATTAGCCTGCGAGCAAGCTTTCCTATTTGGGCGAGTGAAGCGAGTCTCGCGAGAATGCTCGAGCGAGCGGCCAAGCCACAAGGGGCATCGATCGCACGTTCTCGCAAGGCTTGCTTCGCTTGCCCCAATAGGAGAGCTTGCTTGCAGGCTAAGCCTGTATCCAACAATAAACTTGTTTTAAGCTGTCACTTTTCCCAAGGTGACCACTTACATTTGTAGTTGACAAGCATGGAACAAGGGGAAAACACTTGGTCCATTTTTATTTTTGGTTCAGATTTTTTTCCTTTGTTTTCCCTTGGTTTCGGGTGATGCTTGTACGAAAATCTCTTACTCCCTCTAGTAGCTAAAACCTTCAAATAAATAAAATTCGTTTTTTGCTGCAGCATTAAGAGCTTCACAGACATGCAACTTGGTAGAAACTCAAATAATAAAAATCTTATTATTTTAGCTAATAAACAGCATACACAATTTCTTACAGCATTTCCCTTAAAAAGAGTAAAAAATAAATTTTTGTTTAATCAGTGTTAGCACTGCCCAGTCATCATTAAAATAACAGTTATTTTTGTTTGCTTAAAAAACTAAACAAAGTAACAGCCAAAGATGCCACAGTTAACCAAATGGGCATAGAAAGGTGTGTGTTTGAGCCCTGTACTCAGCCTGTGCTGTATGTATATTTGTGAACACTCAGCATTTATGCAGCTGCCATCCTTGATTTTGAAAGGGAAAAATTTGAAGAATTTCTCACCTGTTCCCCAAATCTGACCCTTAAATGCCATCTGTAACCTATGCACTGCAATCTGAATGAACTCTACAGGCCTCAACACACCCCCAGCCCCCTCCCCACTTCACCCCTAACTAAAACTGCCTAGGCGGCATAACTCTTGTCAATTTACATTTCACCACTAGGAATATAATCATAACCATTAAGATCTACTGAGTTCAACACAGGAAAGTGATTAGCTCTGCTGCTTATGGTGCACTGCCGCCCAAAATCAGACTCTGAAGACCTCTCGTTAGAAAAAAGAAGAATTTCTGTAGTGGGACTCTCATTTTTCTGAACAAACCTGAAAGAGCAAACGGTAAAAAACAATAAATATTATTATACAGTTTATACATTGGATGCGGAGACTACTGCAGTGACTTGCGTCCCTAATAAATAAAAATCCCAAAGACACAAAATAATTTATGGTATGCATCCCACAGGATGCAAAGATCGATTGATTGATCTGAAGATGTTTTTGTAGAATATCCTGTTAGTGTGTTGTCTGTGGCTGTCGTTGAACAACGCCTATTTCTTTTAGTCTTGGTTGTGCTTTGCAATAGAAGCAGTATATTTTTATTTCAGTAAACTGTAATAAAGAGTTTTGGAGTCTGTCCTCAGAGTAAATGTGTGGTTACAAAAGACCCAGGAACTCATTTTTTTTTTTTAACTGAGACTCATTGGTTCTGGACTGGGACTCATGATTTTTCACAAGATGGGTCGATCCCAGGACTCACCACAACTATTTGTAACAAAATCACTGCTATGTACATATATACTGTTACACCATTTTCAAACCAAACTGGGATATCCTTACATTAAAGGGTCTAGCCATTCAAAAGGTGGATAACACTATCCACCAGATAAATCTGATCTCTATCCAACAGATGGGGCATGTGTGTTCCCTAAGATTTATCCTCTGGATAGTAACATTTAGTCTCACTTGAGTAAGCTGTGAGACTTTTCTTCGTATTCAGGACACAAAAGGGTGGTTGGGGTCCCAGGCGTTCCTAGCGGAGACCGTGGAAACTGGGAATAAGAATCATTGCAAGACCAAAGCCACGCATGTGTTGTATAAAGCTTAGTAAAGATTAATAAATGCAATTTAGAGCTTTTCCGGAACAGGTTGGTCCATGAGTTGATAACTTTAATCTTCATTAGCAAATATCCTGAAGAATGCAAATGAGTCTTGGCATGCGGTTTATTTTAAAGTAGGATGTGTTAAAAAACCTTTTTTAGTGTAATTATAAATAGCCCTGTCTTGTCTAGAATTAATTGCCTCCTCATTTCTCATCTAATCTCAAAGCAAGTGAGACTTAACGCCAACAATAAGAGGGTTCTTGTTATTTATTGCGGGGATAGTGCTATCCAGCCTTTAAGCAACTGAGCCAAAGTTTATATGTGGGGGAATGCAGCTTGACAACATGGTCTTTACATCATAACTAACACTTACCCAACAAGTACAACAGGAACAATCAGTAAAAGAGCCCCAATGACAAACGACAAACGAGAAAGTGGCATGATATCATATAAGCGCCTGAAAACAAACACTCCAAAGACATTTGATGCACTCTCCAAACAAGCTAAAATTGCAAACAGGATACCTGGAAAATTAGGTAAAATTTACATGTTAGTTACAAGTTTTAATGCACCATGTGTAAGTCATTTTCATGAAAATGTAAGGAAAAAATAAAATATTAGCTCAATATATATCCAGCCAACTTGCTTAATGTGCAACTCAATGAATTGCCATGGAAAAAAATATGTAAAAAAGCTAAACTAACGTAAAACCCAGAGGCCCCTGCTCACAAATATAGCCCTCTTGATTAAAGGCACCTTATCTGTACATATCTAGCTATATGCTCCAGTTGCATTTGAATTTTTCACTGTAGATAAAATGAGGTACCTTTTGCTATTGGTTTAAAATTGCTTTTTATTATTAATTGTGTCATTTTGTAAGCCTCCCCCTGGGTATACCATATTTCCTCAAATAAGTGCTGCAGCACTTATTAAATTTTTCATGCATCTAATGTGGTGCTTATTCGAGGGCAGCATTTATTTGAAAGTTGGATGCGACAAAGAATTGTTAACATCACTATTATATTATTTGCAGTAACTACCAGAAACGTCTTTTGATTTTGATTGCATCGGGACTTAGGCGCCTTATCAGTGACGGGGCCTATGCAAGTAAACAGGGTAAGCCTACTAGTACAATTATAATTCATTATGTAGGAGCATCTTACTTTATTTCGAGTTGGTTATTACCTTGTTCCTGAGGTTCAACTAGCTTAGATAAAGTAGCTTTCATAACTGATTGAGGTAAGACACCCAATAACTGAAGGGCAGGCACTGAGAATAAAGAAAAAATAGAAGAGTATAAAATAAATTTTATAATGGCAATTCTTTCATTATTATTTTTTTTCATCACCACGTTCCCTTATCCTTTCAACTACAGTCTTCTCACACCTTCTTGTTTGGATTTCCTCTTTTTCGTTACCCTCACCGTTGAGTGTTCAAATTGAGAATTAACCTTACAACAAAGTGTCTAGTACGTCCCTTTACTTAAGTAGTTTAATCAAGGGCTAAAGTACCTTAAGTCCTAACTTTGATGTATTTGTTCCCAATTGTGACCTGATTAGTGCTGGCAATGCTTTTACGTTCCAAAACATGCCTTAAAATCTTTTTTTTCACAAAAAGAGCTTTAATTTCTTCCCCCAGAATGCTCTAAGAGTCCAGTGTGTCTTCATGAACCTATTTTTTAGCAAGGGGTGGGGTGGGTGCACTCCTTAGGTCTTATGACCCTCTCATTGAATTTAACCCTTTAAGTCCCAATATCCACATACAAATTCTCCAAACTGATCTCCATACATTTCCTTGAAGAATTAGTAGAGAGAATTTGGTAAAATATCAATATTTTTCTCTTTGTGATCATTTTGTTAATTCTCATAGACTTTGCTCATGATAGTCTATGGATATCGTTAGGAGAAAATTGATTTTGAGCACTATTGGGACTTAAAGGGTTAAAGTCAAAATGTGTCATAAGCATATTAAATTATTTTTCTTCATCTTGACTGCAGGTCAATACAAACAGGGGTGGATCCAGGATTTTTTCTAGGAGGGGGTGCACTTGTCTCTTGCTCTACTTTGCAGAATACCACTTGTATTGGAAAACCGCAGGTCATCTCAGGGGAGGGTGTGCACCCCCTGCACCCTCCCCCTAGATCCACCCCCTGACAAAGGAGTTGACCAAAAACTGTTATGTTAAGTTAAAATGTGAAAAAAAATTAATAGCAGTTTGAACTTACCATTAAAAGTTAAGCGAGCTGAAGTGTTTAATGAGGCTAAAATCAAGCCAGCGAATAAAGACACTAGTCCAGCCTCAATGATCCAATTATTTGAAGCTTTTAGAACACTTTGAAACAGTTTGACACTGACCAAACTTGATATATAGCGTAAACAAAGAGCTCCACCTAAATAGCCAGTCAAAACCATTGAAAAACAAAGTGAAGTTTGGGCATGTAAAATTAATAGACTGTTTGTTCCTATAAAAATTATTCCTGCAACTACAAAGGAAGCGACATAGGTAAGTAAGCGCCACCTACGTCCATTTCCAGGCTCATGTGTAAATACTCTGCAAATTTCGAGAAAGTCCTGACAACTAAATATTGTACTTGACCCATAAAAACCAGGAAGGAGAAGGCTTTCCTCCAAGTAAAACACAATGTATATAATATTCGTGATGCAGGCAGCTATACCAAGCCAGAGCAAATGATAAAACCAAATACGTTCTAAGTAGAAACCACAAACAAAGTAGGCTAAGCCAATTCCAATACCAGCAGCACTGTCCAGGAAAAGTATTCTGAAGGTTCTTTGTCCTCTGCTTGTAATGTCAGCAACATAAGCCATACAAGATGACATTAGACTGGTGCTATAGCCCAGTGCACTTGTCATTAGACTCACAATTACAAAAAAATAAAGTGGCTCCTGAAAGTGAATGATGATAAAAACTAGAGCCACACGTAATGCAATGCCTAACAGAGAGGCAACAAGCACAATTTTACGTCCTTCTGTTTCACTCCATGTTCCAAAAATTATTGTTGATGGTATTGCTAGAAGAAGGGATGCCAAATTTATAAAAAGCAGCCAATAATCTGTGGATGATGAGCACAGAATCCCACGTCCAACATGTTCTAAGTCTGAACTGTTGTAGCAGTTCAGTTTCTCACAAAACCCTTCTTCACTTGTATCTGCCTTATGTGTAAGTGTTGTGTAGATATACTTTTGTGTTATCACATCAACTAGGGTTGTTGAAAAAAAGGTAAGAAATATAACTGGTTCCACAGTTAAAGGCCAACAGCCTCTTCCCATCATTATCCTACAACTGGGCCTTCAAGTGTTGAATTTGCAGCAACAGGAAAAACTAGAGAAAAAAGAAAGGATAACAGAAACTATATAAGATGTGTTTCAGATATAAAAACCTCTGGTACACACTGTAGCTATTTCAGCAATGAAGTGATATTTTGACATGCATCAACAAAATATCATACATTATTAATCTATTTATGCACTGTAATTAAACTCTCAATTCCTGCTGGTCAAGCCTGATTTTTTTTCAGGTTCTTTTTTAATTTCTTGGGTTGTTCATTCTACTGCAAAAATTGTGTTCAATTTATCATTAATTAACTCTTGTAGTCACCAGTACCAATTTTGTCCTTAATACTAGTAGAAAAATATTACATGTTAAATTTTTCACTCAGGTTGCAGGAGTCAGGAAGCTGAGGTTTAAACCAAGTGATCCACATTACTAAAAACAAATAAAAGACAGTGAAACCTTAAGTAATACAATGGATGGATAGATGGATGAATCACTGGACAGACGAACGGATAGACTGCAAAACAGTTGGTTTTTTACCTCAAAATTGGTTTAGTGCAGCGTAAGAGCCTCATGCGCGCCAAGCGTGCGAGCCTCCCATGCCCAAAGGGAGTGTGAGGAGAGAGAAAAAAGCGGGTCATTCAAACGAATATAACGTATGGAAAACAGCCAGTCTGTAGTTTTAGTGTCTCTCCCCAGTCTCGCTTTCCGTTTCCAGCCTCACTCCAGACCTTTTGTTTCGCTTTTCATGCGTACTTGAACACAAAAATATGGGCTGTTTTGCAGTCTAATGGACAGACAGACAGACAAACAAACAAATGAAACTTCAGCTGTATACTCTTCATTGGTTCCATAATACGAAATAGCTAGCCTGTTCACAGACCTCTTATTTTCTTGTTCAAGATCACAGAGTGACTGCTAGCACACAATAGGGTGGGGGTGGATAACTGAGATAACAGACGGTCTCTAGACATCTATCAACTATGGAAGAAAATGGAACTTGATTTCTCCAAAAAAGCAATTTACCATTGGCTAAGTGACAATTATCCTGTCATCAGTGATCATCAAGTCAATGAATTATGGTGCACGCAGCATTTGTTATTGCCTTGCACATCACTTACTTTAACATTTGCATAATAAAACAATAGAGCACCACTGACTCTTGTGAACTTGAAAGTAATGGTTTCGATATTGCACAGTGTCTAAGAATTGACGCGCCTATACTTTTGTGTTTTGGATTCGGTGCTCCGTAAAGAACCAGCTTGCTTGGCAGGCTGTCTTGCGCTTCTTTCAGGCAAAGGATGCCATGGCTATTCTTCCACATGTTTCTGGAGGCCCTGCCAGGGTAAATTCCGACAACCGACATGGCCCAAAAAGTAGCGACAGCGCGTAAAATGAAATCGCGACAAGAGACAACCTCCCTCGGCCAAATTGTGACAGTGACGGCAAAGCCAACAATAAGCGACAAGCATTTATAACCACTGACACGAGACGTTTTAAAATTTAGACGGGTGAAATGGGACCCCCCCCTGGCAGGGCCTCTTTCTGGAAAACTATAAATTGGTAAATTACACTCTGATCGAGATCATAATTTTCATGCATTATTTTGCATAATAGTATTGTTTTAACAACGTGTCACATTATCATGCTTTAAAATAACATTTCGCTAAAGGCACAGCTTCTTAAGTTTGTCAGCTGTTTTGAATACACTATTATCTTAATAAAATAACACCTATGCACTAGTCTAAATATGCTATTGATGAAGCATCACCCTACATTCACATAGAAAAAAAAAGTATAGAAAATTATTACCAGGCTCGAGCCTACATTTACTTAAAACCATGGACTTAGTCAAGCAACAATTGAATTTATCTTATTCCCTGATCAGGCACTAAAAAGCTTTATTTTTCAAATTTTTTGTAAAAAACATTCAGCTAAACAAAGAGTAGTTCAGTAGTACTCCGTGATTTCCCACAGGTTACACATTTTCGGTTATATTTTCTTAACAAAAAACAATATAATTTTTACCTGACTACCTTGACAGAATCCTCAGGCCTTCTGTGTCAACTTTCCATTGTCAAAGAACAAAATGTTAAAAGTCATAAATTGCGCGTGAAGCTCTCGCGAGCGCCATCTTGATTACGTGCGTGTTCCTTTCTCCGTGAGAGGTGACACGTGACTGTGATCAAGTGCGTTTGATGACTTCCGCCAACGTACGGCAATCAAGAGCCGCGGGAATGCCAAATCACAGCTGGGAAAAATGGCGCGATGTGGGGAGAAGGGGGTAGAAATTTCCGTCTAGTTTGTTCAAGATTGTCGTATCAGCTAGTGAAAGAAGCTAGAATGAGCTAGAATGCTTAGCTGTCCTCAGATACTGCACCAGGACCATGACACGTGGGCACATCAGTCGCATCATATGACTTGTGACGTGTTGGTGCACTGAATCATGACTCTCGTACATGACCCACGCACTACCCTCAAGAGGGTATTTCCTATTTGACATGCAGAGACACGTAGGATAGATTTGAAGGAAGACTAATGGGGGCTCTCTCACTTAGCCTAAACGGGTATGTGCCGCTGATCTGAACAGCGACAGGGTATGGTTTTTAGGGCGTTGAGTCTTAACAAGGTGTACAAATTCACTTGAAAAATGAGTGTAAAGATTATCGATGAGCCGTCCTTTCAGGCCTGGATTTGTGGAACCAATATCTTCCGGGTTTTTTTAAATCTAATTATGTGATGTTACTTTGTAAAATTTTCTAATTCTGTGGGGAAAACAAAACGAATTAGCTGTCATAAGATAAGGTCTTTTGTCTTAAAAAGTTAGTGAAATGAGAAATTTTTATCTTAAACAGTATCATGGTTTGTTCAAGGCCTGGGTGACGCACCTCTACCCTTAATTCCTCGGAGTGCCCCCCTCCCTCCCCCGTGGGGGCCTAATAATCAAAGATGGCGACTAAAACATCAGCTGACTGAGAAAATACAAACATTTATTTGGAGGATACCTTAGAAAGCAGAAGTTATAGTGGTAGCAGTATTAATATACATGAATCTTTCTTTTCCCTTTTATTATAAAAAGGGAAAGATCATTTTATGTTCTCTCTTAGATCCTTTATTAGGATCCGGTTCTTCTTTTTTGTAAGCTGCTCCTCACTTCAAAAATTGAAAGATCAGCATGAACGCGCTGTTTTACGTGGGCTAGCGTTCTATTTGGTTTTCGAAGTACCAACCATTAAAAACAAATCTTAACTAAATTAACAGGTATAATTATTCTGAAAGTTGACCATGAACAAATTTGCTTTTCGACCGAAGAGCTGAGATGAGAAAAATAAAATTGTAACAAATTTATCTTTCAAAGAATACAATTTACTACTCAGTGTTTGAGTGTCTGAACTAGACTTACTATAAAATCTACCCAGTTTTGGAAATAAACAGAATAAATAAAAGCGTATCCATTGGGGGGCTCCCTCCCTCCCTACACGCTGCCATCGTGACTCGAGCTCAAAGCAATTCCATTTTGAGTCTGTGTTCTTCACTGCACGTGCACTGCACGTGCCTGTGTCAGACATCTTTTCCAGCCAGACATCGTTGCCAGAGCCACTCGGCTGAAAAGAAACGACACGCTCTAGGGACGAAAACAGTTGTGTGACCTGGGTAAGGCAGTCTATTCGCCACTTTCACATTTCCCATAATGCACCTTATTTGCACCCCCCCCCCCCCCCCCAAAAAAAAATCTTCCACAAATGTTTTTCTTTTCTCCTGGGTATGACAGCCTTCCCAAGAGAAATTGAAAACAATGCTTATGCAAAATGTTTGGGCGTGGGGGAGGAAGGGGAAATAAGTTGCATTATGGGAGATGTGCAAGTGGCGTATGCGACGTGATTGCTGGGAGAGAATCTCCGAAGGAGTATGCTCAGCTTTGAGGCTTTGAAGAATAGTAAAAAAAAATAAATAATTAATACCTGTACCTCGATGAAGTTTCTTTTGTTTAATCCCTTTGGCCTCAAAGCTAAGCAGGAATTTTGATACGGTGGAATAACGATTTTTTGATTCTTCTAGGCAATTCTTGGTTTGACCACATGACAAGGCGGCCATGTTGGTGGTCTAGACAATATAATCATTTCTCGAAGAGAAAGCTTTTGTTCTTGACAACTTGACCATCAACATGGCTGCCGTGACGTCACCTGGAGGTTCAAAATATTGAGAGTAAAATCAAAGGGAAGGGAAGTTTGTGTAGGTTCGAATCGGCATCCGGAAGTTGGATCCCAATAGAACTCTTTTGCTTGTATGTTTTTTTCCCCAATACAAGTCACGTGATAATACTGTTGAGAACTGTTTCCTTCAAATTTCGTCTTATTTACCTACATATGAACGAATAATTTATAAAAAGACAAAAGATTAAGTTCCCGTGGGACCTCTATTGTTGGTTTTCACATGACGTCACTAAAATTCAAACTACAAAACTGTCGATCCTACTGGGATTTTACTTTCATGATGTATTAGAGCAGCCGGAAAGCTAATTTTCATAAAAATTTTCGCTTCAATAGGGTTCTTGGTTTTGTGATAGAGTACGCTTGAATTTCTAAGCTTTTGCGTGACGCGGCATTCACATGACGGCCGAGAGGGAAGTCATGTGGGTTAAAAAGTGACGTATTTCGGGGAATTTTTCTATCTAGGCAGTTCGTGGATTAGAAAAAGTATTACTTTAATGCTTATGAGTTCTTCGAGGAATAAATTCACGCTTTTGTAGCAAAACTCTGTAACAGATGTTTTCGTTGGTTTCCGTCCGCCATGTTGGTGCCCATCCAGGTGGGCACCATCATGGCGTCTCCATACAAATCTCTGTAAATTTGCGTAAAGCATTTCTTCAGGAATCGCGGCGAGGAACTTGGTATATTTACCTCCTTTCATTTCCCAGATTCCGAACTTTATCTATTGAACGGTTTTGATTTTTATTTTGATCTATTTTGAATGGCGTGACACTGAAAACCAGCAATTGGGAAAATAAAACATACAAGCTAAAGAGGTCTATTAGGACTATTGGCCTGTTTTACTATGATCCACTCTTTAATTTGGAGACAGCGGCTGTCTATCATCCTTCAATGTCTCAATAAATTTGAAGCCCCTTAATGTATGCCACATAGAAACTGCTCTGTCGTGTTTTGACGTCACGGTATCCCAGTGTGCTTCCTCGAGTCCAGTCGACTCCACGCTGAAAATGACTTCTCCAACGGTAGCGCTCTTTCCCACCACGTTATAGTAGTTTACGGAGATTTTCAATGTGCAGAACGGCAGCTTATCCTCGGGCACACGGAATAACAAAGCTTCGTTGAAAACTGTGTAAGTTTCACCGACTTCTTGCAAACCAGTTTTTCTTTTCAGAAGCTTTTGGCCATCATGGTGTAGTGTTGCTTTTGTGTAAACTTTTTCTGCGGAAGGAAGGATGGCGTCTTAAAATTAGTGTGTTGTGAATTTATAATTTTCCATCTAGTTTGAATAGAGTACATTTTCAGCAGAAGAGCCCAGCGAGGGAAACAGGGAAAGAAAACCAGCAATTAACGAGTGTTAACAATAACAACTTTGGGAAGTAAAATAAAACTGTCAGGAGCTCCCCTACTTCAAAGCTAAGGTTGTTACTTCCACTTATTAAAGTTTAATATATTTCCAACAGGCTGTTAGCTTACGAAACTTTTTTAAAAGTTTGCCGAGAAAAATTATAAGTGTTTGAAAATAAGACAACTAGTGTTACTGCCTGCATCAAGAATGCGCAACCCAAAGCAGCCGATTGTGCATTTTCATATCATGACCAAACTTTACAAACACCAACCGACTCAATACCTAGCGAGTACCTCACGAATGCGCAAAGCCATATCACTCTGGCATTGGCAAGCAGTGGCGGCAGCAATGGACAGCTTTCTCGCCCTTACTAGGTCTCATCAGCGTGGCATAACTGTCGGACCACTAAAAGCTGCGTATCAAAAGCCCTTTACTGCCGAGGCGAGAGCAAAGGACTAAATCCTTAAAAAAATTAAAACCTAAAAGCAAACTAACCAACGCAAGATAGCAGTCCCTCGGTCAAATTCATCCCCTTCATAATGGCTACCGTGAGGGTCTGATCCTTAGTAACGTAACACAGAGATAAAAGTAGTTCTCCACATTCTGCGTTGGCAAAACTCTGCAACGCTCCTACAATTGAAGTGTCCTGCAAAAAGGAGAACAACGCCTTTAAAAAATTTGATAATGCTGATTGGTCATTAAACAGCCAAATCCATGCTGTGGTTCAGCTTCGTTCCCAGCTTCCTATCTATTTCTGTAGTCGAGCAAGGAAGAGACGGGACCCTCTTAACGAGGTTTCCCCAATGTTAAGGTTGGATCTAAGCATAATAATAAATTTTTTGCTGGTGAAACTTCCTTTACACTGATTTACTACGCTTTCCTACGCGTTTCATTTTTTTTTCCAAAGAGATTGAAAATCCTCTCTTGATTTGTCAACTGACAGTTTTCAACGGTAGTTTATGTCACCATACGCCACTTGCACATCTCCCACCTTATTTGCCGCCCAAAATTTCGCATAAGCATTGTTTTCAATTTCTCTTCGGACGGCTGTAATACCCAGGAGAAATGAAAAACAAAGCTTATGCAAAATTTTGGAGGCCAAATAAAGTGCATTATGGCAGATGTGCAAGTGGCGTATATTTGATATTTGACATGCACTCTGTAAACTTAGAGCCAGTTGGATTAATCCCCCGGGGACGTACTCCAATATAAGTTTTACACGTGGAAGCTCCGCTCCGAGGTCCAACCTCTTACCCTTTTATATACCATTTTTGAAAGAAAAGGTAACCCTTTAGTACCTTCCACTCAGAAAAGGTACCCCTTTCAAATACCTAGTTTAGAGCTTAATTTGCATTCCTTTTAACTGCTGTAAATGCGCTGTCTTTAAAATATGAATTATTTACGAATCAGGAAATTTTCTCGACTTTTTCACAGCCATAAAATACTTCTTTTAGCCCGTTTAGGTCCTCTTACAGATCGAAATAACAGATTTCTCTACCCTTTTATATACTTCAACTATATAGTGAAATCCCTACCCTTTCATATACCTGAAACCTAACAAAGGTGCCCCTTTCGGGCGGAACCTCCCTGTATATATAGGCCGCGTTATAAGGAGAACCCCGGGGGATAAATCTTCACTTCCGTCGTTAACGCTAAGGTCTGACGTGAAGCCTCGCCAGCCAAATTCTGTATTTCACCGTCAAATGATGATCTGACGTTCCGTGTTATGTAACAGGCCCTAGAACCGCTTGAAAACCCGACTTCTTACATGCACTGACCGGCTCTACCACCTGAGACCATCTGACAAAGATACAATTAAAGGTATAGGTAAAGGTGAACGCGAGCCAAAGGCCCAGACGGCCGGAGCTTATCTCAGATTTCTTAGCCCATAAAGCACGCCTAGGACTATTGCTACTCCCACCTGGACGGAATGCTAGTCCATCGCACAGTTATCCCCAGCAGAATGTCACCGGTACCCATTTAAAGTGGAGTAAAGTTCCTTGTCTAAAGAAACAACGCGACTGGACAGGCCTGAACCCCTGACCTCCAGATCCGGAGTTCGAGGTATTAACTGCTTAAAAACCCGACTTCTTAAATTGACCTCCATCACCCGAGATCATCTCGCAAAGGCGCAATTGAAGGGGTTCATACCAAATAAGGCCATATGAAAAGCGAGTGGTAAAGGCGATAGGTAGCTCAGCAAAGACGTTTTTGAGCGACGAATGTAAACCGGAAATGAACTTTTTGCATTCTTGGGCGGTGGTTTTGCCCCAAATTTTCAGGAAAATCGTCTTAATAGGAGTAAAGCCCCTAACAGTACAAATGCAGTACAAATTTGGGAAAAAGGCTTCACTTCCGGTTGGCATGTGTGGCTCAAAAACGACTTTTAAGCCCGGGGGAACCCCATATGAAAGGGGTGGGGATGCTCGTCGTCTCGCTTAGGGGTGTAAATTTCGGATTTTGGTCTCACTTAGGGTGTTCTGGGCAAAACGCCATCATATTTAGCCGTGAACTCGTTTAGGGTTGCACGCAAAAAATATAAAAATATACATATTGTCTGTGTTTTAACATGGTCTCTTTTAGGGGTCAAATTAGAGGTTTAATCAGAAGCCCATGGGCTCCTGGTTTAATTCAAAATTTCCCACGAGCATCCCCACCCCTTTCATATGCGTAGTCCTGCCCACCCCCGGGTTTTTAAGCCCCTTTTTTCCTGCAGTGTTGATCACTTACCGAGTCGGACGATTCTTCTAAGTAACACCAGATATTAGTCGCCCCAGAAAAGTCACAGTAGATCAGTGGTACCTGACTCTCACCTAACACGTGACTATTAGACAGGTTATCGTAAAAGTACGTAACCAACAGAAGACTATGTGAATGCGCATCTTCACCCACTTGAATATTAAAAACAAAATTCTCATTGTATGGAGGGCTCATGGACCTCCTGTGAATTGCACTCTGTTTCCGCCTCTCGCGGTGAGGAAGAACGCAAACGGTCACGCACGTGTCAATACTGCCGGAGTAATCCCGGGGAGGAAAGTCCTTACCGCTGACCAGCGTGACCGAGAGGTTTCTGTTCTTGTCGTTGTATCTGATGTTTAAATTCAGTTGTCCAAGATTTTTATCTTTACCAATGCGCACTTCTCTTTCCGTATGATCGTACAGTTCGGGATTAAGTTCACCCATTTCTTCGTTTAAGTAAAGTGACATTATCCTAGAAAAAAAGAAAGTAAACAGTTTTTGCAGCCAAGCCAAATAAATCTCGATGGCGCACTTTGAGTGCAGAAAACACCAACGTGGAGGTGATTTCTTTGGCCAATCACAACGGACAAAGAAAATCAAGAACCAATCAGAACTCAACGCAAATTCTTTTAGCCCCCTTCAAGCGCGGGAAAATGCATGAAAGCAAAAATGGAGTAGTTTTGGATTTCCTGCTGCTTGGTCAAGAAAATGATGTACAATTATTTACGTCTCTTAATACAAAAAGGAGGCAGGAGCCCATAACTCGGCATTCTGCGCCACGGCGTTTTCCAACCTCGTCCCAAGGGCTTTTCCTTAGCGTTTTCATCGGCCGGTCTATTTTAAGATACATTTTAGAACACTTTTGCCCGCGAAAATGGAAGCTCCGCTCAGTCTATGAACGCATTTGAAGTTCAGGATATGAAAAATGACAACTAAACGTGATTGGAAGGTCAAAAATACCAGTGTCAGGTCTCTAGGTTTCGCTGACTGATTTGTGGTAATTAAAAGATAGGTAAATGCGCGAAAAGTGAGGTCAAGATGGCTGGATTTTGGCCAAATTCCTCTTTGGGATTTTATTGACCGAGGCGAAGGCGAGGTCTATGAAAAAGCCAAAAAGAACGAGGCCAATACTGCCATCTTGACCAAACAAGCTTGTTCAATAAAGGATTTATTAATGGCCAAAAAGAGAACTTTTTCTTGCGGGACCTACGCGGGAAATCCCGAGCCGGCAAAATAGGCCCATCTTGCCGGCTCGGGTAGCCAATCAGAACGCAGCATTCGCTTCATCTTGCCTGCTCATGGATTCAACCATATAATAATCAAGATTAATGAAACATTACTTACGATAGGCGTTTTTCCTCATTGGACCTTCCGGTCCTCCCTTGTGATAGATCAGGTGCAGGTTGTTGCGTCACAGTGCTGCGAGATGATGGGATGGAAAATTCCGGTGATACAATCAATCCTTCCTTGGTTCTCGATGCCCTGGAACTGCTGCGTCTAATACTTGAGCTCCTTTTAGACTTCTCTCCACGTTTCGACTGCCGTTTCTTTGACCCTCTCTTCCAGAGCTCCTTCCCCTTTAGCTTGCGACATAACTTTCGGAGATATTTACAAAGAGCTCCCAGGAAAAGTACGCTTGATGTCACCAGTAGGATGAGAAGACCTCCTGTTAGACCTAGGAAAGAGTCCTCGGTATTACTGTCATGACGATGCCCGCTCGGTATTCTGGGCATCTCCTTAGACTTGCAGCGATTGGATGACGCATGAGAGTGACATTTTCACAACCAAATAAGGTAAGTCAACTTCACAGCTCCACTAAAGGGTCCGGTCACTGCATTCAGACTACAATAAAGAAATGAAAAGAAAACAAATTTTAGGAAAACATACCAATTAACACATGATCAAATTCTAAACGAAAGGTTTCTTCTAACAGTACTCAGAAAAAGTGCAGTCCTGGAGGACGATTTCTTCAAAAGTTAGACGAATCAAATGACTTCAAGTGATTCACTTCAGTAAAATTCCCCATGATTTATAAAGACCTCCGTTTCCACTTCTTTCTTTTGGAACCGGAAACGAGAGGCTGCCACAATAACAAGTTACGCGAAGACCCAAACTAGAGCTGCATAAGATTGACTGATCCGTCTGTCGTTATTCCGCCTTTATCGCATCACAGAGGTAACTTAACGCTCCCAGGCTAAAGGAAAATGCTGGCTCGACAAAATAAGACGAAGCCCAAAGCAGCTTAGCATATTTGGTCTTCATAAAAGAGCCTGAAACGCTGTTTTTTTTATCTTTCACCCATCGTGCATTTTTGTCCTTGATCCATTGCAGTGTTCTTTTAAGACAAAAATTTCGTCTAAAAACTGTGATCAATAAGAAAGGAGTCAAAGGGTAAGTTCATACGGCACTGGACGAATTGTCGCTGTCCCGCTGAATAATTTGACCGAACACTTCGTTCACACGCGCGGGACCGTTCAATGTTTAAGTTGGCTTTGTTCACGCGGAACTTTGAACGTCTAAGGGGCTAAGTTTTCGTACCGTGAGAACTGAACACCTATAAGCACAAATTCAACGAGGTCATCCAACGACGGTTTCCTCGAAAACGCATTGAAAACACTTTTTAGGTTATCCAGAGTACTTTTACACCTCTAGAAGTTCATTCTTAGCGGGGCTATAAAATTTGTATCTGTTCGGTCACCCTAGGGGAACCTGAGCCTCTTCGAAATTACAAGGGCTTCACTGAATATTTTCCCGGAAATTTTAGATGCAATTTAGCGCATTACGAAAGTGAAAATTCTTTTGATTCCTTCGTCCATCGCATTTTTGAATCCAAAAATTTTAGGATTCCTTTCTCCTACGAAAAATAGCCTAACCTGGGGTGTGAAATGTGAAAAATTAAACTTCAGAAAATCGTAGAGAATTTATTAGATAATTATAAGCTTCGAAAGTTTTACATCTGAATGGAACGGTCATCCAGAAATATTTAGCCGCTCTCAAGTGGTAGAAAATTCTAGGCAAAATTTGCTTCTCCGAACAGATATTTTACAAAAAGCAGTCGTCGGATGCCCCTAATTTTTAACCGGTCGAGCCGTATGAATGTATCAGCCTAAGTTGAATGAGAAAAAGTGTAAGTCCAATCAGGCAGGGTAATTGCAAGTCGCCGGTTTGAAGCAAAACGGAAAGAAGCTTTAGTAACAAAGAAGGCGAGGGCAACGAGAACGTCAAAAGAGGAATGGGTTTAGATATAAGCAACAGCATCTTTGCCGATGCAGCACGCTTTTTTTTTCTTTTTTCTTCTGATATTTTATTTGCCGTCAGTGCACGAGCACCGTACTTCGTCAAAGTGCCTAATTTCACGTTTTTTGGAGGACGTGAACAAACGAAAACAATTTTCTTTTCTTTTACCTGAACTTCGATACAGTCTTTTAAAATTTAAATCCAAAAAAACTTGCCAAAACGAATCGAAGGATCGAGATGGAATAAGCGCGATAAAGTTTCAAACAGCGCGAATTTTCTAAGTCGTCGCCGTTCCGTTCGTTGAGTGTTGTTGTTTTGTCGTCCGGTTTTTCTTTTTTGAAGCTATGTTCATACAGGGCACCCAACGACTATTTCCTCCTAAATGCATTAAAAACACTTTTTAGGCTATCCAGAGTACTTTTGGATCTGTAGAAATGCACTCTAAGCGGCCCTATAAAAGTTGTATCTGTTCGGTCATGATCATCCAGGGGGAACTAGAGTCTTCGAAATAACAAGGGCTTCAGTATTATTTCCCGAAACTGCAATTCACTGAACGTTTTACGAAAGTGGGGATTTTTCTGATGCCTCTCTCCATCACATTTTCGAATTCGAAAATTTTTGGTTTCCTTTTTTGTAAGAAAAATAGCCTAACCTGGGTGGTGAAATGTGGACTTCAGAAAATCGTAAGGAATTTATTGAATAAGCCTCGAAAATTGTACATGAATGGAACGATCATTTAGAAATTTTTAGCCGTCCTCAAGTAATAGAAAATTCTAGGCAATATTTGCTTCTCCGAACAGATATTTTACAGGAAACCATCGTTGGGTGCCCCTGTTCGCTATACCGGCGCTGCTCGCTCTGTTGCAGAAATCGCGTGGAAATCACCGCTCTTGTCAGTGTGACAACAGAGGCAATATTTGGCATGGTTTTGCACATTAGCGCAAAAGCTCTCCATAGCCTTGAGCTTTCTATTGCCATGACAATTAAAGCTGTCAGTTTTCGTAGACCATAAACCGGAGATAAATCATAGCGGTCTAAGTACACGCCAAGGTTATGCAGCGACCTGAATAAGCACCAAAATCCATACTTATAAAAGGTCGTCCACAAAACTTCCGCAATACACGTTCGTCAAAAAAGAGACCAAAACATCGGATTTACTGCGTATAAAGTTAAGAAATCTTAATAAACATAATCAGCCTTTTGAATAGCCTCTAGTTACAAAACTCTGGTCGCGGACAAAGAGCTGCCCCAAAGTGTAGCATCTTTCCCTTTCATTTTGGGGTAGATGTTTAAAGCCGTATTTGCGGCCAAACTGGAACTCAAGTTGTTTACAAACGCGTTTCAAATTCGCACTTAGTTTTTCTGGAAGTTATTAAAACAGATATCAATAATCCGAGTCAGTTCCGTGACACAATCTGACACGAACATGTTTTCGATCATAGAACACTCTGGACCGACTAACTATATGAAATGATATCCTAATTTTGTACACATGGACTGAGGATAAACAAGGGGTTTCAGTTGTAAAAGACAAAGAAGAAAGGAAAAAAAAGCACTACGAGGCTCATGTGCCGCTCGTGATGGACGACTTCCATGGATATGTCAGTGATCTGCCCATGATGATCTGGCTAGCCGAAGCGCACTTAATTTGTTTAAAAAAAAAAAACCTTTGATTCTTTGCATTGCTATATTAGGGCGTTGTGAGGATCACTATTTGGCAGTTTATGTCGAGTAGGATCAAAGTACTGCGGAGTTTTGTAACGAACAGTTTTAAACTTGTAGCAGTAATTGCTATGTAACGTTTAGAATTAATTTGGCCACGAATTTAAAAAGAGAACGCCAAATCGCAGTTTCGCTACAGTTGCCATTTCATAGCGACGCAGGTTTTGAAGCCGTCCTAAGACGAATCACATGTTAACATAAAGGCCCCTTACAGCTGTTTAAAGAGAAATCGGGCTAAGTCGGAGGTGGACGAAAACAAAATTGGCAAAGCATGCCCTTTGCTGAGTGAAATGAAAACAAGAAACGGGGGTTTTAGCTTTTCAACTGTCGACTTTGAACTTAGTTCCAAATGGCACTCTTGATTTGTGTCATCTAAAACATTACTGGAATTGTACAAACAGATCGAAAACAAAATACATCGGAAAATGGCTGCCAAAACCGAATCTGTGATGTGCTTGAAAAACGAAGTGTAATCAAATGTAATTTATCGAAAATTAATCCAGGTGTTTTCTTGTATAGTGTAGCCTCTGTTTAAATACCATGAAATCTATCCAGGAATGTCTTTCAAAACAGTTTTGTGGATGATTAAAACTGATAGGCATGACTTACAGCACATCTTCAAATAACCTCGAGCGTTCTCGTTGATTGGACCCCACAGGCCTGATTAAGCAACCGGATTTTATGAGATTAGTGCTTATTTATCCAGATTACACAAATATCCTACACTCATGATTCCACCTCAACTTTATTTGTAAAATATTTTTAAGACTCTTAAGGAAAATACGGCCGTCGTCGAGAATCGAATTTCTGGTAATGAATATTCAGGCACGTTAGCGTCGACTTCTTCAGTTTCTCCAAGAAGGTCTGGTTCAAACTTGATCTTGCTTAGTATTCAAGTTAACTGTTCCTCTGGGATCAAAACAAAGAAGTCGGTTTTTCGACAGGCGACAAAACAAATCGGGCCTTGATCTTTTTCAAACCGGTCTTTGAACCTGCGGCTTTAGGATTTAAAATATGCGTAATCACCAACTGACGTCATGGATTAACATAATACGTGCAGTTGTGCACGGCTTGGTGTCCATTTCTATTTAAATTTAAGACACCGGTATCAGCTGAAGCATGAGTATTGGTAGGGCTAAGTTGGGTCTTTGACTTAGTGCCAATATCAGCAAAGGTCACCTCTCTCCAAACCGTGATTTAGTACATTCGGCCTGGACGTTGACTTTGTCACGATCTTCGTTCAGATACGCTTCAAGTCGCACAAGTTTTCACAACAGACGCGCGCTGCTGTGTGAATCCGAGCGGTTTTCTTCACTCTTGCATTGCTAGTTTCAGGTAGTGCACTGAATGGAGAATTACACCAGTGAAGGCCGCAACGATTCTTTGGACCTGCTCCTTGTCGCTAATAAGCGAAAGCCAAACTTCACAGAGGGGGAGAGTTTGTACCTCATCTCCCAGTTTGAGCGGAACGCTGTCGTTCTCACTTCAAAACTGAACGATGCGTCCACCAACAAACAAAAGGTGGAAGTGTGGAAGCGCATTTGCAACGATTACAACAGCAAAAATCCGGTAGTTTTACGAACTGCTAACGATCTGAAGAGGAAGTGGAAAAACATGGTAAGAGCAGCAAAGAAAGAATTGTTAGAAACAACGATGACTTCTCCTGACGGTGGCGAGTCTGTTTCGCAAAGAAAACTCTCTCCGGTCAGTCAAAGGATCGTAGAAATTTTAAGAATTTCTGCGACAAATTGTGGGACCTTAATGACTTCGTTCGACGGTAGTTGTTTTGCTGAAGATCACCAAGGAGAGCAAGCTTTGGAACAACTGAAAGAAGAAGACAGCGAAAACAACCATCACCAAGAGAACAGCCCTCAGCAGGTCATTCATGTAGTAGTTACTCGTCCAGAGGATATAAAACCATCGGTCGTGGTCTCGCCTGATATAAATACGGACCAAAATCAAGATTGTGAGCAAAGTATGAACAAAAAGTCAGATCTTTCTCTGACCACTGCTAGTGCTTCGAACACAGAAGATCATACTCCAACTCACGCGGCTGATGAGACGGTGCCAAGCAATAGTTCTATTGTTTCTACAAAATCAAACGCCACTGTGAGCGCAGTTCCTTCACCGAGACTCCAGTTACCGAGCAGTATACGCAGTGCAAACCTCACCAGTTCCCAAGTGACTGGAGTGAGGACGTTTCGTTCCCTGTCACCACAGCAGAAACGAATGTTACCTTCGTCTCTTGCGCACGTGATTAAGAAGAGGAAGCTTTCGGATTACGGCAGCCAAGACGAATCTCTGTCGAACGTGAGAGCTGAGGTGGACAAACTCAAGAAAGAAAAACTTATTCTGGAAAAAGAAAAATTGGCCTTAGAAAAAGAAAAGTTAGCCATGGAGAAAGAGAAGCTAGCTCTTGAAATTCGGTTCTTGCGGGACCAGTTGGATTGATTAAAAAGGCGATTCCCTTGCTGGGTCAGTACTAACACTGCTCCTGTCATGTCAGTGGATGACAGAAACCAAGCAAACCGGCAAGTCTCTGACAGAATAATTAAAAATTAATGGTTTACAAGCGGCTATTTGCATAGTTGGGTCTGAAATTATATTCCATATGTGTCTCTTGATACTTTGAACATCTTAACCCTGAAGGGAATGAATGTTGTTGTTGTATCTGTCACGTGCGAGATTGCTTAAAATGAACAAGCAAATTCATGACTTTGATTATTAAAGCAACAATGATAATAAGAAGTACGTAGTTAAGTTTTGATTCTTAGGTTATGTTTCTCAGATGCCAACAGTTATCAAAATATCAGGAAACATTTAGAAAGAGAGAGGGAGAGAGGGATTGAGTGAAAAAGAATTTTCTAGTTTATGTTGAATTAAGTTATTAAATAATTACGTGTTGCAGTTTCCTCAAATAGCTATGAGTCGTTTCCGCATAGTAAATCCATCGGATGCTAAAGAAACAGTCAGTAATCTTTTATCTTTTTTCCACAAGAAGAATCTTTGTTTCAGGAAATAAGAAAATTGGCTTGCTAAATGGACCACTTTTGAAATCAACTCAATTAAACTTTCCGGCACATATGCTTGGTACAGCTGGCACTCGTGAAGTGCTGCTCTTGATGCGAAAAGCCGGAGAAAGTCCAAAATGGCAAAATCTAGTTACTCTGAGCCATCTGTGACAAGGGTCGTTTAGCTACTGAGCCGAGAGATTCAGAGAATCATAAATTTGAGTTAAAAGATGTTTTAGGTTTTTCATGTAAATGATCGATGACTGAAAACGTAAATCTAAAGTGTAAGCTTGTAAACAAGGCTCTGTTTTCTTCAATGATAAAATAAAACATTGGAAGAATCCATTACTAACAGCGGTTTTCTTGCGAGGCTTAGACGTTTAAATAACTTTTAGTCTACCGCTGATTAATTGGCAAAGCAATAATCGATGACAGAAAGCATTAATCTCAACTGAGTGCAAGCTTACAAACAGGCCTCTGTTTTTTCAGTGATAAAATAAAACATTGGAAGAATCTGATCAACAGGTTGCTTGCGAGTCTTGGATGTTTTAATAACTTTTGATTTTGCCTCTGAATAATATGATATGGTGAAGCTGATTCTCTAGCAATCAGCTTAGAAAAAAGGTTATATTTTGCAATGGAGCCGAGCTGTCTAACGGCTCACTTTGTAGACATTCGTTAAGGTAGCTTATCCAGTTAAACCCAGACACCTTCAAAGAATTAACTTTTTGTACATGAAGCCCTTCGTGGAAATCCTTCTCGCTGTATAGTAGAGGCCCCGGTCTTCAGATAACTTAGAACGTCTTTTACGACACCAAATTAAAACATAGCCGGCTTCTGAAAGAAATGTATTGAAGCTTTGTTTGAAAAGTAGTGAAAGTAACTAAATCACACAGGAAGGTAGTTTACGTTCTCAAGAGTTGTAAACAACACCTGAGAAGTCAACAACATGGAAAAGGACTTCTTTTCACTTGTATTGGTTGGCATACACACTTGAAACCTTATTTGAAACGTTAGTGAAAGAACGGTAACCGCCAATTTCGAAGGAGGCTTTTATTTCAATGGTCGAATTTCAGTTCAGCTGTAGCCCACAGACTATGAAGCTAGACCACCTTGAAGTGGTCAAAATAAACAGCAAACAAAGGCTAAACACTAGTGTATAGCCTCGAATGCGTTCGTTTAAATGATCACAAATAACTCAGGGTTTAGCTGATGCACTGAACAAAAAAGGTTTCTATACATTCAACAAGAAACGAGCACGAGCGAGCTAGTTGCCTAGATAGTTATACAGGTTCCACCCACTCGTGCATTGAGTAGGTAAACCAAAAACTTCCAATGTTAGAAAGATAGACTGTTGTTTCGTCCGAATAGAGCCGGCGGATATCCTTAGCCAGCTGTTGGCTGAAAAACAACTCTCTCGAAGTTTGACTAAGATTAGAAACAGTAGGATTTTGTATCGGCTTAACTGAATACCGCTAGCAGCCTCTTGCTCATGCACGGAAAATGACCGTTGATCAACTGTGCCAGCTATCTTGTGAAACAAATGTGTCGACCCAAAATTCTGAACGGTTTACCCCTGCTTAACTGAAGGGCTGTTTATTCACTCAACTTTTTGAGAGAGAGAGAAAAAATGTTGTCTCGATCTGAATATTCTCGAAAATTATATAGCAATCTGTGGTTTATTTACAATATAATAAGCATGAAACCAACTGCCTGGCGCCTGAAACATATATATTTATTAAAAAAATTTTCCCTCTGCTTGCTTTTTTAGTAAATTTGATCATGAAAATAGCGGAATTGGAAAACTCTAAAAATCGTTTACTCTTATTGGGGTGGTCCGAGAGTCTAAAACAGAAAAAGAAATCAAAATTTTATTTCTTAAATTTCCTGCAGAAAAACACCTCAGGTGAAAGTATTGCTGGAGAGGTTTCATTCAAATGGTCACACCACAGACACTAAAATGTTAGAACTTCGTTCTTTCTTGAATGAAAGGGCTTTAAACGACCAGGGCTGATCTGTAGACACCTAGACAGCTTATAGACATTCTAGCAAGTTTAGGTTGCAACAAATTGTTCAGCTAATAATGATGATATTGTAAACGTTATCTTAATTAGCTCTTCTTAACAATCCCAATGAATTAGGAGCGATTTTCTAGGGCAAAGAAGTCAATTTTTTGGATTATTTAGTCATTCATCAACCAGGTGTACATTTTTTCCTTACGTAATTATCATTTAGGTTTTTTTTTCCGACGCTTTTAAGTCTTTGTTCGCGTTATTAAAGAATTCAAAATATTGTGAAAGAGTATCAATTATTTACAGATTCATGAATGAAAATAAAATTGTTTATAAAGAAGGTTTGCAACTTGTTTCTCGCCACTTTACAGTTGAGGCAATCAAAGAAACAAGATTCGACTTGATGCGGACATTTTGCTAATAAAAACAGACCGTTTTACAAGGTACTTTATATTGCTGATTAACTATCCTTCAAAATTTCATATTGTATGAGATTCTTCTAGAAGCAATGAACCAAATGATGGTAACGGTTTACTCCGGGAAATGATCGTTATAATTGAAAGAGTTCAATGGACTGTTTAATTTGCTTAAAACGTTTCTTGCCAAAATCGATCATTGAAGCGTTTAATAACCAACGGAAACCCCGCTAAATTTAAAAGACGCGATCTTTAGGGTTTCTAAGTAGTGGTGGTATCTTAGTGCTAAAGTTAATTTGCACAAAGTTGACACTGAATTCGTTTCCACTGTTTAAACTTAAATATTCACACAAAAAAACGAATATGCCAAAGCTGCAAAACATCATTTCAGATCAATCTTCAACAACTTTCCTCATGTTAAAAAGACTTTTTAGACCTTGAACAAACCCAGCCAGTGCGGTTTTAGTTTGCAAATATTTGGTCTTAAGTAGCATTCCTTAAAAGATAGCATGTCGAATCTTGGATTACCTTCAAAATAAATTTACCCTCGGTAGAATTTCTATGAAACGGTGCCAACTGTTTTCGCAGTCTCCAGTGTAAAATCCAGCTGTTTCCGGGATGGATTGATTGACAGTTTATCTTCCAGTTGCCCACGAGTTTTTACTGACTACGGGCGGGCGACGTTGAAGTTTTGAATGCATATTGTATTTTTTGGTCAACGGCGAGTATTTCAATGTCACGCTTGATCGCTCTCTTGAAAAATGTTTCTTTTGTTTGCAGTTATTTAAATTTTTAGCAAAGAATGAATTGTAAGCAAACAACACAAACAGAGCAGAAATAAAACTTAGTTCACAAGATACCGAAATAATAAAAGACTTATCAAGCTATTTCAGTGTATAGTAGCTTATAGTTGAGCCATGAAAAGTATTGCCTTTTTGAAGACAAACAACAACTTTGATAAGATCATAGTAATGGATGCATAGTTTTTACATAAATTGTTTTAAAACATTCTCGAGTTACCAAAAGAAATTGGATTGCAATGAACTGCAACCATATGGCGCCCTAATTAAGAAAAGTTTTTTTTATTTTTTTTAAATCTTTTTGAAGTGTTTCGTTTCTAACGTTTTAAAAAGCCCCTTTCTTCCTTAAATTTCGTTTCGAATAACATCTTTGATCTCCAAGAAAATTGTTAAATATTTTCGGTTTAATACATCTTAGTGAGTATCAAGGCTGAATTTGCATCTGCAGAGCCAATTTGTAGTCACATACTTTGATTACCTTTATTTTAAAGATGAAAAAATTTTAAGTTTTTCTCGACTTTGTCCCTGTTTTTATTGTCCCCTCAAAAAAGTCTTTATCAAGGTGACAAGTACAGTCGACAAAAAAGACAATGACTTAGTTACATAACCCCTCTATTGTAAGTTTTAGGCAGCCATTATGCTTTTGTTTCCATACTAAAATGCTCGGCTTAATGCACCATTTTAGTTCCAAGTCAATTCTCGGTCACCCCCCAAAATATCACTAAAATGCTTGGATAATGCTCATGATATAACGGCTTTTTATCAATTCTAAACGTTTTAAGAAGGTTTCAGGCTGACGAAAATCTATAAGCAGAATGTCGGCAACAATGTATGTAAGTTAAGAAATTCAGTACAGCAAAACATGATCCTTTACACTGCTTTATTAAGGTGAAATTTGAATATACTCTTTTGAATTCCCAGTTTAAGTCATCATTTCTCTTAAAGAAGTTTAAACTATTTTATCTGAGAAAAAAAGTATTAAATTTTCCAAGAAAATTCTACAAAAAATGCTCGAATGATGCGTAATGCTTTTGTGTCACTAAAAGGCTCAAAGAAGGCGAGCATGATGTACAAAAGCCTACTAGGTTTAAAGTGTACTGTGAATAAAAATAGAGTGGGAGAAAAGCTATTGAAATTTGTCAATCATTTTTGAAGAGAGGAGTGAATTAAGTCAAGTTGATTTGAAAGAGCTGCTGAAACACAAAATGGCAATACTGTAGAGGCAGTTTAAATCAATGAAAACAGCGGAGTCATGGACATTTAAACTTTTACACACCAAACATTTCAACAAGTTTTCAGCATTTTTAGCTCCTCTGAGTTGTTGATTATTGCATGCGACTTGTTAAAGGGGCACTCTGGTTGTCTCCTGGGGGAAAATGTCAGCTGTTGATTTGGGAAGGAAATAAATTAGGATAGAAAAGGTAGACACATAAACCAGTTAGTCCGCTAATGCGCTTAAAAGCACCTTGTTTTTGTAGTCGTCTAGTAATTATTCCCTTCATATTTTAATTTTTTTCAACGCCCAAATCCAATATTATCCAATTTTGCCAAAAAGTCCAATATGCCCCCTTCATTTTTATACATAAAAACATTGGAAAAGTCATCCAAAAATTCTAAAAAAAATATTTTGTTCAAAGAAACCCAAACTAAATTAGTCATTTTTTGATTGCCAGAATGAAATCGTGGCTAGATGTTTAAGAAAAAGGGCAGTAGTAAATGAAAAACATGCAATGGTTTTAGCCAGACTGTCTCCTTAAGTTTGTGACATGTTATGGCCTAAATTATTCTTCTCCTTTTCCAGTTTTTTCGTTGATTTGTGAAGTTTCTGCTACTGAACTTACCTTTCATATTTGAATGAACATTTTCAAAAGCAAAGGATAATTGATCCCTTGCTTAGCTATTTAAACTAAATTTTTAAGGCATTTTGTACTGCCATGCACTCCTCTTGTATTTTTCCACTTGTGATTACTGCTCCCTTAGATAAGTTTCTTTTTGTCATATAAAGGCTGCAGGGAGGGTGAGGCAGAGGATATTTTTGGTAATGGGCATTGATATATCCCCCTTAACATCATAATAATGTTTTGAAATCCCCTTCTCTTGACCAAAAGAAACACGCCCTGTCTTAATCAGGAAGAAGTAAAATACAAGCAATTTAATGAAGTGGTGCAGAGATACACGTTTAAACTTGAGAATTACATGACTAGAAGCATGACTTTGAAGGAAGAGAATAACATGCTGTACATTGAATGAAATACAAATTTCTCCAAAAGAGGAGATGAAAGTTATTTTGCTGTTCATAATTCTACGTGGAGTTTTGGAACCTGGGTTGCCTGAAATCTTAAGTCAAGTCCAGCACATTGCAGGCAATCTTTTAAAACCTAAATTTGCTTAAAACCGTAATGCTTTTAGTGTAAAAATAAAAATCCCCCTCTTTGGGACTAACCACCCTCAGCTCTTAACCATGGGCTCCAATATGCACAGACACAGGGCTATCATCTGCTATACATTTGGGGTAACCTGGTTAAATTTCAGGGGGTGGGGTGGGGTGGGGTTGTTCTAAAGACTATGCTTTATGCCAGACTGTGGAATTGCTGAGTTTTTGTACCGAGGTTTATCCCTGTCTTTCAAAGCTCAGTGTCTCCCTTAAATTGAGAGGGGTTTGTGTCAAGCTGTTAGTCTGGTTATTGCACAGACACAGGGCTATCATCTGGTATGCATTTGAGGTAGCCTGGTTAAATTTCAGGGGGTGGCGTTGTCCTAAAGACTATGCTTTGTGCTAGACTGTGGATTTGCTGAATTTTTGTACCGAGGCTTATCCCTGTCTTTCAAAGCCCAGTGTCTCCCTCAAATTGAGTAGAGTTTGTATCTAGCTGGGTGTCAAGTTGTTTCACAGACATAGGGCTATCATCTAATATGCATTTGGGGTAGGCTAGTTAAATTTCAGGGGGGTGGAGTTGTTCTAAAGACTATGCTTTGTGCTAGAATGTGGATTTGCTGAGCTTTTCTACCGAAGCTTATCCCTGTCTTTCAAAGCTCAGTGTCTCATGTTGTTGCACAGATACAGGGCTATCATCTGATATGCATGTGGGGTCGTCTGGTTAAATTTCATGGGGGTGGGGTTGTTCTAAAGACTATCCTTTGTGCTAGACTGTGAATATGCTGAGTTTTTATCCCTGTCTTTCAAAGCTCGGTGTCTCCCTCAAATTGAGAGGGATTTGGTCTAGTTGGGTGTCATGTTGTTGCACAGATACAGGGCTATCATCTGATATGCATTTGGGATAGCCTGGTGAAATTTCAGGGGGGTGGGGTTGTTCCAAAGACTATGCTTTGTGTTAGACTGTGGATTTGCTGAGTTTTTGTACCGGGGCTTATCCCTGTCTTTCAAAGCTCGGTGTGTCCCTCAAATTGAGGAAGGTTTGTGTCAAGGTGGGTGTAATGTTGTTGCGCAGACACAGGGGCTATCATCTGGTATAATTTGAGGTAGGCTGGTTAAGTTTTAGGGGGGTGGCGTTGTCCTAAAGACTATGCTTTGTGCGAGACTGTGGATTTACTGAGTTTTTGTACCGGGGCTTATCCTTGTCTTTCAAAGCTCAGTGTCTCCCGCAAATTGAGAAGAGTTTGTATCTAGCTGGGTGTCACGTTGTTGCACAGACATAGGGCTATCATGTGATATGCATTTGGGGTATTCTGGTTAAATTTTAGGGGGGTGGGATTGTTCTAAAAACTATGCTTTGTGCCAGACTGTGGATTTGCTGAGTTTTTTTACCGGTACTTATCCCTCTCTTTCAAAGCTCGGTGTGTTCCTCAAATTGAGGAAGGTTTGTGTCTAGGTGGGTGTCATGTTGTTGCACAGACACAGGGGCTATCATCTGGCATGATTTGAAGTAGGCTGGTTAAATTTCAGGGGGTGTGGCGTTGTTCTAAAGACTATGCTTTGTGCTAGACTGTGGATTTGCTAAGGTTTACTACTGAAGCTTATCCCTGTATCAAAGCTCAGTGTCTCCCTCAAATCAGGAAAGATTTGTGCTTAGCTGGGTGTCATGGTGTTGCACAGATACAGGGCTATCATCTGATATCTATTTGGGGTAGTCTGGTCAAATTTCAGGGGGGTGGAGTTGTTCCAAAGACTATGCTTTGTGCTAGACTGTGGATTTGCTGAGTTTTTGTACCGAGGCTTATCCCTGTCTTTCAAAGCTCAGTGTGTCCCTCAAATTGAGGAAGGTTTGTGTCTAGGTGGGTGTAATGTTGTTGCACAGACACAGGGGCTATCATCTGGTATGATTTGAGGTAGGCTGGTTAAATTTTAGGCGGGGATGGCGTTGTTCTAAAGACTATACTTTGTGCTAGACTGTGGATTTGCTGAGTTTTTTCATCGGGGCTTATCCTTGTCTTTCAAAGCTCAGTGTCTCCCTCAAATTGGGAGGGGTTTGTGTCTAGCTTGGTGTAATGTTGTTGCGCAGACACAGGGGCTATCATCTGGTATGATTTGGGTTAGGCGGCTTAAATTTTAGGGGGGTGGCGTTGTTCCAAAGACTATACTTTGTGCTAGACTGTGGATTTGGTGAGTTTTTTCACCGGGGCTTATCCTTGTCTTTCAAAGCTCAGTGTGTCCCTCAAATTGAGAGGGGTTTGTGTCTAGCTGGGTCTCATGTTGTTGCACAGACACAGGGGCTGTCATCTGGTATGATTTGGGGTAGGCTGGTTAAATTTCAGAGGGCTGGGGTTGTTCTAAGGACTATGCTTTGTGCGAGACTGTGGATTTGCTGAGTTTTTGTCCCGGGGCTTATCCCTTATAGGGGGTGGGGTTGTTCTAAAGACTATGTTTTGTGCTAAACTGTGGATTTGCTGAGTTTTTGTACCGAGGCTTATCCCTGTCTTTCAAAGCTCAGTGTCTCCCTCAAATTCAGAGGGGTTTGTTTCTAGCTGGGTGTCATGTTGTTGCACGGACACAGGGCTATCATCAGGTATGCATTTAAGGTAGCCTGGTTAAATTTCAGGGGGATGGCTTTGTTGTAAAGTTTGATGTGTTTTCGCACTGTTTTGCAGTTTGTTTGTGCTGTTTGCATGCA